CTTTATCTGCCCTTCCATTCTACATGATAGCTTTGCTGGATAGAGTAATCTTGGATGTAGGTCTTTGGTTTTCACGACTTCGGATATTTCTTTCCAGCCCCTTCTTGCCTGCAAGGTCTCTTTTGAGAAATCAGCTGACAGTCTGATGGGAACTCCTTTGTAGGTGACTGTCCCCTTATCTCTTGCTGCGTCTAGAATTCTGTCCTTCATTTTAATCTTGGGTAATGTAATTATGATGTGCCTTGGTGTGTTCCTTCTTGGGTCCAACTTCTTTGGTACTGTCTGAGCTTCCTGGATTTCCTGGAAATCTATTTCCTTTGCCAGATTGGGGAAGATCTCCTTCATTATTTGTTCAAATAGGTTTTCAATTTCTCGCTGTTGTTCTTCTCCTTCTGGTACCCCTAGGATTTGGATGTTGGAACCTTTTAGGTTGTCCCAGAGATTCCTCAGCCCCTCTTCATTCTTTTGAATTCTTATTTCTTCGTTCTGTTCTGGTTGGGTGTTTATTTCTTCCTTTTATTCCAAATCTTTGCTTTGAATTCTGGTTTCCTTCCTGTCACTGTTGGTTCCCTGAACACTTTGCTGTATTTCATTTTGCATGTCATTCATTTGCTTTTTCACTTTTCAACCAACCTCAATCAGTCCTGTGAGCATTTTGATTATCAGAGCTTTAAACTCTCCATCTGGCAGGTTGGCTGTCTCCTCATCGCTTAGCTCTCTGTCTGGAGTTTTGCTCTGTTCTTTCATTTGGGCCGTATTTCTTAGTCTTGGGGCACCTGTTAGGTTGTAAGGGGGCAGGGCCTTAGGTGTCCGCCAGGGCGGGACCACCCTCCTTGCTGCCTGTGGTGCTGTCTGGGGGGAGGGTTCAGAGAGGGCGCCATGCGGCTCACCTGCCCGGCTCCAGCCCACTCTCCAACGCACTCTCGCGTGAGACTGGGAGTCTCTCCCACTGTGGCAGCCCCACCGTAGTGCACAGGGAGCCGAGTCTCAGTTTCCCGTTCAGCCAGCCCCGCGCATGTGGCCTGCTGTCTCGCTGCGGGTTCTCAATGGTCCGGTTGTTCTGGTCAACTGTTTCTTTAATTCCTTGGTTGTCGGAGCTCCACGCAGTTTGACTTTTCTGGCACCTCTGGTTGTTTATTGACTTTAGGTTGGTGGTTACCCTCCTTTTGGTTGTGCGAGGAAGCGAAGGGTTTCTACCTGCGCCTCCATCTTGGCCGGAACGCCAAACTCTCTTTTTAAAAATAACTTACAAAATTCAACTGAATAAATGGAAAGATCTAATTGGCTTTATTAAATGATTCCAAATCAGGCAGCGTTTCATGTAGCAAAGCAGAGAGACCCTGTGAAGAGTCACACAAAATGGAAGGCTTTTATAGAAAAAAGCGTGGGGCAAAGAAGTCATTAGCAAAAGAAAAAAGTTCGCTGGAGGGAAGAACTCAAGGTGATGAGGGCTTCTCCTGGAATGAGCTATGGCGTTTGCCATTGGCTTGTCTTGTTGCTGGGCCAGAAGAAAGTCTGCCCTGCTGCTGCCAAGGTGGCAGTCAGCACCCTTCCTGTCTGGGTGCCAGGTCCAGTCCCTCCCTGTTTGTGGTGGTTGATAAGCAGAGGGCGGGTGACGGCACTCTCCCCCCAACCCCCGGAGTCCAGTTCCGGTTGAGGCTTCCTTTCCTAATTTTCACAATCCAGATCACGCCTGTTTGCCATCAAGTTTAAATATTTCACTTGTCTCTCCTTCCCCCGTCATGAAACATTTTCTTTTTTTTGGGTAACTTGTAATCAGTCGTTGGCGGTATGGAAAATATGCCTTCCTCTTTGTTTTGTTTTGTTTTGAGTCAAGTTACTTAGTTCATCTCTTATTCCTGTTTACATTTTCAGCTGCCTCTTGGATGTTCTAGGTCCCCTTTTGTGATGGCCGCGTCGCCGCCTCCTTTCCAGTAACCATCTTCTTCTGGTGAGTGCCGCGTGGAGTTAGAGCATCCGAAGAACAGTAGCCAGCCACGGTGAGGGGGACACCTTCCAGTCTCCTTTGGCCTTCCCCCTGTGGCCTCTCCACCCTCTCCCGTCACGGTTACCTGGGTGTCCTTGCTCCGGACAGCCCTTCTCCGCCTCCCAGATGTGGGTGGGGTCTGCTGGTCCCTGTGGTAGGTGTTGGGGACTGCCACGAGGCAGACTGTGTTTTCCTACAGAAAATGTATGTGCAGAGTGCCACCGAATGGACCTCAATGTGTGCGACCGTTAGTACACACACAAAAGGCAGCCCTGTTGCCATGTGGGTGTGACCTCGAACTAACAGATTACCTCTAACAGTCAACGTTTCTTTCAAAACGATGGTGTCTGTCATCTTGGACTTTAGAAAGGCTTTCTAAGCATGGTCTGGACTGCCTGCCTTTTAAACATCTGTTCATGGAGGCTTAAGTTTCTCCGCGTTTATTTCTCCAGTAAGTAGCCCCATGAAAATCACTTATTTTGCACAAGACTTGCATCCCAAGGTCTGTGTTTAAAAGAAACCCTCGTATTATATTGCTAAGAAGACAGTATACAAAATAAATGGAAGGTTTTTTTTAAAAGACTTTATTTATTTTTAGAGGGAGGGGAGGGGAGGAGGAAAGAGGGGGAGAGAAACATCCATGTGAGGTTGTCTCATGCACGCCCCCTACTGGGGACCTGGCCCGCAACCCAGGGATGTGCCCTGACTGGGAATCGAACTGGTGACCCTTTGGTTAGCAGATCGACATTCAATCTACCGAGCCACACCAGCCAGGGCTGAGGGTGTTTTTTTTTTTTTTTTTAATTTACTCATAATTTTACCACCTGAACACAAAAGTTATTCATTTCTGTCCATTTACTTCCAGTCTCTGCCCAAACAGATCTTTTTCAGATCTGCAGTCATTGAGTTTGCACAATTTGAATGTTATTCATTTCAGTTAACAAGTAAGTATGTTTGTGGCTTTACATACCGGTAATCTGCATAATGATCAAGCTTAATGGCTGTGTAACATTTCTGTAAGTAAATGAGGGGTAATTTTCTTAACCATCCCCCTAACGCTGAACGAAAGGCTGCGTCCAAGTTCTGGGAACACACTGGGGGTTTTCTGTGCCAGAGCTTTCTCTGATCTTGGCTTGCTTCCTCGGGCCACTCCCTAGAGGGAAATTACTCTGTAAGACTCGAAGACCCTCAGGACTTTTACCACCCTCCTGAGGGGCTGTGCCAAGTCACCCGATGCCCACAGAGCAACCTGTGGTCCAGGCCCCCGATGAAAGGTGGCTCCGCATCCCAGCCCAGCATCGTGGCATTGCCGTCCCGGATTTCTGGAGTGGGAGTTCAGTTGCGAGCGTTGGAAAGGAGTCGCCAGCCCATGGGTTCTTTACCCTGGGGTCCAGGGAGAGAGAGCCGTGACTAGAAGGGGAGGGGCTGTACTGGGAGGTGGCACAGCCTGGACATGCCAGGTGACTGCTGTGGGTGGCTCCAGATCACAGACTCCATCTGGACATTGCAAATGCAAACACCGGACCGTTGCTGCTAATTGTGCCTGCCTTGTTCGCTCCGGCGTTTGCACAAGTCTGATGCACGTACGGTTTCAACCACAGTGGTTGTGGTTGTTCTTCTTTAAGGGAAGAAGCACTCTGTGGCATTTTGCCCCCAGCACACACTGAAGCGGGCGTCCTATACCCAGAGTAACAAAAAGAGTAGGTAGTACAGAGAACACGGGTCTCAGGCCGCAGTGTGTCGCTGCCACAGTGGGTCCAGTGCCTGGAATCCCTGTAAGTGAGCCACCAGGAGCCCTGGGCTGACGGCCCCCTAAAGGCTCAGGGGCCAGCAGCGGTGCAGGGAACGCGTCCCGGAGGTGACAGGTGCATGAGCTTACTGTGGCTGCTCTGTCCTGTGTGATGTTCGCCCAGGGCTTTTCGGACTCTGGGACCTGATCCCATGGGCAGCCTGAAAGGGAAGCCTCACTGACCAGTGGCTGGCAGTGGGGGTGGGGAACTGTCTGGACAACCTCTCCAACCACAGAAAGCTTAGGAACTTGCTGGGTGCACGAGGAAACAGCTCCCAAACAGAAGGGACACCACACATCGTGCTCTTCCCGGGTCAGGTCTCCTCTCTGTCTGACACCCCCCTTCCGCTCCCTTACCCCCACCACCAGCTCACTCAGGACCAGAAGCCTTTTTCAGAAAGAAAACCATATCGTCACTTCACTGTTTCAAACCTTTCTATGAGGCTTCAGGAAATAAAATTTCAACTCCTTGGCTTTTTCCCTGGTCTGTGCAGTGAGCCTCATCTTTCACATGGTCCACTCCCCCAGGGGCCCCGTCTGATCCCCGCCTTGCCGCTCCCCCACTCCAGCCCACGCAACCCCCGCCAAAGCGCTTATCACCAACCACACAGGATACTGATGGACGGGAGAATTTGCACAATTTGAAACAGATCCTTAAAAGTATTATACAGAAGTGTAGGAAATGAAAGAAGGAATAAAAACCATTAAGACGAGAACAGAAAAGGCCTTGCCACTCCCTTGCAGCCTCAGCCAAAGCATCCGGAATGTTGGTGGCTGTTTGTACGGCTGACCGCCCCGCCCCCTCCCCAGCAGCTCTGGGATCCGCCCGGTCCTCTGCATCCTGGGCACTGCGCTGGGCGCACTGCGGGGACGTGCACTGAGGCTGTCAGTTCGGGAGCCGCGCGGGACTCCAGAGACGCAAGCCCCGGCCCCGTACAGAGAGAAATGAATGGACGCAGCAAAGCAGCGCACAGCCCGGTGCCCGGAGGCGCAGGCTCAAAAAAACCCACTCAGAGGCCCCGCCCCCACCACCAATGGCCAGTCATCGGGGGTTGCGCAACTCGAACCCGCCCCCTACCTCGCCCTCTACCAATGAGCGAGGCCCAGCCCCGTCGGCGCGCGCCGTTGTTAGCGCAAGAAGCGCCAAATAAAGTTCTTCAGGGCTTTGAATATTTTTTTTTTTAAAGAGCCCGCTACCGTTCCCTCAGCCGCAGGGTAAAGAGTGGCCGAGTCTCCGCCCAACCACTTCCGGTCCCGCCGCCCCGAGCCGGTGCGGCTGTGAGGGGCCGCGTCTCGGTGTCGCCGGCCGGCGGGTCATGGTGTTGGGCGCCGGGCGCGCCTCGCCTGTTTCGGGGTGTCCAGGTGAGGAGCGCGCGGCCCTGCGGCGGGCGAGGGACGACCGCGGGCCTCCGCGCGGCTCCGCTCCCGCGGCGCCGATGCACCGGGCGGGCCGGAGGGCAGGAGGCGCCGGGGCCGCCTCAGGCCGCGCGGCTGCTCTTGGCCAGCCGAGCTGGGCGGCGTGTCTGGAAGGCCCGGGCTGGGGCGCTGGCCGAGCTGAGGGGCCGCCGCTCGAGCCCTGGCGGTGCCAGGCACACAGACGGCCTCTTTGGCCCGCGCCCGCCGCCGCGGGGGTGCTGCTGGCTGCATTGTCCAGGGGAAACGCAGCGCTGGGCCAAGGTCATCAGCCCGACGTGGCGGCGGAGGGAGCGGGACACTGACGCCGCAGTCCTCCGGAGACCGCTGTGGGAGTCAGTCCAGGCAGCTGCCCCACACTCGGGGGCGGCCGCGGCGGCTGGGAAGCTGTTACCGGGGGCGGAGGAGGGGACCAGGAGGACATCTTGGAGCAATCGGCCCAGCCGGACCTGATTCCAGACCCGGTTGGGCGGGTGTGTGGTCTTGGGCGTGGCTCTGCCCTCGCGGGGCTCAGTTTCCTCATCTAGTACCGGAGGGGCTGGGCCCGCCGCGTCCGCATTCCTCCCGCGCCGGCGTGGGGCTGGGTGCACTGCAGTGGCCCGGGAAGGCTTCTCGGAGGAACTGGGACCTGGATAGGAGTGTGTCCTTCCTGGGCCAGGTGGGGAATGAGGTGGTGGATGGAAGGAAGACCTGCCATGCCTGCGTATCACACAGGGCAGAAGCTTCCAGAAATGAGCTGGGTGTTGTTGGGGGACAAGGAACAGGCTGGCCGCCCAGTGCAGAGGATTTCTGGCCGGAGGAAGGCGGGTGTCGGCAGAGGGTGCCGGCGGGAGAGGTGTTGAGAGACCGTCACTTGCAGGCTGCTGTGGGTCTGGGGGACCTCCGCCCAGCCACATCTGCCATGCAGGTAAGGGGCGGGTTTACTGCTGGCGAGGGGAGGGTCGGGTTCCACAGGTGCGTCAGCCAACCGGCAGGACTCCGGGCCTGGCGGGAGGTTCCCGGGCCCTGGCTCTGCAGGAGGTGGTCGGGTGTGGGCTTTGTGGTGTTCAGACCGGGGCCGCGTTGGCTGGGGAAGCTGGCTGTCCCCTAGTGACCTGCACGCAATGCCACCTTTGCACTTAGGTCAGGGCTTTTCCAGCAGGAAGAAGTGTGAAGCAGGAGCTCCCCACCGCAAGCAGGCTGGCGCGGGGTCTCATTGCGGGGTCGGGCCGAGTAGCCCTTCGGGGTGATGACACGGGTGAACGGCAGCTCGGGTTCTCCTCTGGGCAGAGTCTGAAAGCAAGTCCCGCTGGAGGAGGAACTTCAGGGGCGGTGCCACTTGTGGAGCCTGGAGACAGAGCACTCACTCAGTGTGGGCCGTTTGTGCAAGTGCTGCCGCGGTCAGAGTGGGACATTCAGTAACGAAGGAAAAGAGGTTCTGAGTCAGCTGTGGCTGCTCGGGGAACCTCTGGGAAGTTTGGATGATTACTTGACTTCAGACCTTTTTGTCTGGAGTTAAGTTAGCATCGGTGGTTATGTGCCCAAATTATTTAGGTGGGTTTCATCCCTAAAGCTGTGCCTGGTCCCAGGGAAGATACAGGCGACGGGGAAGTGGGTGGGCCCTGTACACCTGATTTCTTAGACTGGCAGGGACAGACGTCTGCGCTGTGTTCTGTTACCTGCTCGTGCACCTTGCACACTCAGTGCCCAGCGTGTTCCCTCCTGGACCATGGACCTGAAGACCGCCAGGCATCAAGGTGGAACTGAGTATGTGCCCCTTGGGCCCCCAGGGAGGAGCTCAGTGGGGGCAACGGGGTCACAGAGGAGCTAAGTGATGTCCTCTGGGGCAGTGACACAGGAGAGTGTCGGGGTGCGAGCCCCTCTTTGTGTAGGTGAGCCTCGCCGGGACCCTCTGAGGGGCCCCCTCATTGGGTGTGGCCCGGCCTGTGCTTCTCTGTGGGCTCTTCAGTGTGACTTCCCCAGTGTGCTGCTTGCTGAACTCTGTGCACACTGTGCTTTTTATGTTTTTACACCGTGTTTCATTGCCAAGGTCAGCTAGAGGATAAAAGCTAGCCAACCCGTCGGTGGGACTGGGCGCTTGCCCCAGGTGTATGGCAGTGGACTTGGCTCAGTGGCGGCCTCTGCTTTGTGATCAGATCTGCCTATGGGTTCCCGAGAGGATCTTTCGGCGGGGGGCACTCTGCATTCCCACAGGTGCTCCTCGTTCTGTACCCATTCCCAGTCCCCCCTTGTGAGATTACTTCTCATATGGACCCAGGAGCCCCGTCCCTCAGCAAACCTGAGAGGCGGTGTGCTTGTTGGTGTGGTCTGTGCCCCCACGTGGGCCCACTGAATAGCTGGCGTGGTGGGTGGGAAGGAGACACTGGTGTGGGCGTGTTTTTGCCGCCTGTCGGCTGGGTCGGGGCATAACCGAAGGGCACCGCACTGCCCTCATCCGGTCGGTCCTGGTGCGGGTATGTGCCCCCAAGCCGTACCATGCTCCAGGAACAAGGGTTCCCACTGCCTGCAGGAGGGAAACCCTCGCTTCTCTGGTGACTGCTTCAAGCAGTCGAGCGTCCCCAGAGAAGCCAGTCCCTGGCCCTGGGGTCCGCGTCTATAAGAAGGACGCTGGTGGGGGGAGAAGCTCCTCCCAGATCCGAGGGGCTCACAGCTCGCGAGCCCTGCTGTGCAGCAGAACTGCCCCCGGCAGCGCTGCGACCAGGGGTTCCCCCCGGGGATTGAGGGTGCACGTGTGTGTGCATAGCAGGGTGTGTCCGCTGGGGCCGTAGGTGGCTCAGGAGACGCTCGCTCCGTGTTGTTCTCACAGTGCAGGTTGTGGACATGAAACCTTGTCACCTTTGGGGGCTGTGAGGATGGTGTGAGGGGGTGTGTGAGGACCTGGGAGGGGTCCCCTATGTATTCTGGCTTCCAAGCTCTTGGCCTCAGATGAAACGTTCTGTGCTTAGGTCAGGTTCTCCTCTGGAAGTTTTGGGTCATTTTGTTTTCAAAAGGATCAGAGCGGTATTGAAAAGAACTGATATTACTGCAACAGAAGAAATTCTGGAAATGCTGGGCCAGTGACCAATTTTGTCCTCTGTCACAGGGCGCCCAGAGCCGGCAGTGCCGGAGCAGGCGAGGGTGGGGGGCCCGCCCAGTGGGCTGTGGCCTGTGCCAGAAGCAGTGCAGGCCCTGGGGGACTGTCATGCTGTGCGTGGGGACGTTTCTGTAGCCCTGCCTCCCAGACTACCCGGGTGGCGCACGTGCTGGTCCTCGGTGCCCTTCCCGGCACCCTTCCCGGGCTTCCCTGGGAGGGCTGGAAGCAGCCAGGGAAGAGGCTCCAATTGGGACATTACTTGTAAGTTAGTTTTGGCGTCCATATTCCCTCAAAATGTAAATAAACAACATAAGTAGGTGTGAAGATGCTTGTTAAGGTTCAGGCCACACCTTTCGTAAAGGAAGGAGGAAGCAAAGCACCGCGCTGCCCACTCCTCACCGGAGGCTGACGCGCCCCTTAGTCTACGATGGGCCAGGCCTGGGGCCGCACGCATGTGCGTGGTCCCCGCAGTGGGGGTGGGGAGGGCAGTCTGGCCCAGATGGGGGGCGGGCACGGAACCTGTCATCGGAGGCCCCCCCTGGCCCCGGGCCTGGCGACCAGCGAGGCTAAGCCCATGGTGCTCCCTTTTTCAGGCCATACCTCGCACCGGGGATGCTGGACTTCCAGAGGGTGGCACAGAGGTGACCCAGGTTTCCTGCGACGGAACCCAGTTCCTGCACCTCGTGCTACAGGCACTGCCCCATGTCCCCTCGGCTGCCCCTCACGGCGCCCCGTCTGTCTTCCAGGGAAAGGCGGCCGTGATGCTGACGCTGGCGAGCAAGCTGAAGCGGGACGACGGTCTCAAAGGGTCCCGGGCGTCGGCCACCGCCCCCGACCCCACTCGGAGGGTGTCTGTGAGAGACAGGCTGCTCGTCAAAGGTGAGGCCGTCCGCCAGGGGGGCCACGGGGGCTCTCTTGGGGCCGGAAGCAGCCTGTGGCTGAGTAGAATGCCTGTTGGAACGAATTTTAGAGGGCTGTCGCTCACCGCGTGCAGTGGGGTGCGGGCCACAAGGAGCGGGCATCAGAGACTGCATCTCCCAACCTGGGGCTGCCAGTGTGTGTATGGGGTGGGGGGGGCGCCCGGGGCCTGTGGCTCTGCCCTCTGCTGTCACCTCTGGCTGGTGGCAGGGGGGTCTTCATTTTCTCCGGATGGCTCAGCACTGGGGGCGGGGTGGGGGGGCTGCCCGCGGGGGCAGTGGCAGGGCCCTGGAGCCGCGGTGCGGGCGTTCACCCCTCTGGCGGGGGCAGTGTGTGCCGCGTCGAACGTTTTACAGCAGCCGCACCTGTGTGGTCATGCTGGGCCTGGCGGCAGCACCGCCCTGGGTGGGCCCTTGGAGACCTGACTGTCTCTCCCGGGTGCTGGCCCAGGAGTTCCATTCACAGAGGAGACCGGAGCCGGTGCTGACGCGGGGTGTTATGTTCCAGGGAGCGGAGGGGCTCGGGGCCTGGGGAGTCAACCTGAGGAAGGTCCAGCCCTGCGGCAGGGAGGGGCGGTGGGGAGCTGGCGGCTCGCTGGTCCCGGGTTCTCGACCGCGTCCCGGTCACAGTTACACAGCTCCTGTGCCCTGAGCTCTTCGGGCCAGGCCCCTGTCCTGGGTGACTGTTGCTAAGCTGTGCTGGGTGGGCGGTCCATTTTGTAGCCGGCCTCACTCAGAGGGTTAGGACACTTGCCAGGAGGCCGCTTTAGGGCCACAGGGAGGGCCAGGCCCGGCACGCGGAGGCGGAGGAGCAGAGCAGGAGTGCGGGTGCAGGGGCTTGTGCGCGCCCCCAGCCCTGTCCGGGGTTCGCCAGGGGCTCCACGCAGCCCCAGGAGCCCACTGGGGGTCACCTAGCCGGACTCTGCCCCTGCTGGAGGGCCGGCAGCGTCAGGTGCTCTGGCCTCGTGAGACCACTCGAGGGGTTCAGGACCCCTGGTGTGGCCACTGGTCCCCATCCTCCCGCGCTCTGGTGGGCATCGGGGCTCGGGGAGACACAGGCCTGTGGGCCCACTTGCTCCATCTGCCTCAGGGGCGGCTGGGCCAGGCTGGCTGAGTGGGGAGTGGTCGGCGTGGGGGGGGAGCAAGGTGCCCGGCCTGTTTCTGGAGGGCGCCACGAGGCACAGGGGGGTGCTGGCGGCAGAAGCTCCCCACTTGGGAACTTTGAGAAAAGTGGGGTGTCCGAGTTCAGCAAGATGGCTCTGGTCAGGACTGCGGTCCCAGGCCGGCGTTGGCTAGCTCGAGGATGACCCTCGGGGGGGTCGGTAGGAAAGTGGGCAGCTGTGTCTGTGGAGTCAGCACGGGGGGCTGCGGTGCAGGGTCAGGTCCAGGTCGGGCAGTGGAGGGAGTGAGTCCGCAGCAGCCCCTGCGCCCCCACTTTGCCGGGCGGGCTCTGGGGGGTGGAGGGCCCGGCTGCCCGCCTGCCACACGTGCTCCCCAACACCTGCAGGGGTGCGCTCCAGCCGTGGGGTGGTTTGGGGGACCATCCATCAGGCAGTTCCTGGGCAAGGGGCGGAAGAGCCGGCTTGTTCCCCAGAGCTGCTGTCCCCATGCGGGCCCTGCCCAGGACTGCGGGGGCTTGATGTGCAGTGGCGGCAGGGTGCCTCTGTGCCCCAGCTCCTGACAGCCTCGCACTGTGGGGGTGGGGTGGGGCTGGGGCTGGAGCAGGGCTTCCACAGGAACTATGGGGGCGTGGTTCTGTGCACAGAGCCTCGCCTCAGTGCCTTGTGCAGCAGGCGCAGCCAGGGCCACACACGACAGAGTGTGTTTGAAAAGCTGGGGGGGCCTGGCCGGGAGGGGAGGAGGAGCATGGCTAACCAGGGGTTAAGGCGGCTGCCCCCCCCCCCCCATGACCTTTGCTTGCGGGAGGGTTGAATGTCAGCAAAGCAGCCCAGGAACCCGCGTGGACCCTCAGTGTGCCGACTCGGCCCGTGGGCCAGGGCAGTCTGTGGGAGACAGAGAGAGCTCGTGTCTGCCCCGTCTGCTCTGGCTGGAGTGCGGGGTATGAGGCCCGGGGCTCCATGCCCTGGGGACCAGGCTCTGCCGCAGGGCCACGCAGGTGTTGGGGTTTTGGCCTCATCGCACCCCCACCCCCCAGAGTGCAGAGGGGCCTGGAGCGCTCTGGGCCTTCACCCTGCAGGTGCTGCTGGAAGGCTCTCAGGCTGAGGGTGGGGACTGGGGCCAGGCTGTCCCTGTGGGGGGCCGGTGTCAGCCAGGGCTGGAGCTGGTGATTTTACCTGGAGGAACTGACTGATACTAACACCAGTCCCTTTGTTTCTACAGAGGTCGCAGAACTTGAAGCTAACTTACCTTGTAAGTATAGCACCCTGTCCGGCGTCAGCGCCATGAAATGATTGTATGGACACGCTTGTGTGTTTCATAACTTCGAGTACCAAAGAGTCTGTATTTCATGTGTGTTAGTGAAAAAATTTATTTATTTATTTTTAGACAGAGAGGAAGCGGGGGGGGGGGGGGGGGGGAAACATCACTGTGAGAGAGAAACATGGACTGGTTGCCTCATAGGTACCCAGCTGGGACCGACCCGCCATCCAGGCCTGTGCCCTGACCGGTCTTGTACCAGCAGCCTTTCGCTTTGCTGGGCGATGTTCAACTCACCGAGCCATGCGGGTCTGGGCAGGGTGCGGTTTAATTTTGGCAGGCGGGGTGACAGCATCCAAGGCCCTGGTTGGGCTGAGAGGAGTCCGTTAGCCTTGCGCACATCCCCAGCCTTCCTGCGGCCTGACCGCTCTGGGGGGGGCGGCGGTGCCCTCCTGCCCCCTCCACCCCACCCTCTTTGCAGGGGAAGGTCTGTGGACCCAGGTGGACAGTCCATTTTTCTTTGGTGACGATAGACCTTCTCGGTCTGGACAGTGGTTTGCATTGATCCTTGTGCACAAGAAGGACGGTGGGCTGCCCGCTGTCGCCTGTCCCCTCCTGCGACCCCTGACCCCTCCTGCTGAGATGTGACCCGCAGGCAGCCCTCAGTCAGGCTGTGGGCGGGGCTTCGGGCCCAGAGCCTTTGTTCAGGGCCATCAGAGCCTGAAAGCTCTGCCCTCTGAACGTTTGTGTGAGTGAGAGCCTTTTCTCACCGCAGTCTGTGAAAAAAATCATTCTGGGGCTGAGGATGTTTGTGATGTGGGTGAAAAACTTTACACGCGGGTCCCCTAGTCCAGGTGAAGCCTGCCGGGGGGACCGTCCGGTGTGGGGCGGGCGGGGGCCACTTCCACCTCCTCCTGAAGCTGGCAAGGCGGCCACCCCTGAGTAGGCGTGACGCCTGTTTCCGAGGTGAGTACACTTCGCTCTTTATTTTGAAGGTATTTTTATATGTGGTGTTTATGGATAGAATGGGTTGTGATATGAAATGTTCCTCATTGTGGGTCTCGGTCAAAAATGTCTCGAAAGTCGTTTGGTTCCTTGACCTCAAAGTGTCCTGCTAGTCGGAACCAGAAGGAAGTGCCTTGGCATTCACGGGAAGGTTCTCTCTCCACCCACTGAGGTGCCTACAGATGAGTTGCTTTGAGATATTCCAGGAAAACAAACCAACCAGTAACCTTGTATTCGGGTAGGCCAGGCAAGTCAGGATTGGCAAAACACGAAGCTGGCTTGGTTCACTATTCTCTTCTCCCTTTTCTTCTGTTATTTAAAAATGTGTGTTGGGACATTTCTGGGAGAAAAAGTAAAGCAGTTCTGTTCTCTCCTCTCGTGATACCCCCCCCCCCCACTTCAACACCACGCGTGCCTGCTCCTCAGGACCCCGGGAGCCTCCCCTTGCTCGCAGCTCCGTCCTCAGCTACGGGTCTCACAGGGTGGCTGGCTCAGCCCAAGGACTGTAGCTTTAGCTTTGTCTAAAAATCTGGGTCGAGAACAACAGAACTTTTTAATTGGCTTTCAAACCCATATCTAACTAAATATCTTAGGTTTAACGAAATATCTTAGCCCTGCGGCTAGAGTGGCAGATTGAAAAGACTGCGGGCTTCCTGCTGCCTTTCCCCCCGCACCCGCACCCCATTCACAGAGTGGCGGGGGGTCTAGGTTAGTTCACACGGAAGAGCCCGGCTTCGTTATCAGAGAGGAAACAGGCCGTCACATCCGTCTCTGCTGTCTGCTCAGTAATCTCTCTCAAACATTTATGGAGGCCAGTGGAGGAACCCGCCACAGTGGTGCTGCCCAGCCACTGCTCGGAGCGTGTGCGGGCCTCTGTGCCTGCGTGCTCACGGAGGCCTCTCTGTCTGCCAAGGACGAGAGCCCCTTCCGTGCGGTCCTGGGAGGAGGCGGTGCGCCGCTCCGCAGAGGACACACTCGGTTCTGCATTTCAACTGGGTTCCTGCGTCGGACTGAAACAAAAGCTGGACTTTTAACATTTAACTGATGGTGTTGGAGTTTTGACTTTTCTGACATTTAACATTTTGGTGTTGTTTTTAGTAGCTTTATTGTTCCTTGATTGTTTCTTTATTCTTGGTGAGCGAGTCCACGTAAGAGGGACTGACGTACATCAGTACCTTCCCTTCAAGCAGGCGAATGCTCAGAATTGAGACAAATGCTTGATGCCAACCTCATACATACATGCCTTTGTCACCTTCTCGTTACATACATTTCACTAAAAAGACGGCACTTTCCACCTGAAGACGGGAAAACGAAGCCCATTCAGACCGTCCCGCATGCAGGCCGGCTGTGCGCTTGGGTGGGTCCGGGACCCGTGGGCCGCTGTCTTCCGTGTTTCTGAAACAAGGGCCGTGACCGCGCAGTCTCTTGGACCCCCGGTTGCTCTCGTCTGCAGCGGTTTTCTGAAGGACTGGTCAAGACGGGACCACCCGCAACGCTGCATTGTTCTGAGTGCCGGGCCGGCCACGGCCATGGCCACGGCCACGGCCACGGCGTGGGGGAAGGAGGCGTGGTGGGAGAGAAGAGGCCTGGCCCAGCATGTCCTTCGGAACCGAACTTCTCTCAGAACCTGTGTGACTTGGGCTGGTCACCGAACCTCTGCACCTTGGTGTCACCTGTGATGATTGAGGACTTTGTTTTATTTACTTTTAATTTTTTTAATTGTTCAAGTACAGTTGTCTTCCTTTTCCCGCCACCACTTCCCCCGGCCCACCCATCCACCTTCCACTCTTAATCCTACCCCCTCTGGCTTTGTCCCTGGGTCCTTTATACCTGTTCCTTGACGACGATTGAGGACATCGGACCAGGTGGTCACTAAGGCCGTCTCCGTTTGAATCACCCTGTGGTCGATGGAAACCCACACTGTCGTGAAACCAGTCGGAGATTTCCGGGTGGACTCGTGAGACACCGTAGGTGCCTGAGCAGCTCCGCACAGCAGGCTCGTGTTCCTGGAGCAGAGACGATCTCCCTCTGCGTCCTGCCCAGGTTCTGCTGGTGTCGACCCTTCTCTTTCTCGTTTGTGCGAGGGAGGCAGGTGCAGGACGTGGCCCACTAGCCCGTCTGTGCCCCCGGCAAGGGCTCTCGTCCCGGGGGTCCGTGTGTGTGCCCAGACCTGCCAGGTGATGCTGTGGACACAGCCAGGGCCATCGGGCCACTAATGGAGCGGACTGGGAGTGCGGCCTGGGCCCCTCCTGGCTCCTCCCTGCATGGCACCTTCCTCCGTGGGTTCTAACCTCCCTGCGGTGGGCTTTCTTCCAAAGTCCAGCAGCACAGTTCTTGAGATTAACGGAGAGATCGCTACTGCTAGTGCCCATTCAGAGGAAAGCGAACGCCTCCACTTGGAGTTCGGTAGGAGGGGCTGCCCCAGGAGGTCGTGGGGCTGCCTCTTCAGCACAGCAGCCTGGCCGCCATCAGACAGGCAGGCAGGGGTCCGGCGGCACTCGGCCGAGCGAGCTGGGGGGCCTCGCCGTGGGCCCCGCCGGCCCTGCCGCCCCCTGACCCCGGTTTCCTCTGCAGGTACGTGCACGGTGCACTTTCCCGACCCGAACAAGCTCCACTGCTTCCAGCTGACCGTGGCCCCAGGTAACGTGCCCACTCACCTCCGTGGTCCGGGGGTTTTTATGCTGAGACCTGAGAGGCTGCCCTGTGACTTCAGCCGTGTGGAAGTTACGCAGTCATGACCTTCCCATCTGGAGACGAGATTCGGCTTTGTGGTGGAATAAAGCCCAGTGATGGGAATCTGCGTCCTTCACTCTAGTGACCTGGGACAGCCTGGCGACCCCGTGAGCAGGACAGGCTGCCGGCATGCCCTGGAGTCCCCCGGGCCCCACAGGGAGCAGCCGTGTGGCCGGGGTTGAGTGAGCTGCACAGCGGGGACGGAACAGGACTGTCTCCCAGGACAGCTGTGCGGATGGTGGGGATGGCGTGAGCGTACAGGCGGATGTTGGCAGGTCGCCGGCTGTCCGGGTTAGGACTGATAAGTGTCTCTGCTCCCTGGGCCCCAGCAGGACGCCACGCTGCTCCCGGCTGACCCGGGCGTGGGGAGGGAGGGCTCGCGTTCTTCTCCTCACTGTGCATTGCCAGGGTTGCAGGTCCCAACAGCACACACGCCGCGCTCACCTCGGGCAGCGAGCAGGGTGCCCTGGGCAGCAGGGAGCGCACAGAGGGAGCTCATGGGTGGGGGGAGTGTGGTGGGGGAAACGAGGGTGTCGTTTTCTTTGGGGGACGGAGTGGGGTTGGGAAACAGACTCCGGCGTCACTAGCTAACTGAGAACGCAGACTTCCAGTAGGTGACGCTGAGCCCACAAGTCGGCCCTGAGTTCGTCTACCTGGAGATAGAATGTTCTCGGTTTTCCTGTGGAAGATGTTTTATAGTAACAGGAACAATCCTGTTTTAAAAATGTGCTTAAGAAGTTTTAAAAGTTTACTGATCCATGCGGTGGCTCTGCACACCACCGTGGACTCGAGCAAACGCTCGGTCGGGGCCGTTCTGTTCCGGTGCCTGGGAGCCGTGGGTGTGAGCCAGACCAGGGTTACACCCGCCCGCTCTTGGAGGCGGGCTGTTTGGCACGCCCGACACCCGGGCTCGACCGGCCTCGGGACCTCCAGATGGAGTGGCAGAAATGGTCGCCACGCCCGGCCGCCGCTCTAAAACCCATTGCCTGTTCTGCTGACTTGACTGAGGGGCGCCGGGCACACTTGCTGTCCCAGGACGACCCGCGGGTACCGGTTCAGGGTGCTGCTGGCAGTCGCTGAGGTCGAGAGGCTGGCCGCCTGCTGACGGAGCGGTCTCCGAGGGGTGTGTGCGAGTGGGTGTGTGAGGTCAGAACGCGGGCCTCCCTTGGCCCTCCCGGCCCTCACAGCACTGCCAGCGATGCTGGGTGCTGCCCCTGCCTAAGCACCGGCATGGTGGCCCTTCTCAGCCACTCGGTGCCCTGTGCCAGGTCGTCGCTGTCATAGCATAGTGGCCTCTGCCCAAGCGTTTCTTTCTGGGCTGCGTGTCCCTGCATTGCGTGGATGCTGGGATTGCGTGCGTGACGCCGTCCGCTGTTCCTGGAAGCGGAGCGCGGGGCTGCTTGGTTGTGGCGCTCTCTGTGGGTCTGATGGAAAGGGACTTGGGTGTTGGCGCCGAGTGTCGCTGTAAGTGACAGCACTCACGTTGTGGACACATGCACATCAAGACATGGTGGTCACGTGTGTGCCGAGCCTCAGAGCTGCGGTGGCTGCCCCGGGGGTCAGAGGTGTAGGCCGCCCCCTGCCAGGCCTCAATACCTGCCTGATTGGGTTTCTCCAAACCTCTCTGGGCCCCGGCCCGGTAGCTCAGCAAGTGGATGCCATCCTGGTACGCCAGCGTCACATGTTCGGTCCCCAGTCAGGGCATGCACACGGTTCAGCAGGCGGCATGTCAGTGAGTGGGACCACCGGTCAGCGTTTCCGCCTCTCCCCCCGTCTTGCTCTTTCTCAAGTGAGTAACTTTTTAAAAGCACATTTTCTGGATTCCCACTCCTTTTAGTGTTGAAGCCAACCACAGACGCGTGCCTAGGCAGTCTCCACAATGTAGGGAGCAGATGGCGTCGCACCTGGGCGTGTGCAGCTAGCAGTCCTGGGGCCCACGCGTGACCGCGGAGGAGGGAGTGCAGGTGGCGTGTGAGGCCAGGCCCTGGGCTGCCGGCGGGGCTGAGGCAGGCAGCCCTGTGTTTGAGGCTCACAGCTCATCCCGGGTTCGACAGCACAGTCCTGTTCACGGTCAGCGGCATTTTCAGTTTTGCTGGTCTTTGGCATGTGCTTCATGCTTGGGCACGTGTCCTTCAGAGGGACGGAGGAACTGAAATCTGGGGACAGGAAATGAGTTGGTGGGAGTCTGTGAACGGGGCACAGACTGTCCCAGCCCTCAGACACCAGCCACACACATCAGGATCCAAGGCAGCACGTCACTCTGTCCTCTGGCCTCTCAGTGAGAGGAGCCTTCTGGACAAGCTGGGAAAGACCATGATGTCCTGGCTGGCAGGACGCCTGAGCCTCGGGCACTGTCCAGCGGGTCCATTTTGGACCAAGCACGGACCCGAGAGCACCTTGGGTAGTCTGTCCTCCCAGGGACACCCGTCGCCGGCACACATGGGTGTAAGCGTCCTGGGAGGCCAGGGCCTCGGGCTCCGGGGCACCAGAAGGGGGAGGGGCGTGTCCTCCCAGTGCAGCCCTGGGGTGGAAGCTGGCAGCCTGCCCTGCAGCCTTCACCCTTGTCCTCGAGCACCGTTACCCAAGGAGCAGGGCCTTCGCAGGCACAGTGACCAGGGACAGGGGCACATGGGCACTGGGTCACAGGTGCCCCGACGGAACCCTCTGCCCGCAGGCCCAGTCTGGGCGGGCCCTTCTCTGCACCCGCTGGGTGCGTGAGAGAGCCAGACCTGGGAGCAGGGAGGGCGAGGGCATGGGCGTCGGGTCCCTGTGGGGAAAGCCAGTGCCAGAGCCGCCCGTCTCGCTGCGGCCCACCCCTGATGGCTTTCCGAGTCGGACTGCAGGGTCCCGGGGCAGAGTCATGGTCAGTCAGCAGGCTGGACTGGGTCCAAAGCTGTGCAGCTCAGAAGAAGGAAAAAAGTTCTAGCTCAGAAGCAAATCATTTTCCTGAAAGATTTATTCCGTGAAATAGGGGAAAAATGAGAACAGCCTGCTCTACTTCCATTGAGTTGAGAGATGACAGAATCTCATCTGAGGTCACTGAGAACTTGACCAGGCCGGAGGGACACGTGAACTCAAGCCACGTTGGCCCAGAAGCATTTTCTCTGAAACTGGTGGGCCGTGGTGTCGAGCCCCAGCTGCGACCCTGAGACACGAAGAGCCAGCCAGAGGAAAGCCGAGGAGGTGTCTGGGGTGGAGAGGCCTGCACAGGCCGGGGGTGCAGGGGGAGGACAGAGCCGATGCTGCAGAAGCCAGCGCCCCCGCCACAGTTCAGAGGGCACCGCTCGGTGTCAGGAGCTCCGGTCATGCTGCTGAGCGTGGTGACCAGCAGCAGCTCCGAGACTGGTGCCGCAGCACTGTGGGGGGTGCACCCTGAGTACTCCGTTCCGGAGACGCCACTCGGCTGAGCCGCTCTCGTGCCCGGAGTTAAAGTATTTCCCCAAAATATCTTTTCCACAGACAGCGCTGTCGGTCACTGAGCACTGGGACTAGACTTGCAGGGGGTGGGGGTGGGGGTGGGGGGCACAGCAGCGGAAGCTGCAGGACGGCGGCGAGTAGCTGGAAAGCACCCCACCCCCACCCCCGCCGTCTGTCCGACGAAGTCCAGGTGAACGCGGGCGCTGAGGGCTGAGTGCAGCCCTAGGTCACTGGCAGGAAATGGAGAAATGGGGCATTTCTGTCCCCTGTTGGGAAGGATCTTTTCAAGGGAACACCCAGGACAGAAATGGCAGAGACGGACTTGAAGGTGAAGGCTGGCCGCACGTCCACTCCGCGTCAGCAGCCGAGGGAGCCTGAGTGTGGTGCTGCTCAGCCCTGATGGGCAGCCTTTGGGAAAGTCGAACCTTCGTTTTTTTCAAAGATGTTTTTATTCTTCAAGCAAGGGGGAGGGAGTAAGGGAGAGAAACACCACCGCGAGAGACACGGTCGGTCGTTGCCTCTCGCACGCAGGCCCGAAACCCGTGCAGGCGTGCCGATGGTCCTGGGGCGGGCCCTCGCGCCTCACGGGACGGCTCCCCGCCCACTGAGCCACGCCGGTCGGGGCTGAGCCTTCGTGTTTAGGATGTGTTAATCTTGTCGAATTGTGAGTTTAATTCCTGGGACACATTTCTGAGCTCGTGTCTGCAGCGTGAACCCCTGGGAACTGGGCTCCCCCGCCGACGGCCCCTGGAAGGGGCCGAGAGGCAGCAGCCCAGCCAAGGGCGCCTGTGCGGGCTGGGCCAGCCGCTCCGTCCCTGACCGTCTGCGTGCCCGTGGGGCTCCTCTGCGAGGACAAAGCTGTCCCCGGGCTGTGTGCCCGGGGCCCGGAGCAGCGCCCTGCACGGGGTCTGTCCTCAGTCAGCCTGTGTCGAATGGCCAGAGCCATGTGCCGGGCCCTGGGGCCGCAGCAGTCACCACTAGTCCCCTCCCTGTGGAGCTGCTGCTCTGGTGGGAGACCGGCCGCCGCAGATGGGTGGCCGCGTGGCCTAAATAAGGGGTTAGCTCCAGTGCCGTGTGGTGAGGGGACACGCCAGGTGCCCGATGCAGAGTGGGCGGGGCCCGGGCGAGGGCAGGCTGCTGAGGCTGCGGGGTCCCCGGAGACTGTGGGGGCGCAGACGCGCTGCTCGGGAGACGGGGTGCGCTCCTGGCAGAGACGGCCCGTGGTTCCCTCGGGAACTCCGAGTTCTCCGGGCCTGGCGCATCCCAGTGCAGTGTCTGCTTTTGTTTCCTTGTTTTTTGATTTAAAGGGCTTTTTCATTTTGTTTTGTGTTTTCTTCTAGATGAGGGTTACTACCAGGGTGGAAAATTCCAGTTTGAGACGGAAGTCCCTGATGCGTACAACATGGTGGTGAGTAGCCTGCGTCGGGGCCGAACGAGCTGGTGCCGAGCGGCAGAGTCAGTGGAGAGTCGCCGCCTGCGCCCCGCCTGGTCTGGGGGCGGGGGCGGGGGGCCCTGCTGCGAGGCCCTCCGTGTCGGTCCGTGAGGCCGCGGCACTGAAGGGAGGGCGCTGTATGTGGAGCTGGGGTCCGCTCACACCGAGTCACCAACTCCAAAGGCACATCAGTGTGTCCTCAGAATTTCAGGAAAAAGTAGAGTCTTGTAGTTTTCAACCCAAGTAACTTACACCCGTGGCTGCGTGGTAATCCTGCAGGGACCCTCCGGGTCATAATTACGCCAAGTGCTCTCCCATCCGTCTTTGGTTTTGGGAACTTCCTGACCAGTCAGAGAAGTGAGAGAAAATGGTCCTCAAACGTGGAAAGAGGACAGAAGCAGACAGTAGTGATCAGTGATAGGAAACTAATTTCCGGGAATTCGTCAGAGAGCAGGTGGCCAGTTCAGCTGCTGGAGAAACAGCTGTGGGCCGGCCTCCAAGTGGGCGGAGGTGTCTGGTCACTGCAGGGACCTCTGGGCTGGCGTGAGCCCCACGGGGCTCCCTGGGAGGGACCGCTGTCCCCTCCTCAGAGCTGAGTTGGGGCTTTAGTCTGCACCCCCTTGCCCCGCTTTGGCCTGCAGGCCTCACCAGCCATGCAGGCTGTGCCTGCTTTCTGTCGAATCCATTCCCATTTATTTGTTGAAAAGCAAATCAGAGCACATTGAAATGTTGAAATTCACTCTGGACCTAAGTCTGTAGTCCCTGGACACCTGCGCTCGCATGGTCGGGCAAGTCAGAGTCCTTGGTGTCCAGAGGCGAACTCACGGTGAAGGCGCCAAGAAAGTGTGTTGCTTCAGCCAGTGAGTGGGGGGGGGACACTCTGGGTCGGCATCAGGACACAGATTTGATTACAGAGATTTTTTCAAACCCCTTGACCCCCGAGACTAACCTCATAAATGCAAACTAACGCCAAGAGACGGACTGGGAACATGCCCCCGTGACTGGGACTGGCGCTCGACGTCTGTGAGGTGGTGTGCCAAGGAGGCCGGCTGCGGGTCTAGGCCAGGAAGGCCCTCCCCTTGCTGTGGGGGACGGCCCTAGTGGCGCCACATCTCGGCTGGGCGCTGGCCAGCGGCTCCTCTGTTGGGCCCCATCCTGGAGACGTGCCACTGACTCGGGCCATCCGTCCGTCCGTGGGGGCATGGGAGGCTCATGGAATGTGCGGCAGCAGGGAGCCAGCTTCTGAAATGCTGCTGCTTACGCTGTGAAACACGAGGGAGCCCAGAGCCGCCTGAAAGGGTGACAGAAACAAGTGTGAAAGACTCAGGGCGCGTGTTCCTGCCCATACTGTGCACATGAGGGTGACAGAGGTTATTTCCGGGCGGAGTCACTTTCTACCCATATATATACCTTTCTTGTTGTCTTGAATGAGTAGGGGTTGCTTTTACAAGAACCTTGAAAGGACCCCTTGCCCCCCATGCTCCCCATAAACGGCGCAGACCCGCCGTGCTGCCCAGCACCCTGTCCATTCTCCCCGTAAGTGTGTGTGGCCCAGACTTGCACCTGCGGATGCCAGCGGCTACTGATGGCATCTTCAGGAGCACGAGCAGAAGGGGCAGCCCCCTGGGGGGGAGCCAGTTGTGGCCACGGTTCAGCAGTCAACGCAGGGGCAGCTCTGGGCCCCGGGCCCGGTGGGGGGTGGCAGCGGGGGCAGAGCTGCAGGTGCCTCCTCACGGCCTGGCCCAGCAGCCCGTGCCAGCTGCAGCCACGTAGGCCCAGGGCTCGTCGAGGGCTGTGTCAGGGCGCGGCAGGCTTTACAGCCAGGCTAGGCCCTGTGGGTGCAGGGTGACAACATAGTCCTGTGTGGGTGACAGGAGCCTGTGTCTGAGGTGGGACGCTGAGGAAGCAGGGGAACAGGGGCTGGCTGGGGCCCCTGTTGGAGCCGAGAGCTAGGACATGGTCTGGACCTCTCTCTTGCTCTCTCTCTGCATTGCAGCCTCCCAAAGTGAAATGCTTGACCAGGATCTGGCACCCCAACATCACAGAGACGGGAGAGATATGTCTGAGGTGAGCGCCTCCTCCTCACTGTCCTCCCCGAGTGTGAGCGCCGTGTGTGAGTCCAGCTGCGTGGGGTGGGGCAGGGCGGGAGACCAGCCTGCGGCTTTGAGCTGCAGTGGGCACCTGGCCGTGCCTCCTGCGCCCTCTGCTGGCCAAGGCCACGCAGGGTCCGTGCTGCTGCCACCTGCCCTGGGTGATCGCCCTCGGGCCCCTTACCCTCTCCCTGTCCTGTTTCAGTGGGGCCGAGTTCCTTCCCTGTGGCTGATTTCAGCTACGCAGGGAAATGTCACTAGTGAAATCCGGGAGAAAGCCTCCTGCCAGTTCTGCTCCGGCACCCCTCACCTCCACGGCGAGGGTGGCGGCCCCTTCCTCCCTGGCAGGCGCACTGGTGCCCTTTCCCGCCGTGCCGCGGTGCACGCCGCCTCCCCCGCGGCGTCTGCAGTCGAAAGCACACTCACAGCGCCCGTCACAGGGAAACTCCCTTAGAAGCGTCTGCTCTGAGTGTTGAGACTTTGCAGGTGTGCCGTCCGCCACTCCAGGCGACCAGGGGTGTGTGGCCCAGCCTGTCCCCCTCCTCCCATAGAGTCAAGTCCAGAGCAGAATCCCCCTGTCACTTTCTCCATCTTCCCAAGAAATCGGATGTTAGGGAGGCGTGACAAGGGTGGACCAGACGCTGCCCTGCTTCAGAGGCCGTAAGGGGAAGTCATCCATAGGTTAGGGTTAGAGACACAAACACAAAAGGCAAAGCGGGAGCAGCCGGATCACAGTATTCGTGAGGGTCCCCGCGCATCAGTGTGAAGAGGGAGGCACCACCTTGGGGCCGTGGGCGGCAGCGGCAGACAGGCAGTGGGGGGGCGGGCAGCCGGGCGATGGTGTGTAGAGTTCAGCAAAGCCCAGCTCCTTCTCCAGAAGGAGACCTGTCATAAATGCTTCGCAGTCCGGAGTGGCTGTCCGGCGGGAGGGTGCGCTGCACGTCTGCAGTGGGTGGAGGAGGCGCAGAGGCACCCCTCAGGGCACGCCCGTGACCGCTCCCCACAGGGGCCCCCACTCCCACCCACGGTGAGCACCGTCCGGAGTCGCGGGTCAGTCTGCCTCCATCCTCAGTGTCCCCTCCGGGCCTTTCTGTAAAGACAGCCGTCACAGTGGGCGCCAGGTGCTCTCATGGGAGCCGTGCTGCAGGTCCAGGTGACAGGGACGTGGGAGCTGCCCTTGGGGAGGTCGGGGTGTGTAAGTGCAGGATTGAGGGGACACTGAGCAGGAAGCCCCTGGTGCCCTTCGTCCCCACTGTTGTCGCTGTCACCTCCTCACTGTCAGGTTGACACGTGTCCTGCAGTGCTTCCAGCATGCCATGCCCTGTGCAGACCCTCCCATCCGGGAGGACTGGCTACTGTGCCCATGACCGAGGTCCCGGTAGGTCAGGCTGGGGCATGGGCCAAGCCTCAGAGGGCAGGCGGCCTGCGGTGGCAGGACAGGAGACCTCGAGGCTGCGGAGCCGCCCAGTCCCGTGCAGACCCCTTGGCTCCCTGCTGACTGCCCTGCTCTCTGTGTGTCCCCTCCAGTTTGCTGCGAGAACATTCGATCGATGGCACCGGCTGGGCCCCCACGAGGACGTTGAAGGTAGGCCGCGCTGCCAGGGACCACAGCCCTGGAGCCCCCTCCCTCAGGACCCAGCCACCGGGAGAGCAGCGGTGTCCTGTGTCCTGTCCCTCCCCGCCCTGCCAGCCACTGCCCCCTGGGGCTGCTCCGCCCAGCACCAGCCAGTGGAGGGCGTCAGGTCACCTGCTCTGCCCTGGCCCTGGCCCTGGCCCAGCTGGCTGCGAATGCTTGACCATTTCTTTTCTTTCTGCCCACCCCCAACCCTGGCCTTTTATAGCCGTCCCTTAAAGGGGAGGGGAGTTTTGGAAGTGGGGGGAGAGGGATGGAGAGGAGGGCTAGGCGTGACCTCTCGTGTGTCGTTTCTGAATATTCTGGACAGCAGGCAGCCATGCCTGGTGTGGAGAGGGGCTGGCCCAGGGGCCGCAGGGCCCGGGAGCTGCAGGGACTGAGTAAATGGCCCCACCGGCTTCTCCAGTGCAGGCATGAGCTGCCCTCGGGCACACGTCACCGAGCCCCCCACACAAGGCTTCTCGGCAGTGGTGTCCAGGGAACACCCAGGGTTTCTCTCTGAGGCCTGGTCCCTGCACTAGAAGCAGTCACACTCTGGCTTGCATGAGCGCAGCAGTGAGCAGTCACCTGACCGCCACCATTTCTGACCGGGGAGCCGGTTCCAGACGGTCATCACCTGCATCCTGCCTCATGTTGAGGCGCCGCCACCCAGCAGCGTGCTCACCCTGGCAGGGTTCAGGGAGTGTGTTCCCAGCCTGCACTCTGCCGGCCCCGGCTCAGCACAGGAGCGTGGTTGTCTGGGCCAGGCCATCTCCCCTGCTGACCGTCCTCCTCCTCCCCTGAGGCCAGAGGTCCTGGCACATCCCCGGGAAAGGGTCTGAGTGTCCAGCCAGTGTGTTGGTGATGCTCTGAGAACTGGCTGACACAGCGCCAGCTTCCCCTCCCCTCCCAGAGCACTGGTGGCCCCCTGGCCACGGCCGAGTGTGGGCTGCAGAAGCGGCCCCAGCCTGCGCCTGCGCCATGTGCCCCGGAAGTGAGCACAGTGTGCGAGCCGTGTTGGCGCTGCCCCTTGGGCCCCAGGGGTGGGCCTGAGCCAGCGGGCAGGCCTGGGCCCTGTGCTCTCAAGTGACCCCCATAGCAACCTGACTGCGGGCTCGTCTCTCGGAGGCCGTCCTCGCTCTGCCGCCCCTGTCCTCAGGAGAGGCCGCACACATGTGGCAGCACGGCCGAGACGGGGACGTGTGTGGGGGGGGGGGCGCTGCGGCCCCAGGCCTGGTGCACACCGGGTGGGGTGCAGAGGGACTGGAGATGGGCAGCCACGCTGGGACAAGCATGGGTCCCCAGGAGAGCGGCCCGGGGGGCACAGGACACTTGGGCTCAGGAGGGCGAGGAAGGGCCCGACTGGCCCCCATCGGTCAGTCCAGAGGGCAGGCGGCCTTGAATGTCTCTTCGGTGACCGTTTCTGACCTTCGAATTTTGAGAAAATGTTGGTCGCCCTGGAGTTTTTGGAGCAACTGAGAGCGAGAGGCCCAGGGTGACACCCACAGTCACCAAGAGCGCCCTGTGCCCAAAAGACAGAGTGTGTGCTGGAGGCACCTTGGTGCTTCTGGATGCTGCGCGGTGGTGACGGCGAGCGGTGGTGACAGCAAGCGGCGGTGGCAGGTCGGCCCGTCCTGTGCAGGTGCTGCCCCGGCTCTGTCACTGCCAGGTCGGCCCGCAGCTCGCGCCCACCAGCAGGCCCAGTGTGTCCCCCTCCACCTTTCCGAGGGCCTGGCTGTCACGAGAGGCACTGTGTCAGCGGCTGTCTTGGGGAAGCAGCCCGCTGACGGTGGGCTTGGACAGGGTCCTGTCCGAGTTTCCCATCGTAGGTGTGAGACTGAGTGCCCAGGAGTCTGACGCTTGGTTTTTCTTTCTCCCTTGTTCCAGGATGTTGTTTGGGGATTGAACTCCTTGTTTACTGTAAGTGTTCTGACCAAAACTCCGGGCTCCCCTTGCCCCCTGCTGGCTGGGGCTAGACCTCTCCCCCCCTTAGGGGAAACGGGGATTAGAGACTGCACCCTGCCACCCCTTTCCTGTGCACCATTTGGGGCCAAGGGGTCACTGAGGCAGCTGGGGTGGGGAACCACTCCAGGCCCCTCCGAAAGCCAGGTGTGTGGTGACAGCCTGCGCCCAGGTGGCGGCCCCTCCACCTGCTCTCAGAGCTGCCAGAGCGCTCTCACGGGTGTGGCGCAGACTGCCTGGTCGTCAGGCCCTTTTCCACAGGCCAGAGAGCACAAGGCCACGCTCTCATAGTCGTCCGCCACCACAGCGGAACTTTCCAGAATCCCATCATGTCCTGGCCCCAACCCTGGTCTAGGTAGAACGGGGCTAGTGCCCCTGAGGGCGGGGCAGCCCAGCCTGGGGCCCTGCCCATGAGCGTGGTGGTCCTTGTGAACGCTTGTCAGAGTTAAAGGTCAGAGCAGGACCCGCAGACTGAGAAAGCGAAGCCGAGAGTCACAGGGGAAGGAGGAGGGTTGGCTGTTCGGGAGAGGGAGTGACGGGACTGTGACTCGGAAGGCATGTGGTAAGTGGCTTTGCATCTTCCAGTCTCCGGCAGCGTGAGGGATGCATGTGGCTGCATCTGTTTTCACCAAACCGCACACAGCCACACGTGAGCACGACCCCAAGAGCCAGCCTTCATTTCAGCCAGGCGCCAGCTTTCATTGCGGAAAGCGTGCAGCTCAGCGCCATGCATGGGGGAGCCCCACTTGACCGTGGGGCTTTGTCCTGCGGCTCGCCGTGCGGGGCCCGGCTGCCGGGTTCCTGGGCCCAGACGCAGCACGGCAGGAGCAGGGTTCGTTCCCTTACTCACGTGGGCCTCCTCTCTGCAGGACCTCCTGAACTTTGACGACCCCCTGAATATCGAGGCTGCAGAGCATCACTTGCGGGACAAGGTGAGCCCGAGGTGGGAGGCCCCGGCTGGTGCGTTGGCAGAGACCACTGTGGGTCGGATGTGTGCGGAATTGCAGGTGGGGTGCCGGGGCTGGAGCTCCCAGCGGGTCGGGATGCCGCGTAGTGGCAGGTGGGAGTGGTGCGCCTGACGGGGGACTCCGGTGGCGCTCGGCATGCTGCCCCTTCGCCTTGCTGGCAGCGTCGCGATGCGCAAGGGACGCTGACGGTGTGGCGCCCGCCCAGCCTCCTGATGCCCTGCCCTCGAGGTCGCCTGGCACCGCCTTCGTTCTGGGCCCTCAGAGCGGGTCGTGCTCGCTGCTCCCAGGCACCACTTCCTTTTCTTGACCTTGCACTCACACGCACACGCACACGCATGCACACACGCACACGCACACACACACACACCCGTGCGTGGGGCATCGCCCACTCACTGGCAGAACTGTTCTGTGTCCCGTCAGCCCCTCTTCCCACTTGCTCAGCCACCCTGCTGGTGGCGGGCTCTCAGGGTTCCTGGCTACAAACAGCCTTGCGGTCGGTGTGCTCTGCACACTCCCAGCCCCGGCTCTCACTGGCGTGCCCCAGCCGGTGTCCTGCACATGTGACAGGCACAGCAGGGGACAGGAGTCATGCAGTGGGACAGGGGGCTCAGGTGCTCCTGGTCAGGAGGAGGTGGCCGTGGGCAGCCCTGGCTTCTGGATGGGCGTTCGTGGTGGGAGACGGCTCTGGGTCCCGGCAGTGCCGCCCACCCCTGTGCCACCGGGGCTGGGTGGCCACCTGGCAAAGCCTTGGCTCACCCCCCACTGACAAGCCCTTGTTAGTTGCTCCCAGACGGGGGTCTTTCCTGGAGGCTCCATTTATGTTGTGACCCTGCTTGTCCTTGCTGCTGACAAGGATCCCACTCAGCGTGTGGTTGTCCCAATGGCCCAGACCTTGTCGGCAAAAGAGCGAGAGCTGCAGGAGCCCCTCACAGAGCCACGGGGGGCATGCAGACCCTCTGCTGTTTCGTTTTTCTCGGAAGGTTGCTTCCTGTTTTTTGTATGAAATGAGGGGCAGACTAGCAATGAGTAATTTTGTCCCCGGTAAGATGGCCCTCACATCAGCCAGAGAGCGGCGAGTGCCCCCCGTGACCTCTCAGACGCCCAGACCGCCCGTGCCCTCATGCCCTGCCTGTGGTTGGGAGCTCGCCGCTCACTGTGTCTTACCGTCCGGTACCGGCCCGGTGTGGCTGGCGGCTCTAAGTTCCAGCGGGGTGCTCGGGCTGGGGAGGCCAGGGCAGACAGCCGCTGTCCCGTGGAGCGAACGTCCCGGCGGGCAGAGGCAGAGCAGGGGATGAGCCAGCAGCAGGGGAGGGGGGCCGGCAGCAGTAGTGGGGGGGTGCAGCCGCTCTACTCGGGGGAAGCCTCTGAGGGGGTGTGACTGGAGACCTGACGGAACTGACCGCAGCCGGTGCGGAGTCCCTGGGAGGGGGCATTCGGGAGGGCGGCAGCTGCAGCGGCAGTGACCCTGTGGGACCCCCCAGGTGGTTGGCTGTCCTGACAACTCCAGGAGGGTCTCTCCTGCTGTGCTGCTGAGAGACTCATCAGAAAGGGGTGGAGCCCAGGACTGGGACCCCCAAGGCCTGGCTGCAAGGCTGGTGTCTCTCCGCAGGGCAGAGGGGCGGGAGGCAGCAGCGGCCTGAGCGTGCGGGGCCATCGGAGGCTTCCTCTCAGGGCTTTGTCCTGGGTGAAAGGGTGAGAGCAAAGGGCAGTGAGGCCACGCGGGGCACCGCTGGTCCCGGGGCAGCACGGGGTGCGAGTGTGCCCGGGGCCTTCGCTTGGTGTCCAGTGAGCTTTGTCTGGGACGCCTTGGGAGCCCACAGCCCCACTGGCGCCCAGGCGCTGTGGCGGCGGCCCCATTGGAGTCCTGTCTGATGGGAGCTGGTCTGCGCTTCCGCACAGCCCGGCCCTGCGGTGGGTCTCCAAGTGCAGCCCTGTCTGCCTGCGCGGGCATCCTGACCGTGACTGCATCTGTGGGCTGCGTGCTCCCTTCTGCAAAACAAGGGGCCTTAAGATCCCTTCTGCTCCGAGCTGCTGTTTGGGACAGCCTCCCTCCAGCACCCCCGGCACTGTCACAGGCGCCCCGAGGGGCCCCAACCCTGTGGGTCTCTAGCTGTCCTGCCACCTCTACTGCTGGAGGTTGGTGGCTGGACTCTCAGTGGGTCCATGGCTCTGGTGGCTCAGACTTGTCCCTGAAGTGTCACACCCCCACTCACTGGCTCCTGTCTGCCCCCACAGGAGGACTTCCGGAATAAAGTGGAAGACTACATCAAGCGGTACGCCAGATGATAGGGGGGCCCGTGGGCACGGACTGTGCGAGAGGGTCCCCCTGGCTCCCGGGCTCCCCAGTCCTTGCGCTCCCTCAGCCCTGCCGGCTCTGCGGGTCCTGCAGTGTGTCCTGCCCCCGGAGGAGCCGCTTCATGACTGCCCCCTGTGGACGGAGAGCTCCACCTGCAAACAGCAAGGAAATGCGTCTGCTCACCCTCACCTGTTTACTTCTGCAAGCCTGTACCTGCACCGGTTGGGGCGAGGCTCGAGATGTCGCAGTGAACTCGGAATCCAAGGAGAGCTTGCTTCTTCCCTGTCCCCAAGTCACCTCCCTGCACAGCGACTAACCACATGCCAGTGTAGTTGGCAGGTGGGCAGTCAGCCCCTGCAAATTGTGATTGGTTGCACAGTCCCTTAGTCCCACCCCAGAATGGTGGCTGGCCTCCGTGTCTGCAGCGTCCCAGAATGCAGTCATTCACTGTAGATCTCTTACTGAAACGCGTGCTTTATTTAATGTAAGTATATTTTGGAACAGATTTGTAATTTGTACAATTTAATGCTTTAATTATTTTTTTCTATTCTCCTTTAGTTTGCATTTTCATTGTGTAGAGCAGACAGAAAGATGTGGGTCAGCAACTGTTGACAAGAAATACAAAGAAACTGAAAGACATACTATCCCTCTGTCCAAGTGCAGCAAGAACTTGGCTTTGAAAAACCAGCTGTCACTTTCAGGTCCAGACAGGGCCCGGCTCTGAGTGCCCCAGAAGCTAGGTCTGGGGGCTTGGAGCCCGAGGGGCAGGACCCGGCCCTCAGTCCTGGGGACAGGGTGCACCCTGGAAGAGCTGCTGTCTGACACCACGGAGACTGCCCGCCGTGGCCCTTGTCTGCTGTGGCTCCGGGCCCGTGTGGGGCCGGATGCTGTGCACAGAGACCTGGACCCCTGGTGCAAATAAACATTCGAATGGTTTGGCCTGCTGCCTGCCAGGTACCCTTCTGCCTGACCTCCGCCTGGCGTCCAGCTCCCCGATCTGCCAGGCTGGTGTCCACTCCTGGTTTATACAGTACAGTCTCTGATTGTGATGTCATTGTCCTGGAGGTCAGTGGGGGGGACAAAGGCTGTGCTTCCCATTTGGATTTAAAATCAGGAATTGTGTCACTAGACTTGGGGGTGGCCCCTGAGCAGCAGTCCCCATCCCTGCCCCCAGGTCAGGCAGAGGCCACATAGCTCACGCGGTTGTCACTGGAGCTTCCCCACTACCCGCTCCCCCTGCCTGAGTCCAGCACCTCTCACAGGTGCCACACAGCTGGAAGACAGGCCACCTCTGGGCCAGACCGAGAGCTGTACCTGTTCTTTGGGGCCTCGGAGTGTTTGATGATGGAAGTTGCTTTATCAGGGATCACGTTATTGGGAACACTGCGTTCCCACAGACCTGCACCCGCCCCTCCCGTCCAGGGAGACCTCGTCCTGCCGAGCAGCACACCCGGCTCGGCCCACTGCCAACCGGCAGCGACTCTGGGCCAACCTGGAGGCCTTGTACCTTTGGGGGGTATCCTCCCCACTCAGGACAGAGTAGGTCCTTGTGCCTGTCCATGTGCCCACCAGCCTGGCCAGTTGATTTCGGGCCTGCCAGGGTGGGGCCGCTGGGCAGCTGGCTCCAGCATTAGCTGGGGCCCCAGACGCTGGTCCGGGAAGCTGACGTTGTCCCTAAGGACTCTTGGCTTCCCCTCACACCTGCCACTTGCCTGGCCACCTCCCTGTGCCGTGTTCAGGAGCCAGGGTGGGTGGTGCTTGTGCTGAGCACTGACCTGTGGGCCGCAGCCCCCTCCCCCGCGGTTTTCCTCACCGCGCTGGGGGTGCTGCAGAGCTCTGGCTTGAGAGCCATGGCGGCAATGGCAGCTAATCTCACAGGAGGTCCTGCGTCCCTGCCCTTGTCTCCACGCAAGGAGAGTGAGGGCTGTGTGTGTGCATAGTCCCCACGGGTGCAGGGCGAGCCAGGCAGAGTGCCCGCTGGGGGAATCCTTGCAGTCCAGAAGCTCACGTGAAAACGGGCAAGAGCTGGTCGTGCTGACGCCCAGGGCGCAGTCCAACAGAACTTGAGCCCGAGTGTCACGGGCTTCCCCGTGCAGTTCCCTCCACCTGGCGGCATGCAGCACACCCAAGTGTCGGCTTGAAGGGCGCACCTGCCGGCTCTGGAGTTCAGCGAAACCGTCCCTGAGGGCAGACTCCCAGGCGGGGCTGGTTGCCAAGGTGTACCTGCCGGTGGAGTCTGCTCAGGACTGCTTTTACCTTCGTCCCTTAAACACGTTTCACGTTGGAAAGTCGGGCTCATCGCGAGTTCTCTGGTCTCCGTAAAGTGCTGATATGTACCCTTAGTACAATAATGTTTTGCTTTTTCTTCGCCAAAGAGCCTGGGAAATGAGGAAACCTGTCCTCCATTTGTTTGTCCCTCCCAGAGCCCAGCCTGGGACTGCAGAGGCTCAGAGGGCTAGTGCCAGGGGTCCCTATTGCCCCTGGAGTTGCCACTCTCACCCCGGGTGTCCATGGGTTACCAAAATTGACTTACTGGTTTGGAGAAACTTCAAGAAGCCCAGAGATGGAGGCATTCGGGGACCTTGCGTGTTGAGTGTGCATTCACACTGAGCTGTGCGAAGAGCTGAATCACAGCCCCTTCACAAATCCAGCTTAGGGCTCTTCCATTTCCATCACCAGATTCAGTTTTCTTCCTTTTAGCTGATGGCAGGGTGGCTGGGAGAAAACAAGTCCTGGCCCCAGAGCCCCCAGCACAGCAGGAGGGGGCTGGGCAGACCCAGGCTCCGCCCGTGGGCAAACTTGTCAGGCGCTGGAAGGGGCGAGCCAGCAAGTGGTAGCTCAGGAGCTGCTCGAGCCTTGTCCACAGCACACAGGCAGGTGTGTCCCTGCCCTGGGAGGCCGAGTGAGGCCTGCCGGCCGCCCGTCTGGTCCAACAGGACTCTGGCTCCTGCTCTGCTGATGTCGGAATCTCCTCACCTCGGGGTCAGAGCTCACCGAGCGTCCTCACCCGGCACCAGTCAGCGGTGTGTGGGCTCCAGGTGGAAAGAGTTTGTCTCCTAGGCCTGTTGCTGATCTCATCAAGCCCGTCTCTCTGAGAACTGATGCCAGCCTCCATGGCCCGTGTGCCCGAGCTCCTGCCCCAGCCAGGACAAGGTGTGCAGGCCCAGCCGGTGGCAGCGCTGTGCAGGGAGGGCTTTTTTCCTGTTCCCAAGGGGCTTCCACCTCAGAGTCTGAAAACGGACACCTGTCCCTGGGGAACCTGATGGAGCAGGAGTCAGTGGAGCCCAGCGACTTGCTGGGTCGCCGTGTTCCCTGCCAGACCAATCCAGTGGCAGCAGACAGAGACCAGTAGACACGGGAAGAACAATGGGCTGGAGAGGACCTGGTCACATGTGGGTCAGCACAGACCAGCCCAGGCACTGGCCGCCTCAGTCCTTCCCACCTTGCTGCAGAAGGGGGCTCCAACGGGACCCACCCCTGCCACACCCTCCACTGGCTTTAGAATAAGCAGCACCCCCTGCCCGGCGCTGGACTGTGACTGGGCCCCTGCCCATGAAGGAGCGCTTTCATGCCAGGTGTGATGAGGCCCACTCCACAGACACCCAGCTTCCCCCCTGGGGCCCCTTGCAGGGTTCAGGTCCTATGGAGTCGCCTCTCGCAGGCAGCTGGACACTTCCTAAAGTGCCCCCACTTCTCCCAAGTGCAGGGGGGGGGTCTGCCCTTGCAGCTTCCTGCCTGCCCCCGCCCCCTGCAATAACAGACTCAGTTATCACAAGCTATGGAAAGCGAGGGACGTGGCATGGCTTGCCCATTCATGCCCCGACAGTCCCCTCCCAGAAGCTGTGCACGCTGGCGGCCACCTTCCATCAGCCGCCAGCCACCAAACCCAAAGTTTGCTTTGCTTGACTAAAATCTATGGGCCTGTGAAAAAAATATTGCGGAAAAAGAGGAAGTCACACCCAGCAGATTTGGGGGATGATGACAGAGCTAAAACCACGGTGAATCCACAGCAGCAGATTCTGCATCCAGGGAAAAGACCAAAGATGAAGGTGGAGTGAAGACCTTTCCCATGCGGACGAAAGCCGACAGTCACCCCAACAGGCAGGCACTAAACAAGTCTCTGAACAGATGGAAATCTGTTCACACCGTCACTACGACTTGGCCAGGCAACTTGTCGTGGGGGCTGTCCTGTGTGTTGTGGGCGCCGAGTGGCGTCCGTAGCCGCTGCTCACTAGACTCCAGAGCACCCCCACCCCCCACCCCCGCAGTTACAACCACCAAAATTGTCTCTGCCAATGTCTCCCGGGGCGGGGGGCGGGATCACTCCCAGTTGAGAACCACTGTATTAGATGGGTTTTTTCTGCATTTTTCATGTTTACATGTTTGAGCTAGGATTCCTATGCTCCAGCATCTAGCTCACTAATCCACTCTTCAGCCCTGCCTATTCCATTCCAATAGGCCAGCTGTTGAATGTTTTCATAGAATTTTTAAGAGTGGTTTTAGGTTCATGCAACACTGAGTGGCAAGTACGCCCCGCCCCTTACAGGTACACCCTCCCTCCATTATTAACATCCCACTAATGTGGCATTTGTCGAAACTGATGAACCTCCAGTGACAAGTCACTATCATCTGAAGTTCTTGATGGACGTGGGGGCTCTCTCTGGGGGCCACGCATCCTGTGGCTCTTCATTAGACATGAAGAATTCACAAATGCACAGCGTGTGTCCAAGGCTGTGGTGTCTCAGGAGCTTCACTGCCCTACACGCCCTCTGTGCTCCTGGCTCAGCCCTCCTTCCCCCACCCCCACCCCTGGTGGCTCCTCCCTCCCTCAACCTGTGGAAGACATGGCTGTATCCTCCACTCCTTCACATCCCAGTCCTTCCCTGACTTGCACCCCCCACACGAAATTTGTTCAACTCATCAGCACCTCCTGTCGTTTCACGTGCACTTTACACTGTACTGTGCCCTGTACTTGGACATTCATTCATCCTTTCCTTTCCTTGTGACTGTCCCCGGGCTCCTGTGCATCAACTCCCTTCGATTTTGGCATGTCCTTTACGATTGGGTGCATTCGTCATGCGGTGAGCTCACTGTGCAAGCAAGAATGAAAGGAAATCAAGAAGGGAGCCATGTGGTCCTGCCTGGTGTGACTCAGTGGGCCGAGCAATGAACCAAAGGTCGCCAGTTCCATTCCCAGTCTGGGGCACATGATAGCGTTGCAGGCCCGGTCCCTGGTGGGTGACTTGCCAGAGGCAACCACACATTGATCTTTCTTTCCCTCCCTCCCTCTCTAAAAATAAATACATAAAATCTTTTAAAAAAATAATCTAGACATGGAGGCTTTCATGGCTGGAAAAGACAACTTCTGGACCCCCACGGAGATAAGGTGGAGCAAGTCCTTGAACAACCAACTAAAATGCAATTTCTTTACAAAGTATACCTGAAGTCAAATTCTGGCTCCATCGCTAACCCCTGCACTTGGGCAGGACGCTTTCCTGTGCTTCCATTTACACATACAAAAACGGGGGTAACAGCGGCCCACGGACGGCGTCATCGAGATCAGTCTGAACTCGGGAACAGAGCTCAGGGCAGAGCCTGGCCCCTGCTGGGCGCTCGCTTAGAGGCAGTTATGCAAGGAGCCGCCAGCCCATGGCTTCGTTAGCGGCCGGGAACCCGGACTTTCGGCCCTCTCGTCACCTTCACGGCTTTTCTCACGATCGGCTGGACCCACGGGTCTTGGACGCGTCCACCTGACTCTCTCACCCACAACACACCCAAAACTCAGCCCGTGCCCTTCCCCTGTCCCGGGCTCCTTCGCGCCCAGGAGAAGCAACCGCGCCGCGCCGTGACCCCTGGCCCCTCGCTCTCCCCCGCCCCACACCCAGCTCTCCCCCGTGGCCGCGTCACCGCCCACGCCTCTCCTGAATCTGCCTTCCCTGCGGCCCACGCCCAAGGCGCGGGGCTCTTGCTCTCTCGCCCCGACCGGACACCTACCACGCGGCCGCAGGGAATTATTCCTAATTCCGCTCGAGTCGCCTGTGCAGAGGGCACTCCCCGTGGGGCCCTGGGTGAGGGTTTCAGGAGACCCAGGCCCGAGGACGCAGAAGCGCGGCCCGCCGGCCTCCGCACGCAGCCTTGCTCCTGGCGCCCGGTCCTGCGGAGCAGTCGCAGGCGATTCCTGCGTGCCGCCCCGCCACCCTGTCCACAAGGCCCCCAGGATGTCCACCCTGTCCCCACCCTGGTCCACTCCGCTCGCAGCTCGGGTGCCGCCTCCTCGCCGATGTCGGCTGGCCCGCGCAGGGTGCCACAGAGCGAGGAGCGGGAGAGACTGCGCCGGGTAGGTTTCCCGCCAGCTCTTTGCGGCCGGGACCACGCCCCGCCCCGCGCCCAGAACCGTCACCTGACCGCGCGTAGCCAATCAACATTCCACCTCGTCCCAGCAAAAGGAGGCCAGCTGAAGCGCTGCGATTGGCCCGGTGTGCGCCACTCAGCCAATCCGGACGCGCCCCAGGACTCGCGGCCCCGCCTGCCCCCTCCGCCGCCAAGCCCCAGAGCTGCGCTCCGGGAGTAACTTGCCGGGCTGGTGTGACAGCGCCTGTGGCCGTTGAGTAGAACCGGCCCGCGGCGCGACCGGGATGGAGAAGACCCGGGCACCGAGTAGTCACGCGCAGAGGCTCGTGGCGAGTCCGCCCGGCGGCCACGAAGAGAAGAGCCCGCCGGAGAGGTGCGCGCTGGGAGGGGAAGGCGACGGGAGCCGCCGGCCCCTTTCTCCGGGAAGCCCTCCGGACGCCGCGGGGTTGGGGCAAGGGGGACATTGCGAAACCGTTGGGTCTATTTATAATACTCTAGGCGGGAGGGGTGGTGGCAGAAGTGAACGCACGGAGGCAGAACCCGCAGGCCTTGCTGATGCTGTGGTGCTGGGAAAGCAGGATTAACAAGGATGCCTCTGGTCTGAGCACCCGAGGAAAGCGGGGGCGCAGACCGGGCGGCACTTCCGGTCCCCCCGGCCTCCCGCGGGGGGCGGGCCAGGGGTGCAAGGGAGGAGTTGTCTGGTCGGTGAGGCTGCACCTCCCACTCCAGGAAGGTGTTAAATGCATTTTTTCCGGTAATCCTCTTTACCTGAACACGGGGAATGTGCGCGCGCCTGCAAAACCTGGGTCCAGGTCTCCATCAGACCAGCCCTTGCACGAGGCATTTCGCCTGGTCGGGACGGAGCGGGCGGCGCTGGGAGGATGTCCGCCAGGGAGACCCAGTGGAGGGGCATGTGGGATGCCTTTTTGCCTTTTGGTTGTGAAAGTCCCAGAGTTTAGTTCGTCCACCCAATACTGACAGCACTTCAAGGAAGTAGCAGGTCTACCAAGTGTGTATCTGAAAGTCAAGCCATAGTGAGCCAAGCAGCAGGCTGAAAAGCGGTGATCACTCAGCTGACCTCTGGAACTTGAGGACCTTTGGAACAGTTACAGGGTGTGAGAGCAGAGCAGAGTTAGGGCAGGGAGGGTGCTGATTCCAGACAGGGCGCACTGCCCAAAGACCCGCACCTCCCAGGTGACTGGGGGCAGCTGCATCCAAACATCTGTGGTTTGGCCTCCAGAACGGTGGGCGTGGGGGTGGGTGGTGTTGTAAACACACCGTCCCACCTCCCATGTTTGCACCCCCCTTGTAAGACGGGAAAAAGAGGGCCCGCTGTGCCTCAGTTCAAGACCCGTCCCTCGGCAGGCCCCCCGTGTTCCAATCCCCCAAGTTGCACCAAAGAGTCTTGCTGCAAGAGAAGTGGTTTTTCTGATTTTTTTAAGCGTGGTGGGCTGTCCGAAAGGGAGACATACTGGTGAAGAGCCTCCTGAGCCCGTCACACCTGAGGTCGGGGCTGCCAAGAAGAAAGAACTCAGATTTCCAAAGAGCACAGTGTCCAAGCCCCTAAACCAGTAGAAGTAATAAAGAGGCTGAGCCCCGATGAACCAATGACCAATCTGGATTTAAAAGGATCTGCCTGCATAAAACAACCATTTCATAAACTTAAACAGTCATTGGGAACTGGAAAAAAATAAGAAAGAAGAATGTAGTGATGTAATTAAGGTCTCGTATAGAAATGGCAGTTGTTCAAAGACACGGCAGGTTCCACCGAAGTCTGTGTCCCATTCTGAAGTGCCTGTCACCCGCGAAGCAGTGGGACACTGGGACTGGTGTGGAGGAGAGACCTGGTTTTAATGCACGCTCAGCCCAAGGGGGCTGTGCGACAGGGGACCGCACGGGGACTGCAAAGGACGCTGGGAGAAGTGTTGTTCCACGTGGACAGGACGGGCTCAGGCTGGGGCAGGGCCACCATTTCAGTGCACACGAACATGTTAATTGCTTTGATGTTTGGGTTCCACATGAGTGAAGCAAAAAACCCCTTCTTGACTGTATTTCTGCATGTGATTCTCTACTTAAATGTAACAAAAACATTTCTTTTTAAAAACAACTTGTGATGGGTGATGAAAAGTGGATACTTTACAACAATGTGGAAGGGAAGAGATCGTGGGGCAGCGAATGAAGCGCCACCAGCCTCACCAAAGGCTGGTCTCTGTCCAGAGAAGGTGGCGTTGTGTATATGGTGTGTTGGCAGAGGGTCCTCTATCGGGGGCTCCTTCTGAAAAACCAGACGACTAATTCCGACTGGTACCGCTCCAGTGAGACCACTGAGAGCTGGTCTCGATGAAAAGCATCCAGAACTAGTCCACGGAAAATGCAGAATCTTCCATCAGGAGAACAGCAGACTGTGTGGTTCTTTGGTGACCAGGCAAAACTGTCACAGCCTGGCTGGGAAGTCCCGATTCATCCACTGCAGTCCCCAGACACTGCGCCTTTAGATTTCCATTTATTTTGGTCTTTACAAAATTGTCTTAATGGAGAAAAATTCCAGTTCTCTGGAAGATTGCAAAAGGCATCTGGAACAGCTCTTTGCTCAAAAAGATAAAAAGTTCTGGGGAGATAGAGTGATGAAGTCAACTAAAGGGTGGGCGCCTTTATAGTGGTAGCGGAACAAAACAGTGAGTATGTTGTTCAACACAGTTACTGGTGAACACAAAAAATGTCTTTTAGGGGCGTGGGCTGGGGTGGGAGTAAAAGACAGAAAACTGTACTTGAACAATAATTAAATAAATTTTAAAAATGTCTTTTTTTTTTTTTACCTAAAAACAGAAGGAACTTTTTGGCCAAGCCACAGTTAAAGAGGAATCTATGCATTGAGTAACAAGTTAGAATTCATTTGCTACTAATTGCAATAAAAAATTATATCAGTGCCTATGTTACTTGCCAAGCAGTATCATTTAAGAATATAGGGAATATTACAACTAAGAGTATCAGTTTGATGGAAACTCACCATTTTATGAGTCTAAGCGATAATGTGAAATATCTCTTTCCTGGTTATTTATCAGGTCTTGCTACAGTGCTACGAGTAATTGTATTTGAATTATAGCATACACCCTCTTAAAAGTTTTAGTTACATACTAAGAGAAACTAAATGTATTCTGGCTTCTGTGATTGTAAAGTCTGTCTATAAAAGTATAGATTAAAAGGCTGCAGAAACATTAGGCTGTGCTTTATCACAACCATTACATGTTAAATAAAACAGCCTAATGGTTTCACGGGGTGGTCTAGGCTATAAGCAGTTCCACAGCTCTAGGGAGCAGGATGTGGCTGGCACGTGTCCTGATTTGTTAAACAGCATCACCGCAGATGGGCGGGCTGCTTTCCAAAGTCGTGTGCCACTCAGAAGAACGTGAAAAATGCTGTGAAGGCCAGCCTCTGGCCTTCACAGAGTTTAATAAGCTTGGGCATGAGCTATGCTTACGTAATCAAAATGGTTATTTCCTTAAAACAAAACAAAACAGAAACAGAAACCACGTTTTCAGAGCTATGGTTGGTAATTGTGTTTGCACGTTCATGTGGATGGGTGTCAATACCGTTGTTGACTTAAAATTCGGGCACAGCCCTTTCTGGCAGCAGGCAGGGCTCTCTCCTGCGCTCCCCTGCCACCATCTCTGAAGGCATTTATCTGGGTGAACGGCACACAGGTGAGGTTCCCCGCCCGGGTCTTGCAGAGGTGGTGCGTCCTGTGACATCTTTTTCTTGTCATGCGGGCCACCGTGCCCAGTGCAGGTGACGGGCAGGTGAGGGAGTCCGCAGAGCCCCCGGAGCTGTCGCTCCGCCACTGCCATGGATGCCCACCGGCACCAAGGGGCAGGTCCCGGCGCCTGAGGCATGGAGGGCTGGGAGGAGCTGCAGGGAAGGAGGCTGGGAAGCAGGGGTGGGAGGCCGAGTCAGAGCACAGACAAGAGAGGGGGGGCGTGGTCAATGCAGGTATAGGAAGTTCAAGGAGACCCGTCCCTGGGCAAGCACCGAGGGAGGGAAGGCGGGAGGGGTGGGCGCGGGCCTACCCCCAGCCCCACCGCCTCTGCAGAGACCCTGCGTGGTTACGAAGGATGCCTCTCCTCTCCTTCCCCCAGCAGTGTCTACATGGACTACAACGCCACCACGCCGCTGGAGCCCGCCGTCATCCAGGCGGTGACCCAGGCCCTGCAGGACGCCTGGGGCAACCCCAGCAGCCCGTACCCTGCAGGTAATGCGGACGCGCGCACACAGATGGCGGGTGGGGGCAGAGGTGGGCACCACTGGGGGGGGTGCGGTTTTCGATTGGTTCTGGATAGATTATTGCTGATTCTCGGTAGCTTTTCCCCCCGGCAAGTCCAACTTGGTGTGCTGAGCCTTGCTGACCCACAATCTTTAATCTTTAACATACACTCCTGTCTCCCTTCCGCAGATGAATGAGATGCCTGACTAAGTTATTTGTAATAGCCCTGGCTGGTGTGGCTCCGTGGACTGAGCACTGGCCTGCAAACCAAAGGGTCGCTGGTTCAATTCTAAGTCAGGGCACACGCCTGGGTTTCGGGCCAGGTCCCCAGAAGAGGGCATGTGAGAGGCAACCACACACTGATGTTTCTGTCCCTCTCTTTCTCTCTCCCTTCCCCTCTCTCTAAAAATAAATAATTTCTTTTAAAAAAGACTTATTTGTGATAACTGCACCTATTAAAACCCTTTCATGCATCTGCCTCAGTTGGTCCTCACAAAATTTGCAAAATAGATCTTTTTCATCATCGGGATAAAAAATTATCCTGTTGTTTTTTTTTATTGAAAATTACTTTTGCCCTGGCTGGTGTAGCTCAGTGGATTGAGCGCGGGCCTGCGAACCAGACAATTGCGGTTTGATTCCCAGTCAGGGCACGTGCCTGGGTTGCAGACCAGTTCCCCGCAGGCCAGTTCCCAGCAGGGGACGAACGAAAGGCAACCATACATTGATGTTTCTCTCCCTCTCTCCTTCCAAAGATAAATAAATAAAATATTTTTAAAAAAAGAAAATTACTTTTAAATTCTTTAACCAGAAATATTCTTATTTTCATTTGTTCTTGTTTGGATGAAGAGCAGTGATTTCCAACCTTTCTCATCTCCTGGCACACGTAAACGAATTACTAAATTCTTCAGCGCACCAAAGAAATGTTTTTTGCCGATCTGACAAAAACACAGGTGTAATTATATAAATATTTCTTGTACCAAGAATCAACCAGGCGTAACCTTTTCATGCACTGTGACCAATAAGATCACACTCACGGACTTACGTGTCTCAGATATCACAGTCTTGGTGCAGGGCGTTCACACCGGACAGCCACTGTGGTATTGGCCGTTGTCATTTTTTTCACTTGACAATCTAAGGGAAAAGAGGTCAGCGCCCTCGCATGTCCCAGAAGCCCCTGCGGCGCACCAGTGAGAAACTGCTGGTGCGGAGCGTTACATTGGAGGTCTGGGAACAACCTGCCTCCGATCAGTCACACAGCAGAGCCACAGAGTGTTTTCCAGTTGCACCTTTCTGATCGAATGTTTACCCTCCGTCAAGATCTACCTTACCTGTGGAGCATGGTGACCGAAAATAGCTTTCGAGCCGGTCACTGTGCCAGGGCTGAGTCACTTCCCGGGCGAGGCGGGCTCGCACACCAGGCACTCACGCAGTTTCCCCGCGACCTGAGGGCTGAACGCGTTTTCAGAAGCAGACGCTAGTGTTGTTAGCGCGCCTGTGGGCTTCTCCGGCACACGGGTTCTGGCCAAACCGGGCCATTCCTTGTCTCTCATCTTTCCTCTGGTCAAATTGAACTTGCCGATGCACTGACCTTGTGAGTCTGGAAGATAACTAAATGCCGATAACAAGCAATTAAAATGAAGAAGTTTACAAATGACCCTAAGGGAGAAATAGTGTTCTCGTACCTTGACAGCCCTTGTTCCCACAAATTAAGAGCCATTAGTAAAAAATGCATTGCAACTCGCTTTTTGTTGATACTCTGGTAAAAATAAAAAACCGGGGAGGGGGGCAGAAAATCGCCTTTATGAAAGAACAATGTCATCACTCACTTTCATTATCATGACATAATGTTCGTTTGGGGGATGTACTTAAGGACAGTGTTAAGGGTGTGGTCCAGTGCGTCCGCCGTTGTCGGCTGGTCCCCAGTGGCACTGGCTCTTTCCGCCCTGGGTTCTGGGCTGTTCCCACCATAACCACCCCCTGCAGTGGGCAGCCCCCCCCAGCCTGGCCAGCAGCGCTCTCGAGGCGGGCCTGCCTCGGGTGGAGAGGAGACCCCCCCCATCCAAGGACTCAGTCCTGTGTAGTGACATGGAACGCAGATACATGTGAGCATCTGCATGACTGTCCACGAGGAGCTAAGAGGGTGCGTGGGCCACCCTCCTGCCTGAGCCCACCGACATCACCAGTCCTCCCACGGCCTCAAACCGCAGTGACCAGGTTTTCCCAGAGCCCGCAGCCCGTCACCACTCAGAATGGAAACCATGGGCGGAAGGAGCATATGGACTGCTGTGTCCATTTCTTTTTGCCACACCTATTTTTTTATGTCTGTTTTATTACATATAATTATACATATAATGGTGCCTGTTCAAGTCATTGGGGCTTTTGTGTTTTGGTTTCTTTGTAAATAGAATTGAACAGTAGAGAAAGCAAAAAAGCTTAGCAACCGCTGACTCCGTAGACTGACAGTGGTCACCGACCTTTACAGAGAGGGAGTCCTGGAGCCCGTTCGTCTGTCCGTCTTTGCCCCTGGTGGGCTGGTTGGTAGAGCCAAACTGGGTGGCAGTGGGGCTCCCGGCCCCTTGGGAGAGCAGGCGCGTCACCGGGGCAGCCACCTGCAGTGAGTGAGAGCCAGGGCACCCTGCTCTGTGTGCGGTGGTCATGGGTTTCAGGTTTGCTTATTTGTGTTGTTTTGCAGTGTGACTTTGAGCCCGTTACCCCACCCTTCTGTCCTGTCCTGATGAGTGGGGGCAGGGCAGGAACCTCACTCAGCTTCCTGGCTGCTGGTGCCCAGTACAAAGCAGAGCTCGTCTCGGAACGTCAGGGCTCCCAGGCGTCCCCCATGTTTGTGTCCAGCACACGCCAGTCCCCCCAGTTCCAATGGGGGCCCCTGGTTAGCTAATGCCTCGCCACAGCCCCGGCGCCAGGTCGCCTTGTCTCCAGGACATGTCTGGTGCAAGAACTGCTTGCTCACCCCTTCGGGCTTGCCACTTCCCAAATGCACTGATTCACCCAGTAAAGCCACACTAATGAATCTGTTCTGGTCCCTCCAGGTAGGAAGGCCAAGGACATTATCGGCGCAGCCCGGGAGAGCCTCGCAAAGATGATCGGTGGGAGCTCGCGGGACATCGTCTTCACCTCCGGCGGCACCGAGGTACGGTCGGTCTCCCTGCCGGCGGGCTCAGGGTGCGAGCTTCCTTGCGCAAGAAGGCAGCTCCCGGTCGGCAGGTTCTTTTTAAAGCGATGGCAAATGTTAGCGCTTGCTGTTATCAGTTCGTGTGGTGGGTTAGCAGTATTTATCCTGTAAGCGAATTCCAGGTGCCTGATAGGATGCCCGTCGTGCGACCGTGAACTCACTTGCTTTGCAAGGCGGCTTCAGCGACACAGTCAGTGAAGAGCGTTCGCCCTCCCTTCGCCCAGCACCAGCCCCCGGACGCCCGGCTGAGTCGCTGGCCCGACCCAGGGCCAGGCCGAGCCATCGCGCCTCTTCAGATCCAGGAAGGTGTCGCGGACGGCTGGAGGGCACCGAGCCCTCGGCTCAGCGAGTGACCTCCGCATGGCAGTGGGCTCTGCGAAGGGAGGCCCAGGGGCCGCCCACCCCAAAACCCGAAGGGACCCGCAGCCACGTTGTTTGAATTCACAAGAGAATGTGACAAAGTCATTACGTAGAGAAGTCCATTGTGTGTTTACGTGCCCACCACACAGTGGGTGTTTACCAGAAATTACAACGAATCACGTCGGATGTTTGAGAAGTAAACCCAGTGCAGATGAGTTTGTGAGACACCCCCCTACCAGGAAAGCAATAGAATATTACTGAGGGCCGCCAGACAAGAAGACCCTAAGTTAATGGGGCAGATTACTACTGACGTAACCGGGGGTTGAGCTTTCACACCCTGCTCGGGGCTTGAACCCGCAGCCTTGGTGTATCCGGACGCTGCTCTCACCAACCAAGTGCCCGGCCAGGGCTTAAGGTACCTTCGTGGTGCTGCAGAGGTGGCTTCCTCAACCACAGAAAGCGTCAGACCATCAGGAAGGGGTGAGCACATTCTGCCCCCAGCACCACCACAAGGGGATTTCTGTTCGTGGAGGGGCACCGTGAGGAGAATGGACAGCCAACCGGACGGGGGCACACGGACGCCAAGGCCGTGCCTGAGTCTGCAGGCGGACAGCCCGGTGAAACTTGGGCCGGACGCTTGATAACGGCTGCACGGCGAAGCCCCTGCAATCTCTGCAATGAGGACTTCTCAGCCTCCTACAGAACCCGGGTCCGGGAGTGAACACCCACCGCACGCAGCGTCCCCTGCGGGGAAGCAGGGCAGGGCCGGGGGGGGGGCGGCCGAGACTCCCAGCCTGAGCTGGCGGGAGGCAAGCCGGGAGGGCACTTGGAAGGCGGCGCCATCGTCCAGCGCAGTGCACGAGGCCGACCCTCCCAGCCGGCAGCCCCGCTCGGGGCACGTGTCCTCGACACACAGACACCGAGCCCCGGGGACAGGGGAGGACTGCTCGGAGCAGTGCTGTTCAGGACAGCCAGACGCTGGAACGAGCAGACGTTTCTCAGGGTTGGACCTGCAGTGACCCCGCCCCCGTGACACAGACCTGCAGCGGGGCACCCGAAGTTCCCAGCGGCAGCTGGGACGGGGCTCATGGCGCCGAGAGCAGGGGTCCCTGGGAAGGGGATGCTGAGCCCCGCAGGGCAGGGCCAAGTGGCCTGGCTGAGTGAGGAGGGGGGGAGCTGCCACCTGGCCCCCGGAGACTGTCCATCACGGCGGGACCAGCGGCGCAGACGGCTGTCCTGGTCTTGTCGGAGCTCCCTGGCCTGGGAGCATGGGGAGCATTTGGGGTTGGAACCGGTTCTGACGGAGCCGCGGTGGTCTCAGGGCCACCGGGATTGCAGCCATCATGGGGTTTCCCAGGGCGGGGGTGAGCGTGCGGCCCTGTGGCCTTGTCAGCCGCTGCCTGCCCTGATGGTGGCACATGGCGCCACCCTGCCATCCCTGTGACCTCTGGTGTGCAGGCCCAGCCCCTGAAGTGGGTTGCGGGCCCTTCCTGCCACGGAGCCCAGAAGGATGTGTAGAGTCCCGCGTGGGTTGCTGTCTTCTGGGGGGGCCGCCTGGGACTGCTGAGGAAGCGCCCCCTTTTGGAGTAGCCTTTCTGAGTCCTCACCGTCACCCGACTTGGTGCGTCAGGCGACTTGGTGTGTCTCAGATCAGCGGGAACTCTGCGGGCCGTCCCTCTCTCTGCTGGGGTCCGAGGTCCGTGCCCGCCTCTACGGGGTTAAAGCCAGGACAGCCACTGCCTTCCCACTGCACAGATGCCTGGGGTCCGCACCTCCGCAGAAAAGGTTCAGTTCAGCTCCATTCCCTCCTGAAGGCCAGGAAGAGGCTGGACCTGCGCTGGAGTCTGGGGACGCTGTCAGGGAAGGTGCTCACTAGGAAGTCACCGGAAGGCGAGTGGGGAGCGGGGGTGTGGGGAGCCGCGCCGTGGGGAGCGGGGGCGTGGGGAGCGGGGACACAGGCTCCGGGCGGCCGCAGCTGCGTCCAGACCCAGGGACAGTCACTCGGGTTCCACTGCTGTGCTTTTCCATCAAAATGTGAATGGTCTACACACTTCCCCTTTAAGAGAAAAGGTTACTTTAAAAAAAAAGGCTTCTCCCACCCCCCTCCCTCCGAGGTCCCCTTCTTTCTTCAGAGCCCAGCACTGTTGGTCCTGTGTGTGCTGCGGGCCGCCTGTGCGTGAAATGCAGTAAACGTGTAGACTTGTGGATTCTTCCCCCCTTCCCTTTGCACCTTTCCGGGGATTTTTTTGCACGTGTAAGCAGACGTGTGCGGGTCTGGCCCTTCCGTACATTTGTGGGGTGCTGTGTATAACGCTTACTGTCCTGTGCACTTAACATGCACCCCGAGCTCTCTGGTCCGCCGCAGATGGTGCCAGGGTTGCCACGTCTGCTTGGTGCTCCACTGCACCAGGTCGCGTCACTCACGGGGGCCGGTTATTGGTGCCCAGCGAAGGGCTTTCCAAGGCACTGCTGCTGTGGATGGCGCCCCCACCCATCACCCTCTGAGCCACCAGGCTGCTGCTGGCAGAGCAGCGACAGGCGGGCAGGTCCCACTTCCACACAGGCCCACGGGGGGTGCTGCGGGGCCTGGCGTGGTGCTGAGCAGCACTGCCCCAAGCTGTCCACCTGGGTGAAATTGTCATTCCGACAGGGTCATAAAGTTCGAGGAGGCGTGAGTGGCTTGTGCCTACGTAAGTGTGCACAGCAGGCCCGTTGCCCAGAAGCCAGGGCTGCAGCCTCCACGGTCTGGACCCCTAGTCTTTGCAGCGAGGCCTCTTCTCAGTGTCGGGCACAGGGCGGTCCTGGGGCGGGGGACCCCTGCCCCCACCCTGCCCTCAGCACAGCGTTGTGAGCGGTCTCTTGCCGTGTCTCTACAGTCGAATAACTTGGTGATCCGCTCTGTGGTGACCCACTTCCACAAAACCCACACCGCTGAGGGCGACCCGGCCCCGCGTCACAGCCCAGCGGAGGGCGCCGTGCCTCACATCGTCACCTGCACCGTGGAGCACGACTCCATCCGCCTGCCCCTGGAGCGCCTGGTGGAGGAGCAAGTGGCCGGTGAGTGACCAGCCTGGCTGGGCTCCTGCTCAGACGGCTCCGCCGGGCCTGCCTGATCGGCTGGGGGCGGGGGGCGGTCCGGGGTCGCGGGGGGTCATTGCCCTGCCACGCTCGGCTCCCAGGTGCAGGCACCCAGCGGGCCCCTGGGCCCATGATAAGCAGGTGCAGGGCGGTTGGTTTTCCCACACGATGTTTCAGGTGGTTGTACACAGTGTGTGTTTGATGTTTTCTCTCTTGTTTTAAGATTTTATTTATTTTTAGAGAGAGGGGAAGGGAGGGAGAAAGAGAGGGAGAGAAACATCAGTGTGTGGTTGCCTCTTGAGCGCCCCTAACTGGGGACCTGGCCAGCAACCCAAGCATGTGCCCTGCCTGGGAACTGAACCTGCCTGGGTTCAGCGACCCTGCGGTTTTCAGGCCAGCAGCGTTCAGTCCACTGAGCCACACCAGCCAGGGCTACAGTACAGGTTTAAACAGCGTGTCCATAAAACACTAAACACTGCTTTGCATTGTTTGGTTTCAGTCACTCAATCTTGGCTTCCAGGTCCCCTGTGAAGAAAACGGACCGAACAGTCACGGAGTTCAGGTGGTGGGAACCAGAGGTGCTCAGTGAGGCTGAGGGAGGGAGGCCCAGGCCTCCCCGGGAGCCTGCCAGGCGGCCTGAGTCAGGCTCGCTGGCAGTGACGGTGGCCCTGCTGCTGTCACAGGGAAGGGACTGGTCCTGCTCTCACTTTTCCTTTGATACGAGGTCTTGAGACACATGAGTATGTGAGAGATCGCACACCCCCAGCTGGGGACCTGGCTTACAACCCAGGCATGTGACCTGACTGGGAATTGAACCAGCGACCCTTTAGTTCACAGGCCATCACTCAGTCCACTGGGTCATACCAGCCAGGGCATAAATAAAATTTTTTTTAAAAAGAACAAAGAAAAGAAAAATTAAGAGCCTTTTTCCCCAAAGACAGGCTAGGTTAACCCTCCTCTTTGACTTCACAGTACCAGCTTTCCGGGTGAGCCTGCCCACAGACCCGCAGGCCAGTCCTGGCGCTTCCGTCTGCGGGGAGGGGGGCGGGGGGCGTGCCGCCGCGGGTGCCTGTGCACTGTCTGTCCCGTTGGAAAAGGCCTTCCTTCTTCTGGTCTTACCCGAGAGCCCCAGTTTAATTTAAAATTTAAAAAAGCCTACCTTTCTAAGGGAGTTGTCCTTTTTATCCCTGCCGCCTTGTCGCGGTCGTACTTACACTGGACGGCAGTCAGCTCACACTGTTCTCAGTTACTGTGGCATCCAGCCTCTGGTTTAAACTCACACACGGCTTTGCAAAGTGTAAAATGAAGGTGATGGAAACAGTTTAACGTTGGAGAAAGATGTAAGGCACAGAGCACAGTGGCCCCAGCCACTGTCCTGCTCAGTTTGGCTGGGGTTGGTTTATTGTTTGGCGGGTTTGTTTTGTTTTGTTTTGTTTTTAGAGAGGGGGGAAAGGAAGGAGAAAGAGGGAGAGAAACATCAGTGTGTGGTTGCCCTTCACACACGCCCCCCAACTGGGGGCCCGGCCCACGACCCAGGCAGGTGCCCTAACTGGGAACTGAACCAGCGACCATGGGCTCCCAGGCCAGCACTCGAGTCCACTGAGCCGCACCAGCCAGCGCGCGCGCGTGCGTGCGTGCGTGCATGTGTGCATGTGTGTGTATGTGTGTGCACGCACGCACGCCTACCATTTCACTTTAATCACTTCCAACTGAACCACTGACAAGCCTGATCCTCCTTTCAGCTCAGTGTCTGTTTGCTGACTCCCTCCCCCCCCATAAAATGCGGACTTTATCGCCCGCGCCACCACCCGCCCGAGTGCTCTCGGTAGAGACCAGCGTCGACATCAGTCGGCTCCAGCCTGTCGCCCCCTGCAGTTCCGGAGTGTGTGGTGCACCCACCACCGCTCCAGGCCACAGAGCATTGCCTCGCCCCAGGAGAGACCGCGGGTGCCCTGGCTGGCCTCCGCCCCCCTCGGCCCGGGCCCCCGCCCGTCCGCGCTCTGTCCCCAGAGTCCCCACCTGGACTCTTCCGTGTGAGGGGGATGGTGTCTCGGGTGGTCTTTGGTGACTGGCTTCTCAGCGTCACATTTTCCAGGCCCGTCCCTGTCCTGGGCCGGTACTTGGCGCCTTTACCTGAGTGAGCACGGTTCATTTTCTGGGAATAACATTCACGCCGTCATCAGCTGGTGACACTCGGCGCCCGATGCCACCACCGCGAGGCCCGCCTGAGGGTGTGTGTGGGGGCACGTTTCCACCCTCGGGCTCACGCCCCAGAATGGGTCCTACGGGGACCGGTTCAACCTTGACTGTTGTTTCCAAAGTAGCCTCACCGTCTCGCCTTCCCTGCCGCTGTCTTGGGGGACCCAGTTTCTCCGCATCCTCACCCACAGTTGTCACTGTCTGCATTTTGTGCTGTAGCCATCCCAGTGGGTGTGAAGTGGACTCTCATTGTGGTTTTTGTCTGTAGTTCCCTGCGGCTGCGGGCGCTGGGCATCTTTTCAGGTCTTCATAAGAAGACGGTCCTGGCCCGGCCACCTCCCCTTTGCCTCCGGTCTGAGTCCCTCAGCAGATGCCGTGGGCTCTCACCCTTCGCTTGGGCCCCTCCCCTCCCCAGAGCCCCGGGGCCTGCCCCTCCTGTCTCAGGCAGGTGGTGCCGGCCACCTTTGGGGTACATGACGGGGGTCCTCAGACAGCCCTCCCTGTCGGCCCCGCCCTGCTGTGCGCCCTGACCTTGGGTGGCCCCCGGCCCCATTCATGCGTCTGAGTTTGTCCAGCCTGTTCTTGTGCACCAGGGCCATGGCCCTTCCGTCTGCTGTCTGGGCATCCCTCACCATTCCTGGTCCACGGGTGTTCTCCTTCTGTAGAAGTGTATCTGTTCTCTTGTTTCCGAGGGGCCTTGGGGGGAAGAGGGCATGTTCGTCTTTGGAGCCAAAACCCTCTATTTGGTCACCTCACTGTTTCCCGTCTGCGGTAATGAGCAGGTGTAGAGTGAGTGCTGGTCAGTGCTGAGCGAGTGGAGGTCAAGTTCATGGATCCCTGAGAGGCAGAAAGCAGTGTCCCACAGCGTGAGCCCGCCCACTGAAGCGTCACCGAGGAAGCACCCGGGTCCGTCATTTCTTGGTGGGGGGCCCACGGGGGTCGGGGTTCCTTCTCCACAGTTTTCTGAGTGTTTACAACAAACCGCGCTTTCGCTGTGTAAAAGGCCTTTGTGAAGCTGCGTCTAAATGAACCGCCGAGAGGGTGCCGGCAGGGCTCTCGCCGACGATCCCTGTGCTTCCTCCCTCAGAGGTCACCTTCGTCCCGGTGTCCCCGGTGAGCGGGCAGGCAGAGGCGGACGACATCCTGGCCGCTGTCCGCCCGGCCACCTGCCTGGTGACCGTCATGCTGGCCAACAACGAGACTGGCGTCATCATGGTGAGTCGCTCTTCCTTTCATGAGAACCCGGTGGGGAGGCTCGCTTTGGTCGCCTTGCTTCTTTCACTCAGTTTTCGTCACACCCAGGTGGTTTGCTCAGCTCTTTTCTGTCCCCACCTCAGCCCGTCCCCGAGATCAGCCGGCGAGTCAGGGCCCTGAACCGGGAGCGGGCGGCCTCCGGGCGGCCTGTCATCCTGCTGCACACAGACGCCGCGCAGGCCCTGGGCAAGAGGCGCGTGGACGTGGAGGACCTGGGCGTGGACCTGCTGACCATCGTGGGGCACAAGGTGTGCACACCCTGGGGGGAGACAGCTGGGTGACCCAAGGGCCACCTCAGGGCAGGGCCAGGCTGGCAGCACCGTCACCATTCAACTGTCCCCTCATGTGCCACCGGGAGCCGCCCTGAACGCAGTGACGAGCAGCTCACCACCTGTGGGAGCTCACAGGAGGGGGACCAGCGGCCCCTGGGATGGCACTCGGGGCGGGAGGGGTGAGGCCAGAGGAGGCCGTGGAGGGAGGGCAGCTGGGGTAGCCAGGCGCCATCTCTGTGGGGGGACCGGGGGGAGGGTGCGCAGGCCCCTTGTGGGCCCCCTGTCCCCCCAGGACAGAAGCGGGGCGGCTTTCTGCCCCCCGCTGCTCACGTGGAGCCGGGGTTGCAGCGACTCGCCTTTGAGGAGGAGTGGGGAGGCAGTTCCTCCCGAAGACCCTGCCGACGCGGCCGCGCAGCCTCCTGGCCGCGACCACAGCCTGCGCATTCCCGGCGCTCGGTGGTCAGTGGCTAGTTTCGGGGCCGTGGCTGCAGGCCTGGCGCTGGGGCGCTCGGAGTGTTTGGTTCACTTTGCTGTGAAAACCTGGGCTGGCGCCCAGAGAAGGTGGTGTGGTCCCACCTGGTCCTTCCACAAACCCGACCGTGTGACGTGCGGGGGCTCTGCTGCCTGCCACACAGCTAGGACACAGGCCCGGCTTGGCCACCTCCCGGAGGCCTGGGGAGGCCAGGTGTCCAGGGTGGGGCCGGGCGGGAGTGCACAGCCGGGGGTGCCTCACACGGAGGGCAGCTCTCTGGGTGCCTGTCACCCTCAGCACGCGTGTGTCCTCGCCAGGTCCTGGATGAGTAACGGCTGGCTTGTCCTTTCAGTTCTACGGTCCCAGGATCGGAGCACTTTACGTCCGAGGGCTCGGCGAGCACACCCCACTGTGTCCCATGCTGTTTGGAGGTGGACAGGAACGGAACTTCAGGCCGGGGTAAGGCGGCGGTCACAGGGCTCCCCTCTGACCCTCGGACGCGCGGCGCGGCCTCCCTCGCTGCGGAGTCAGCGTGGCCGCTCCCATCGAGTCCACACCTTGCACTCGAAGGTTGCAGGCTTTCTGGTGAGGAGGGAGATCTCAGTTTCTTTCAACTGCTTCAAAGCAGCGGCCCCTGTCACCCCGGCTCGGCCACTTGCGCTGACATGCCTCGGAGCCCTCCTGGCTGGGATGTGCTACCCTGTGACCCCAGGGCGAGCAGGGCCGCCCAAACCCCCAGACCCCCTTCCTGTGTCCTGGGGACACACAGGGCTGCCTCATCCAGGGAACGAGGGGACAGCCCGAAACTTGAACAAAGACATCAATAGATGCTGTCGCCGAGCCCACAGGTGTTAGAATTGTCAAACGCAGGTGTCACAGCGAACACGGTGAAAAGCTGCAGTGAGCAGACTGGGAGCAGCGGAAGCACAGGGGTCACCGAAGGCGGAGGTGTGAGGACTAGGTGGGAACTTGGGACCGAAAGCTCTGGTAACCAGAGCGGAAACCCAGAGGATGGGCTCAAGGGCAGAACAGGGGGCAGAGGAAAGGGTCCGTGCCCTGAAAGATTCAGGAATAAACAGAATCGTCCCATCTACCCGCAGAAAAGAAATGGAGCAGAAGAAACTGAGCGGAGCCCCGGAGCCGTGTGTGGCCGAGGTGCGGGGATGGGTGGGGTCAAGTCCATGAAATAATGGCTGGAAGCTTCCCCAGTTTGCAGATTAAGAAGCCGGGCAAACCCCAAACAGGGCACAGTGAAAGAAATGCATGTCACAACATACAATTAAACTTCTGAACATGAAAGACCAAGAAAACATCCTGAAATCAGCCAGAGCAGAAATGACAGCTTCCTAGGGGAAAATTAATTCCAAGGACAGAGATTTCTCATCAGGAACCACGAGGGACAGAGGAGTGGTCAGGCCAGAGCCCTGCCCAGCAGGCCCGTCCTGCAGGGAGGATGGGCGGTCAGGGTGTTCCCAGGTGGAGGGACACAGGTAGGATTGTCACCGGGAGATCTGTGCCGCAAAGGACTGAGGGAACGGCCCCAGACGGGAGGGAGACAGTGAGAGAAGGGCCTCGGGAGCTCGGAAGGAAAGGGCGCGGTGAACAACGAAGCCGGGGTGAGGGAGACGGGCTTTCCGCCCTCTGGAGTTGTCCGCGTGACGCTCGGCTGCTGGAGCAAAAGTGACAGCGCTGTCGGACGTGTGACGGGGGAGGGCGAAGGGCTGAGAAGGAGGAAGCTGGTCCTCACCGGAAGCTCGCGCATTGGAGAGCACGTGGGCTGCGAGTGGGCCGCGTGCGGCCCTGAGGGCGGTGGGCAGAGCTCTGCGCCGCTGCGGGAAACCGGCTTCTGAGAGAGGCCGGCTGGGCGTGAGGAATCGGAGAAGGTGTGCCGGACAGGGCTCAGTCCAAGGGCAGCAGGGCGGCTACATCACGGTAGAGAAGGGGGACTCTGAGAAAACCTCCCCGGGGCGGCATGACCCACCGATGACGCAGCCACCACAGACAGCAGCGGTGCTCGGGGGGCACAGCCCACAACCGAGCAGCCGCAGACGGGGCAGAACCAGCAGAACCGAAAGGGGCAGACCCGCTGGTGTCTGCAGGGCCGGAACCGCTGCACCAGAGGCAGCGGAACACAGGAGGAGGCCCACTGGCCAACAGAATCCAGCCCTGCGTGGGGGCCTGCACCGGGCCACGGCAACCCACGGCAGAGCACAGCGCCCAAGGGGGCACCAGTGGGCCGTGGCCCTGCCCCCAGCGAGCCTCGGTGCCTGTGAAGGACTGAAGTGGGACGTCCCTCCAGACGCCATGCGCATCACAAGGACAGTAAGGAAACGCCACAGACAACCCACAGTCGTGATCTTCAATGTAGGCGAGGGAACCGCTTCATCAAAAACACACCCCAGCCCCCCTGCTGTGAAACAGACCATTAAACATCACTGTAACAGTTAGGAAATTGGCTTCATGATTTTATTTTATTTTTTAAAAGATTGTATTTATTTATCTTTAGAGAGAGGGAAAAGGAGGGAGAAAGAGAGATAGAAACATTAGTATGTGGTTGCCGCTCATATGTGCCTCCTACTGGGGACCTGGACCACAACCCAGGCACGTGCCCTGACTGGGAATCGAACCGCAGCCCTTTGGATCTCAGGTTGGTGCTCAGTCCACTGAGCCACACCAGCCAGGGCTGACTTGTGTTTTTACATACTGGTAATGTGGACAACCAAATTAAAAATACACAATACCATTTATAATCATTCAGAAATACTCAGGTGTAAATCTAACAAAACATGCATAGGACTTGCAGGCCACAGGCAGCAGGGCACAGACGACAGGTGTCAAATCTAAATAAAGGGAGCGGCAGGCGTGCCAGGTCACAGCCTGGAAGACTCAGCGTACTGAAGACGTCCGTTCTCCCAAACTGGTAGACAGTTGAACACAATTCCTAGCAGAATCCCAGCAAGTAGATGGTTGGAACAGGACAGACGTAACCGGAAACACGCCCAGATGGTTTTTGACAGATGCGGAAGCAGCTCTGTGGCGGACAGACAGCCCTCCAGCTGCGGGGCTGGGGGAGCAGACCCCCGAGGGGCCTCCGCCCAGGCCTCACGTTCATCCGAGGTCCCTCCAGCTAGATTGTGAACTCACGTATGACATAAAACTATGCAGCTCTTAGGGGGAAAGTGGCCAGGACTTGGACTTGGAAAGAGTTCTTAGACTCAATGCCAAAAGCATCCATAAAAGGGGAAAACAGAAAAAGTGTTGAACTTCATCAGAATTTAAAACTTTCGCTTTCCCAAAGACTTTGCTAAGAGGTCAAGACAAGCTACATGTAGGAGAAGATAATTTGAAAGGATACATCTGTCAAAGGACTAACATCAGAATATACAACCAACTCTCAAAACTCAACTGCAAACACAATCCCAGACAATTTAGTCAGAAATCGGACAGAGGGCAGGAAGAGACTCCACCGAAGGGGAGGCACCGGCCGCAGACAAGCCCAGGAAACGACGCTCAGCATCTTCACGTCGGGAAAAGGCGAAGGGAGGCCAGCCTGTCAGCATCGTCCAAGTAGGCGCAGTGCCCCCACCCCTCGCTGGTGGAGAAGCCGAGGGCTGGGTCCCCCGCACGAGGCTGGTGGGCCGGGGACGGAGCAGCTGCTCCGGAAACTGTTGGCTGCTTCACGGAAAACGTAACGGGCGAGCAGCAGGGGCCGCACAGCGGCGCCCTGGGTGTCGTCCCAGAGGAAGGAAGAGGGACCCACACACGCATCTGTGCGCACAGCGGGGTGGAGGCCGCCTGCACAGCGGCCCCGGGAGGAGCGGGTGGAGCACTGGGCCCCCGTGGAACGAGGCTCAGCCAGAAGAAGGAAGGGGCCGTGCACACGCCCCAGCCGCAAGCAACCCCCGGGGACTGGTGAGTGGAAGGGCCAGCCCCAAAGTCACGAGCTGTGTGGTTCCTTTTGTAGAATATATATATTTTAAGGTTCTATTTATTTATTTTTTAGAGAAAGGGAACGGGTCCTTTCTCTTCTCTCTAAAAATAAATAAAATCTTTGCCCTGGTTGGTGTGGCTCAGTGGATTGAGAAAGGCGAAGGGAAGGAGGAAGAGAGGGAGAGAAACATCAGTGTGTGGTTGCTTCTCACGCACCCTGCACTGGGGACCTGGTCTGCACCCAGGCATGTGCCCTGACTGGGAATCGAACCAGCGACCCTCTGATTTGTAGATCCGTGCTCAGTCCACTGAGCCACGCCAGCCAGGGCCCTTCGTAGAACATTCTTGAAACCACAAAACCAGAGAGTACAGATCAGTGCACAGACGCAGAGTGCAGACCCAGGTGGCCCGTTCAGGAGGGTGGGGCCGAGGGAGGCGTGTTTGCAGTGCTGGGCGGGGCCCCTCAGCATCCGGGTGGAGACGCTGTGGGACGCCGGGCAGAGGTGCAGGGGCCATCTCCAGATTCTTTCTTACAGCTGCATGTGAGTGTCTCTTGTCTCCAAATAAAAAGTTGAATTCAAAAAAGAAAAGCCGGACATTGGGGCTCAGCCGGAAGGAGGGTCCGAGTGACTCTGGGTGGAGGGGCGACTGCCCGGTGTCAGATGGTGGCCTGACCACGGACTCGGCTAACACACCTGGGCTCCAGGTCCCGCATGGGCCCTCGGGTCCACCCCGGCAGCCCCTCCTGGTCTGACCGCATGGTCTGCAGAGGACGGGGAAGCCCGGAGAGGGGGTGCCATGGGGACCCACGGCTGGCAGAGGAGGCCAGGCCAGCACCCAGGCCCCTGGATTCCCGCCCAAGTCCCAGTGTCCCCAGGCCCCCTGTGGGACAGCGCCCGTCTCCAGGACAGAGCTGACCAGCACCAGCCCAAGGGAGCTGGGTGGGATCGGCTCTCCTTCAACACCCGAGCCGTGAGCCCACTCCGTCTTCAATCGGGAAACTCTCAGCTGCCCGCTCCAAAGGCCTACGACTTGATTCAGCCAAAACTGAACAGGAAGAAAGTGATTAAGTCAGCGTTTCGTTTTTCCTGAAATAGAGTGAGGAGCCCTGCAGTTTGCTAGGTCAGTGGGTCAAGGCCCCGGTCCCGTGGGTCTCGCTCTCTGGCGCCCCGAAGCTCCAGTGTCGGGGCTCCTCCTGTTCCGCCAGGGAGAGCCTCACAGAGCGGCACTGTGATGAGCTCCTCGGGCCCTCGCCCGGTTTGTCGGCGGGGACCAACGGGTGGGTTCTCCCCGGGTGGGGCAGGTCCGGGTGGAATCCTCCCGAGGACAGCGACGCATGTGGCCCGTCAGGGGCTGTGCTGGCCTCACTGAGTGGGACCAGTGACCTGCAGGGAGGGTTCAGGGCCTGTGGCTGCCCTAGAGGGGGCCCCAAGGCACACGTGTGGGAAAGACATTGCTGTGATTCCGTCTTCATGGGGACACGGCGTCCCTGTGGACAGGACTCCTTCTGGGGACACTTGTCAGTTTCTCTGCATGGACATAGGGTCAACCCCTGTCTTACAGGACGGAGAACACCCCGATGATCGCCGGCCTGGGCAAGGTAAGCCTCGGGGACCCTGGGCCGTCCGCCTGCCGTGTCCTTCCCTCCCACACGCCTGCCGCAGCCGCAGCGCTGCCGGCACCGAGGGGGCGCTCCCACAGCGGGTGATTCTCGGGGACACCAGCCACGGCACGTCCCGCGTGCCTGGGGGAACAGCGCTAGATTTCGGGCTTGGTCCCCTGAGATCCCCCACGCTTTACACTCTGACCCCAAGTCCAGGTGACCGAGAAATGGGCTACAGATCAGAGGGTGCCCCACAATCCTCAGATTTGATTGATTCGCTGGAGGGGCACACAGAGCTCAGACGCACCGAGCGCCAGGGCCGGTTTGCTACTAAAGGACATGATAAAGGACTGAGGTGCAGAGGAGGTTGGGGCTGCCACACCCTCCAGGGATCCGCCCGTGGCCATTAACTGCATTTCCAGCCGCTCTCTCCTCCCTGGAGGGCGGAGTGGGCCACCCACAGTGGCCTCATTAGAACAAAGACACTCCTGTCACCAGGAATTTCCCGGGGACTGCAGCGCCTGTGTCAGCAGCCAGGGTCAGACCAGCACCACAGCAGCACGGGACCGACTGGGGTCTCGGGCGGGGGCAGCGCACCTGCCTTCTGCCCTCACCCCATTTCCCAGAGGCTGTACGGGTGGCCATGCTTTACGGAGGTCATGTCCACGGCCCCAGGAAGTAGGCAGACGCCGGGAAAGCCCTTGATTTTGCTCCCACGGGGCTGGCCTCCCGTGGGGCGGGTTCACGTGCTCAACACCAAGGAGGGGACAACCCGTTTTCCCAGTCTCCTCCCCGTAAGTGACATGGCAACAGCACCACAGCAGAATCGGCAGTCAGGCTGCCAGCTTCCGGGGCGACCCGGGGTCCACTTGCTCCGCCTCCCTGAACCTGGCTGTCAGTCACCTGCAAGATGGGCTTGTGGCCACAGCTTCCTAAAGAGACCCCTTGTGAGGGCCAGAGGGGGGCCCGCCTGCCTGTCCTGCAGTGACCCCGCCCTTCTGGCTCGCACAGGTCCTCTGACCACACCGGCCACTTGGGGACACACCGCCACCTCCCCACACTCTCGCCTGGCCCAGTCCGGACAGCCTGTGGGTCCCCAGTGCAGCGGGCCCTGGGCCCCTCCCCCCAGGCCACACCCAAGTCCCCCCTCGCTCCCCACCCCTTCCCTACGCTGTGTGTCGGACCCTGGCCAGCAGAGTCCGCCTGTTGTGGCTGACGACAAGAATGAATGCACAGGCGACAACAATCCTGTGTAGAAAAGGGGAACAGGCACGACCACTCTCTCAAGGCGACAGTGCCTCTCGGCCACTCCCTCAAGAGGGGAGCGCCCCGACCCTTGCCTAGACAGGCTTTTATTGTTTTCCTGGGGTCTTACATCAGAGAAAGATTTATTATCTACTACATAGAAGTTTATTGTCTACATTTTAGGTACAATCAAGGAAATAAAAAGAACATGCAGAGGGGGATGGCGATGAGCTGATTCGACCAGGGTGAGGGAGTTTTAGCAAGAGCAAGCCATACAGTCTGCATTTTCTAGGCCTGATTCCCACAGGAAAACCCAGTTTGAAGGTCTGGCTCCTGCCCACCACCTCGCTTCTGTAGGTTTTCCATACAGAGCTGAGTCGCATTTGCCAGGCCAAGACAAACCAGTCCCCTACTATTCCCCCTTTTTTTCTTTTTGTTAAGGCTATTGTGACAAATCCCACAAGACTTGCTACTTGCTGGTCTCTTTTGCGACCCTGGGCAAATAATTTGTAAATGCATCATAATATAGAAGACATCATTAAAATCAGTAAACAACCAGCGGCTCCTGCCGCGGTCCAGCCGCAGCAGGGTCCACGGGTTCCTGAAAGGTGGGTAAGGCGTCAGCGATGGGTAACAGACGACAACACGCCTCAAAGGACAGTGAAGCTCTAAGTTCCGTTTATTCCAAGTACAAGCAGGTTTTTATATTTTCATTTTAGGTAGTGATTAACATTTGCAGCATAGCATGATCAGTTAAGCAGAAAAAATCAATACACAGGTAACCAGGAAAAGTATGAAAGTTTCCATAGATTCAGTTATAATAAACAAAGATTATTTTGACCAGGAGAGCCATTAATCAGATAATTAGAAGTAGCTGTATGTACAGAATTTGAATGTCTTATTGTATATTAAAGTTCTCAGAATTTGTCATGGGGCAAAAGGATACACTAGATTGAGTAGAGGTAGTAGGAAATTTATTATAAGGCCTTTGTGATGTCTAACTTAGCTGTCTATTCTTTTCTGTCTAAAATGTTTCTCTGTGTACTATAAACTCTGACTCCCTAGTAACCATTTCTACGTGTTTAGTTTGTAATAACTAGCCAGCTTTTGTTATTTCTTTGCCTGTCTAGTTGATATATATTCTTATTCAAGGTAAAGGAGGGTCTATTACTCTAACAACTATTAGACATACAGGGACTTTATTCTCTGGTCAAGAAACTATTTTGTACAACTTCATTGGAATTATGCGAATCAGTGAACCTGAAATGCAAATGTCTAACAATCCCACCACCTTTTGATCACCCAAACAAACATGTAAGGAGAGATAGACAGGAAATCCAGCCACAGTTGCCTCTGCCTTGCAGATGCATCTCAACCATCCCGACCGTATCCCTGGGCTGTGGGGAGGGGTCTATATAGTTTTTACTTGTCTTCTTGGAAGACCCTTTGTATCTGTGGGTAGGGAACAGTTGTGGGAAAGTCTTTCTAATCCGTTCTTCCATCCCCTCAACTGTTGGCAATACAACTTGTGATTGCAACAATACCTGGTTCTTTATTCTGGCCTTAACTGTTGATTTAAGAGATCTAACTTGTTTTTCTTACTTCTGGTACACCATGGCGGTCCTGATCGCTTTAAGTTGCTCAAACCAGGGTCATTTATACAACTTGACGTGTTTTCCCTTATGGTTAACAATTATATCACCCTGGCTGTCGTACTCCCCTGTACCAGGGAGAGGGGAGTCTGTGGGGATTTGTCCATCCTTTCAGGCAGTTCCGTGGGGAATACTAATGTTTTCCCCTGAACTGTTCCCTCCTCTTTGGTGATTTTCACAGGAATAAGTAAGTACAGTACAATGTCTATATTCAGTAGCAAGAGTAAAATAATTAAAAGAAAACAGCCAATTGTTAACCCATTTTGGATGCCACGTTCTCCTCCGGGGAGACGAATTCCTTGAACTTGAGTCCTGTGTGCCCGGACCTTGTTGGACACATGGTTGGAGGAGGACGTGGCAGGCTCCAGTGACCCACAATCAGGTTGAATCCATCAAACCAGTGTTTTGGGTTTAACGAGCCAAGATTATCATAAAGGGTTTGAAGAATGTCCTGCAACTGTGTGTGTAACTCTAGTTGCAATTTATTGATTTGTCCCTTTAAATTAGTAGAAGAAGCTCCTGTTGGGTGATGTTGAATATCTCCCCAGGAGTATTGGCTAGAGTTCCATTGTAGTGGGGTGACACACAGTTCGGAGAAACCCGGATCACAAGTCAGCTGCTGACGGGTCACTGGCGTGTCCTGGCGTTCACCGACCCAGTTGAGGGCTGATTCCACTGCAGAAAGTCGAGTCAGGATTTCTTGATCAATCTGGGCCTGTTGAAGCCTTTCTAAGGTGGAATTGGTTAAGAGAACATCAACAGTATGAGCAGTTTGAACTGACCCAGTGAGGGCAGCGGTTGCGTGGCTGCAGTAGCCACGACAACTATAGCAGAAACAATGAATGCAATCAAAGTGCCAACAAATCGTCCGACTCTTAAAGAGGCCAGTGCATTGTTAAGCGCTATTATGCCATGGGGAGCTTCCCATTCTCTGGCTACATTAGCTAGCATCCATATCTGAATTTGTCTTCTAACTATATAAACTGTAGTGAGGCTTAACTGAGTAATACTGACATGAGTCAGACAGCTGGCATATACGGAGCCTGCAGGGACAGGCAGAGAATCTATTTTTGCTGATTCATTATGAAAGAATTGAGCTGTCCCTGGAGTTGCCAAAAACAAGTGAGGGTGAGAGGTGCAAACTGTGACCCAGTCTTGTCTTAAAGGGTCAGTTTGATAAAAACACCCTTGGATACCTTTAGGGTCACATACAATTCTTATATATAGATGCGTTCTAGTAATAAAAGGCAGGCCCATTTGCCATGAGTTGTAATGCCAAGGGCTAGTGTGGCTGGGAGAAGCAATTCTGATTATGGTGCCCCAGTACCGGCCTCTCCCACCACATATCAGTGTATGGAACTTCAGGCAGAGCTGAAACTACTGTTGTGCCAAGCTTAGCCAGTGCTTTCCAATTAGCTCCCCAGCTCTCCACTACAAAAGGACTTTTGGGGAGAAAAACAATAGTAGCATTCGGTCCTCTGCACAAAGACCAAGAGACTGAGTCTGTGGCTTTTGTCTTAAGTCCAAAGTGGAACCAGAGGGGGTTGAGAGTGTGATAAATCCCCTTCTGGTATGTAGACCAGTTGCGGTTACCACGGAGAGCGGACAGCAAGCACTGTGCTGCTCCTTATTTGCAGCACAGAGTTTCTCTCTTAAAGTCGGTCTCCTTTGAGTGGCCACTGATCAACCCACACCGGGTGTTGGAGAGCCAGGTATGCGGCAGGGGAGTTATAAGAGTGGTGGCCACTAAGGGAAAATGCGGGAGAGAGATTTGCATCCCCCACTGACTGAGGAGATCATGCCCCCAGATATTAAGGGGCATAGGTAAGACATATGGTCAGATTCTCCCTACCGGTCCCTCTGGCCCGTGACACCTAAGAGACCGTACGCTGAGCTGAGGTTGAGAAATTTCTCCAGCACCTGTAACAGCCGATCCACTGTCCGTGAAGGCCACTCAGGAGGCCCAAACTGACTTGAGATAACAGAGGTGTCGGCTCCCGTATCTATGAGCCCATGAAAAGTTGTATTCTTCATTTTTACTTGTAAGATTGGCTTATTTAGCTTAATGGATTCTGTCCAAAACACTGACTGTCTGTACTGCTGAAGCCTCCCTCTCCCCTCGCTGCATTCTGAGTCTCTGAGATGACATGGGGGGAGCCGCTGGGCAATGCACGTCAGAGCGGGAGTAACATGACAGCCAGACGCTCTGAGCGTGACTTTGAGTTTTCCTTTGTAATCTGAGCCAACAACTCCTGGTTGAACAAAGATGCCTTCAGTAGAAATGCTGGATCTTCCTAAAATTAGACCTACTGTTCCCGGGGGTAGAGGTCCTCAAACACCAGTGGGAGCTACAATTACTTGATCCGGCTCCTTTATCTATCTATCTATCTATCTATCTATCTATCTATCTATTTTTAAGGTATTTTTAAAATATTTTATTTATTTATCTTTAGAGGGGAAGGGAAGGAGAGAAGGAGAGAAATGTCAATGTGTGGTTGCCTCATGAGTCTCCTGTTGGGAACTGGCCTGCAACCCAGGCATGTGCCCTGACTGGGTGATCCTGCTCCTTTAAAATGAGCCCATCGGTGGTGACCGAGTCCAGCCAGGTGGCTGCACGAAGGTCGGAAATGGTGCATTTCCTCGAATTCTCTGATATTGGTGGTGGTTCTGAAAACTCCATTTGGAGTCAGGGGCGCTGGAGCGGGCGCCCATCTGGAAGTTTCCCTGAATCAGCTGGTTATTTTTGTCAAATTTGAGCGACATTCTCTCACCCAATGCCTGCCTCTGCCACAGCGCGGACAATCCTTGGGGGGAAGTTTGTAATCACCTTTTTCTCCTCTCGGTGCAGGCAGACAGTCCTTGCACAGGTGACCAGGCTTTCCACAGTGATAACATTGGAGATCTCGATCTCCTTTAATTGCGGCAGCTAAAAGAGAGGCTTATGGTGCTGTGTGCTTGGCAAGCCTTGATAAACTCACTGCTGTGGTGGTAGTTCGCAGGGGTCCGATAATGGCCCTGCAGTCCTCGTTAGCATTTTCATAAACTAGCTGCCACAAAAGAGCTTTAGCTGCCCTATCCTTATCTATTTGCCTGTCAATAGCTTCTTGGAGGTGGTCAATAAAGTCAGTATATGCCTCCATAACGCTCTGACGAATATTAGTAAAGGAAGAAACTTCCCCGCCCTGAGCACCAGGTACAGCTCTCTCGGCTCTGAGAGCAATTCGAGCACTTTGATCAAAAGCATGAGGGACAAGCCTGGCTTGAGCCGCAGCAGTAGCAAAATTATCAGACCCAAGCAGCACAGGGTTATTCATTTGTGCGTTCTCAGCGGCTTGGATGCCGGCCCTCTGAGCGTATTCTGAACACCAGACAGTGTGTTGAGCCTGGGTCAAAACAGTCCTGGCGAGGGCAATCCAGTCACGAGGGGCCATTTTATAACAGTCAGTAATGGCCTGAAATAGCCCGTTAGTATAAGGAGACTGAAGCCCATTTTCTTTAGTACTCTTTTTAAAATCTTTATAAAGAGAAAAGGGAAGGGGCTCGTGGACATTCCTTTGACCCTTGACTGTAATGGGAAAAGCCAAATCACCTTCTAAATCTAAATCATCTGCCTGCTGAAGGCACTGTCTCATAACCCTAACAGGGTGTTCATCTGGATTTTTTGGCTTTCTTGGTGGTGACTGATCTTGAGGGGAGGAAGGCTCCCATGATTGACATAAGGAGCAGCTACTATCAGACAGGTTCTCTGGCGGGGCTGTAGGTAGGACTTTGGTAGCCTGTTCTGCTGCATCATATACAACCTCCTCGTCTGAACGAAACTCCGTGTCTTCCTCTGTAACTAACTCCTTTTTCTTAGTCCATATAGGCACGAGAGCAGTCTTGACTGGTCCCCAAGTTACTAAGTTCTGAACTCCGATAGGAAATCTACTATCCTGTAAAGCCTTTAATTTGTTACCTGCTTTTCCCCAAACCGTAATATCTAAAGTTCCCTTATCAGGAAAAGCAGGGTAATATTCTTTTATAGTTTGTAAAAGCTGTATAAGACGTGGTTTCACCTCATACCGATCCTCGGAGGAGCTGCCGCAACACACAGACTTCTTGCTCTTCAGACAAGTTAGAGCCCATTCTTGTTGTTAAAAGGTCTCTTTTTCACTTTCGATTTCTGCCGTTTCAGATTCCGCAGATTCTTAACGTTTTAAACTTTAACTAATTAGCTATTGGGGAGCACAGTGTGGCGGGTCAGAAATGTGCAATGTTGGTGAAAACCGTCAGGGAGGGCGGCCTGGTGTCCAGGGCGCCCTGACCCCGCTCATGGGTTTCAGGGTTTTCCCACACGTCTAAGACTTCGAGGGGGACTTGAAGTGCCAGGTGACCAACCTTAATATCGCGCTCCCTGACCGAGCCCAGAGTTAAATTACTGCGATTGGAATTTCCTGTGAAGCCCCTTCGTCTCAGGGATTGACCCCAGACACCTCCACAAGGTCCCTACTCACGTAGGGACGCTTGAGATCTCAAGCCGGAGGGAGGTATGCCTCTTATCTTCGGTGGGACACTCATAAATAACCCTGTAACTAACTCTAAGTTCTCAAAGCAATCTTCAGAGTTCCCTAAAATACAACACACCCTACGCCCTCCGAAAAGCACTGGGGTCGTCTGCCCTTACCTGGGCTGTTGTGCGAGTTCCACCCACGTTGTTGTGCTGACCACAATGACGGCTGATAGCCTTCGCGTCCCTGTTCCTGGACGCCAGGTGTGGCGGACCCTGGCCAGCAGAGTCCGCCTGTTGTGGCTGACGACAAGAACGAATGCACAGGCGACAACAGTCCTGTGTAGAAAAGGGGAACAGGCACGACGACTCTCTCAAGGGGAGAGTGCCTGTGGTGCCTCGGCCACTCCCTCAAGAGGGGAGCGCCCCGACCCTTGCCTAGACAGGCTTTTATTGTTTTCCTGGGGCCTTACATCAGAGAAGGATTTATTATCTATCACATAGAAGTTTATTGTCTACATTCTAGGTACAATCAAGAAAATAAAAATAACATGCAGAGGGGAATGGCGATGAGCTGATTAGCTCTGTCCTTGGGAGAACTCATACAGGCTTTGGAAATTACCTTGAAAATAGACAGTACACATTTGTTGTTTTAGACCAGGGTGAGGGAATTTTAGCAAGAGCAAGCCATACAGTCTGTGTGCATTTTCTAGGCCTGATTCCCACGGGAAAACCCAGTTTGAAGGTCTGGCTCCTGCCCGCCACTTCGCTTCTGTAGGTTTCCACACAGAGCTGAGTCACGTTTGCCAGACCAGAACAAAGCAGTCCCCTACAATGCTACCTGAACATTCCCCCCGCTGCTGTCCCCCTTGTGTGGTCCTCCTGCCCTTCCCTGGCTCCCCCACCCCATGTTGCCCTGCCCCCAAGTGGCTGGCGCACACTCGCCCCCGACTCCCATCCTGACACCCAGCCTCGCCGCCTGGCGCCCTTCGCCCCTGGGATGGGCCAAGCTGAGCCCGGCCGTCTTGTCCTTGCCCCTGTTGCTGCTGCTGGGGCACTCTGCTGTCTGGCTTGTTGCCCTTCCTCTGCCTCATTGCCTGTCCTCTGCCCCAGGGGCCATCCCAGCCCCCTCCCAAATGTACCCCCATGGCTCAAACTCCAGCTTTGAACTCCGCACCTCCAAGCAGGTCCTGACTGTTCTGGGAGACCCGTGCCCCGCCTGTGCCCAGTGTTTCCTCCAGGTCCTCGACGCGTCCCACTCTGTCCTCTGTGGTCCCCTCTCCCCTCACAGAGCCTCCTGCCATCCAGGCTCTCACTTCAGAAACCTAGGAGGTGCCCTTGACCTCGCCCTGACCTCCACACCTGCTGCAGCGGCCAGGCGAGTCTGCCCCTTGCCCATTTCCACGGCCACCAGCACTAGAGCAGGTCATTCTGTCCTTTGCTGACACCCGCCGCTCTCATCCCTTCTCCACGTGGCACCGGGCGATGGTCCTACATGCAGATTGGATCCTCCCTCAGATCCCCTGGCCTTGGCCCTGCGGCATCTGGGCTCCGGTCTGCCACCAGGCCCGCCACCTCTCCCACTCCGCTCCAGGGGCCCACCCCCGCCCTCCACCGTGGCCTTGCACACATGGCTGCCCTGCCTGGGGCACCCTTCCCACCCCTGTGTGCTGCCCCCTGTCCCTGCAAAACACCCACCTGGGGGGTGTGATACCCCCACGCCCCCGCATGTGTCCATCTGTCCATCTCTGGGACAGGTGGGACATGCTTTCTGGCTGAGATTCTTTGGGGCCTTATGGACTACAGCGTCTCTGGAGTGTGGAGGTCCCAGGAAGGGCCTGAGAAGTGAACCCTCCCCGGCCCAGTACAGAGGACACTCCCAGCCCTCATCTCGGACTGCCCAGGGGCCGGTCCGCAGCTACTGTTGGGGGTGTTCCAGAAAGTGGGCAGTCTGAGGGCACGTCTCCCCAGCTGCTAAAAGCCCTCCGCTGCCCTTGCCTTCCTACTAATTGGACATGCGTTGGTGTCCCCAGGCTGCTGAGCTGGTGACTGAGAACTGCGAGGCTTACGAGGCCCACATGAGGGACGTGCGGGACTACCTGGAGGAGAGGCTGGTGGTGAGCATGTGGCCACGCTGGGGGTGTGGGCTGTCTGCACACCTCATCTCCTTCTGCTGCTGGGCAGCGAGGCGGGGCCCAGGGAGCAGGTGGGACACGTGGGGTTTGGTCTCCTGGAGCAAAGGAGCTGCTGCCCAGGGTGGGGATCCTGAGAGCCCCCAAGGTCAGGAGCCAAGAATTAAATGACGAGATGTAAGTGAGTCAGAAGCCTCCAGAAGGACACCAGGCCCAGTAGGTCATCTTTTCTGGACACCAGACAGAAACGTGGCAGAGTCGGCACCTTTCAGGGTGGCACAGAGGGGACTCGTGCGTGTCTGTGTCCCAACTGGCTCTGCCCCCCTGCTGGGCTCCTCGCCTATAAGAACCGGTTTCTGTGTTGAGGGTGAGCTTCTGCTTCCCGGGAGCGTGTGAGGTTCAGACAGCCGGTGGGGCAGGGGCGTTCGAAGCTCCCGCTGAACGTTTCGCTGATTTTTCAGGCTGAATTTGGGGAGAAGAAAATCCACCTGAACTGCCAGTTTCCTGGGGTGGAACGACTCCCCAACACGTGTAACTTCTCCTTCCGGGGACCCCAGCTGCAAGGTGATGACCGCCTCCCCCTGGTCTTTCCGCGGGGTGGCGGGCGCAGGGCTCCTGGCAGAGGGACAGAGGGACCAGCGGCTCCGAGAGCAGAGCCTGGCGGCTGCCCCACCCAGGGGGCCTGGGCTCTGGCGCTGCCTCTCCCTGAGTCCTTAGGCTTGGGCTGGGTCAGCCGTGCAGCCTCCCACAGCTGCTAGGGAAGGAGGGAAAAGTAACCCTGCTTCAGGCGGGCTGACCCTTTTTCACAAGATGCTCCATAGGGTGGGGGAAGAAGAGGCAGCAACTCTGAAACCTGGCTGAGACCAAGGACAAGCGCAAGTCGGCAGGTCCCCTTAGTTCCCGTGACTTCGACAGCGCCTCCTGCTGGAGGCCAGTGGGATCCTCACAAGGCAGACACATAGCTATTGGGGGGCGAGCCCCCAGACTCGGGAGTCCCATCTGCAGAGCACGGCTGCCCCCTAGAAGGAGAGGTCGTGGCTGTTTGTTGTTTTGGGCGGCAGGGCCCAGGGCAGCCTGTTTGTGCCGTGAGGAGCCCTGGGCGGCTCTGGCTGCACCAGCGAGAGCCCAGGCCGGGCATGTTCTGCAACGCTCTCCCCTCCTCATGGGGACAGACTGCGTGCTCCATGGTGGCCTGTGTCCGCGTGGGTGGGACAGGAGCGCGGCTGTGGCTGTCACCTCCCTGTCTGGGCCTGTGAACAGAGGGGGCCCTCTGTCTTCATGAGACGCCCCCTGGTGTCTGTACCTTAGAAAACAGGTTAGGTCCCGCTCCTCCCCAGGACAGGTTACTGAGTGAGGCGTCTCCCACTCGGCAGTGGGCGGGGCAAACGATTCTGGGGCCGGTTTTAGGAGCGGAACAGTGCCTGCTCCCCTGCAGCCCGTGCCCTCTCGCCTGCACGGGGGGGGGGGGGGGTAGGAGACTGTGCCCGGGGGCTCTGGCAGGTGGCACCAGGTGGCGTGAGGGCAGGAGCCTGGAGACTCGCAGCAGAGGAGAGGCAGGAGGGGGCGGGGTGGGGCCCCCAGGTCTGCGCTCAGCGGGGGCCGTGCCCTCTGTCTCCGCAGGCCGGGCGGTGCTGGCGCAGTGCAGGGTGCTGCAGGCCAGCGTGGGGGCCGCGTGCCACTCGGACCACGGGGACCGGTGAGTGCTCGGCAGGGCCTGTGCGGCCTGGGGTGGGGGCTGGGGCCAGGGCAGGGAGGGGCTTCGGGGGGTGGAGGGCAGGCAGGCGGGCAGCAGGTGCTCTCGTCATCCTCCCAGTGACGGGCGCTGAGGGGTGTGCCAGGGTCAGGTCTGGTGTTCAGGGGCAGGAGGGGTTGCGGGGTGGTAGGCCGGGCACCCCAAGGAAGAGAGGGGTTCGGCCTGTGGCCGCTGTGAGTGTGGGGGGGCACCAAGGCGGCGGTGGAGCTGGAAACAGCGGCCAGGCCCTCCCGGGTGAGCGAGGCTGCAGAGATTCCAGCGGGGCCCCTGACCAGCGCCTCTAGCAGCCAGAGTCCTCTCCGGGGCTGTGAGGTCAGGCCAGCCTGGGGCGCACAGAGGGGCACTGGGGCTGCCATCGCTCGGAGCCTGCTCCCCTGGCCCCGGGGGCGGGGGGGTCTGAGCAGCCTGTTCTCAGACAGGACACTGAGGCAGAAGGCAACCAGCAGTCTTAACAGCCAGGGGCGGGGGGTGGAGGGGACGAGGAGGGCCCGGCAGCATGCCTCTGAAGGGACACGCGAGGTCCCCACTCAGGGAAGGGCAGGGACCAAGAGCAGTGGGCTGCCGCTGCCCAGCCAGTCTGCTCACGGCTGCAACAGGTCAGCTGCAGGGGCCTGTGGCTCCGACGCCTGGGGACTGCACGTGCTGGAGTGGACCTGGGGGGGTTCAGGCGTCCACTCTGCCATGTTGCCTGGGCCCCTGACCCAAGTGCACCCTGCAAAGGTGGACCTGGAACCCCGCCTGGGGGTTGCAGGGCCCCAGAGACACGCAGCCCAGCGTCAGCACTGCCGCAAACACAAGGCCAGACCGAGTGCACAGTGGCCTGCGCTGCACACTGGGAAACCCAGAACAGACTCAGCGTGCTGCTGCCTCCAACGCTGCGTATGCACGCATGATGCTCTGCTCCGCATGTGTGCATGCACACGTGTGTGTGAACGTGTGTGTGTCTGCCTGAGTATCTCCTCCAAGACCCTGTGTCTCAGGGCTAGCCTCGCCCACACAGCTCTGGGGTCTGCCCCTGCTGGGGGCAGAGGTCTGTCCTGGGGGAGCCACGCAGGACGCTCCGGGCCCAGAGGAGCAGGGCGGCGTGTCTGCGGGGGCGGGGGAGCTCTCCAAGAGCAGCAGGGCCCCGCCCTCCCGGCCCCCTGTTCATAGCAGCCCGTGCTGGTCTCGCCCCTGCAGGCCATCCCCGGTGCTGCTGCGCTGCGGTGTCCCCGTCGACGTGGCCCGGAACGCACTGCGGCTCAGCGTGGGCCGCAGCACCACGCGGGCCCAGGTGGACCTGGTGGTGCGGGACCTGCAGCAGGCCGTGGCCCGGCTGGAGGGCCGGGGCGGCACGCCTTCCGGGGTCTGAGCGGGGCACTGGGCTCCCGGGTCCCCCTGCAGGGCCGTCACTGTCCCCACTGCCCTGCGGCACGGTCCTGGAGGCAGCGCCTGGGCTGTGGCCACGCTCCGCTCCAGGAGGCGAGGCTGTCTCCAGCGGCCCTCACGGAGGGCAGCCTTTCCCCCGGAAGGTAACATCCCAGAATTTATAACTGATTGCCCGTCGCCCACATGAAAGTAGGAGGCCTGGCATTTGCTGTGATCTGGGCCTCCCCTCCTGAGGGCCTGCCCTGCCCCGGGGGCCTCACCAGGCCCTGTTCAGACACCCCAGCCACTCTGCTCCGTGTGCCCCACTCCCTGGCCCCTTTGTCACTCAGGGCCTTGGCTGTCAGCCTGTCCGCACCCGCACCTGCACCCGCACCTGCACCCGCACCAGATTCACCGGACCCTTCGTCTGCCTCTTGCCTTTGGATCCCTGACCTGGGGCTTTGGCTCACAGCGCTGTGTCGTGGGACCACCAGGCTGCGGTGGGACCAGTTCACGCCTGACCCAGCTTCCAGGGGATTGAATCTGCAAGGCTCTGTCATCTCTACGACACTGTGTGGCATTCTAATGCCACCAAAGGGCACGTCTCCTGGACGGGGCACACAGGAGTGACCTCTTCATTAACACTTGTAATGTGGTTTGAGGAGCGAAGAACCACGGGATGACCGTGGGCCGCAGGGTCAGGGATTAAATGAACTAACAGAAGTTTCCAGCACTTGTGTTGGTGTTGTTTGGGTCCCCAGGGGCGCTCCTCTTGGGTCCAGAGTGTCCGAGCCGGTCGGGCAGAACCCGACTCACCGCTGCGCAGTCACCCTGAGGCTCCGGCATCTGGAGGCCCAGGGACTAGGGCCGGGTGTGCTCTCTGCGAGGGGGGCTCTGGGTGTCCAGCCCCGGGTCTGGAAAACTGCCCCTGGGCTGTGGCAGCACCCACTCAGCCACCAGGTGGGCTGAGGTGGGGCCTCGAGACCCTCCCCCTCCCTTGGGGCCTGCACAGCCGCTGAGGCCCAGCCAGCTCCCGGGCAGTGTCCGGTGTAGATTCCTGGGGGTGGGGGCTCAGCTCCGGCTCCTTGTGTGAGGACACAGCCGAGGCATTTAGACTCAACAGGGCTGGTGGTGAGTCCCCAGGAGGGGACCCTGTGGGTGGGTCTGCCATCGTGGGACACTTCTCCCAGGTGGCTTTCCCCCAGGCCAGATGGGGCCTGTGGCTTTCCTGAGAGGGTCTTGTGACACCCACTGGGTGTGGCAGGTGCCCGACCCCTGACCTGAACAAGGCGTGAGCTCTGCCCCCTGCCCCCGGGCCCCACCATGGCTCTGGGCTCGGTGGGGCAGCTCAGGCAGGGCTGTGAGGCCTGTCCCCAAGGCCTGCCCCCGCACACCCCCGCCGCCTCCCATCTGCCCCGTGGGCTGCTTATCGGGTAACCGGAGCCGGCAGCTGCGTCCACACCTGAAACAGGAAGCCTGGGCCTGTGCGTGAAGCCCAAGAGCCCGCCGGGTGGCCGGGCCGGAGGATGGAGGAGCAGCGGGCGCTCGCGGCCGCCAAGGACGGGGACCTGGCCACCCTGGAGCAGCTGCTGGAGGCCGGCGCCCTGGGCCCAGGCATCGTGGATGCCGTGGGGGCGGGCCTGGTGCACCACGCCACCCGGGCCGGCCGCCTGGCCTGTGTCAAGTTCCTGGTGCAGCGTGCCAAGCTGCCCGGCAACCAGCGGGCCCACAACGGGGCCACCCCCGTGCACGACGCCGCGGCCACCGGCAGCCTGGCTGAGCTGTGCTGGCTAGTGCGTGAGGGGGGCTGCGGTCTGCAGGTGAGCGGGGCAGCCCGGGGGCCGGTGTCCGTGTGGAGGGAGTGAGGAGTGAGCGGGAGCCAGAAGGTCCTCGGCCCTGGGCCTTTCCTTCCCCTCGGGGACTCAGCACAAACCCACCTCTGCCCCACCCCCTGTCCCACTCAAACAGCGTGGATCCCGGGCTGTTCCACTGCCTCCTGCACTACCCCGGACCCCTCTGCACCCCGCTGCACGGCCAGCACAGAGCAGCCATTCGCTGCTCCCCCCACCCCGGGAGCGCCTGGCCTCGTCGGTGGGGCCAGCCAGCACCCATCAGGCCCGACCTCTGGGGTCTGTCTTCCTCGGGGGCGAGGAAGGGGCCGTGGGCAAGTGCAGCGGGCGCTCAGGCTAAGGAGCTGGAGCCGCCTGCGGGACTGAGGTCCGGCTGGAAGAGAGGGGTCTCCGGGGCCCAGTGGCAGGCTTGTGGGGCGCGCTTCCACCAGGGCCTGCTCTCACCTGCTCTGTGTCTGTGCACCACCCTTTGTGTTGGGGGACGGTGGGCATACGTGGGCATCAGTGGCCCCCTAGGTCCCGGGAGAGCAAAGACTCTGCCACCAGTCATAGCCCCAAGGGGCAGCTGGGCAGGAGAGCTGACCCCCTGGGACGTGCTGCCCAGCCACGGGACCTATGGCCAGTTGGGGTGGGCACTCAGGGTGGGGGGCGGGGGCAAGGCCAGGAGGCATTGTCCTGGGACACTCGGCAAGCTGCCAAGCTCAGCTCAGGGGAGCCTTTCGGACGATAGCAGACCCTGGGAAGAGGCGTGGCTGTGCTCGGGCGTGGGGCCCCGGAGCATTGCAGTGGTGCCCATGCGGGGACCCAGACCCGGACTTGAGCCCTCGGCCCACCTCTCGCCGCGAGCAAGCCGCCCCACTCAGGTGCTCAGTCAGAGGAGAAGGCCCTCACTCAGGCAAGCAGAGGGAGGAGGGGGAGCAGAAGCCCCCAGGGACACGGGGTCCCCAGCAGTGTGGACCCTGGGCTGGCTCTGGCTGCACGAGTGCCGCCCACCCACCGCCCTCTGGTGCCTCGGCAGGACCAGGATGCCTCGGGTGTCTCCCCGCTGCACCTGGCCGCCCGCTTTGCTCACCCAGTGCTGGTGGACTGGCTGCTCCACGAGGGCCACTCGGCCACGCTGCAGACGCTGGAGGGGGCCCTGCCGCTGCACCACGCCGCCGTCAGCGGGGACTTGACCTGCCTGAAGCTCCTGACGGCCGCCCACAGCAGGTGAGGGGCCCGGGGAGGCTGCGGCAAGGGGAGCGGAGGCGGCCGTCTGGCGGCCTTGGCTGTGGGCCGTGCGGGAAAGGCCCACGGTGGCAGGAGACAGTGTTCCCAACGAGACCTGGCATCTCAGCCGGGCAACGACGTTCTCATGCCCGGCGCCCACGCCGGCCCCTTGGCCGGGGCCTGGGACTCCCCTCCGCAGACCTTTCTCGGAGCATCCCCACTGGCCACAGAGTGTCTCTTAGAGCCAGAGTTTCCCCACAGTTTTCACTTTTTAAAGGTTTATTCAGAGAGAGGGGAAGGGAGGGAGAAAGAGAGGGACAGAAACCTCGATTGGTTGCCTCTCGCACACCCCCAACCATGAAGCAAGCTTGCAACTCGGGCATGTGCTCTGGTCAGGAGTCGAACCAGCGACCCTCTGGTTTCCTGGATGACGCCCAACTCACTGAGCCACACCAGCCAGGGCAAGATCCGCAGTTTTTAAAGGGTCTCTACCCTTTGAAAACTGGGAGACTTCACAATAAAGTACAATAAATAAAGCACAATAAATGCTGGCCTGGGCGCCCCGGGGGCAGTGGCCTCAGCCGCGTTCCCGCTCCCAGGGGCCCCTCGTACAAAGCAGGCCCCCTCTGAGCTCCCTGATCCGCAGGCCCCCTGGGCCCATCACCCTGAGGAGCGCCCCCTGTCTGCTGCTCTGGGACGCACAGCCTGGCGGGCAGTGGGTGGAGCAGTATTCCAGCCACTAGAGCCCCTGCCCACTGACCCCCACCCCAGATGGTGACTGGTTGGGAGCCCTCAGCAGGTCAGGGAGGAGGTGCAACCTCCCCTCCCCTCTCCCTGGGCCCTCGGCTGGAGCAGCCCCCACCCCACCTACTGCACCCCGCACCAAGTGCCCTCTGAACCCTGCCCTCCCCCGCAGCAGCGTGAACCGGAGGACACGCAGCGGCGCCTCCCCTCTCTACCTGGCCTGCCAGGAGGGCCACCTGCACCTGGCCCAGTTCCTGGTGAAGGACTGCGGGGCCGACGTGCACCTGCGTGCCCTGGATGGCATGAGCGCGCTGCACGCCGCTGCCGCCCGCGGCCACTACTCCCTGGTCGTCTGGCTGGTAAGGGGGCGGCTGGGGACCGGGAGGCCCGGGGAGGCTGCCCCCTGCTCCTGCCTGCTCCCCGGGGCCCCTCTGAGCAGGGCCTCGCTAGAGGTCAGATGTGCTCCGAGCTCGGCCGGCAGGGGCGGTGAACTGCACATCCACCACCTGGAGGGCTGGGGACTGGGCACCGCCCCCTGGGGCTCTCCTGCCCCTCCCCCCCGAGCCCCAGCGCAGGTCCTGGGTGCTGTCAGGCTTGGTGGCACCCAGGTGCTTCGTCACAGGTGCCTGGCCTTGGCCATTCAGCCACTTGTTTAAGCCCAGCTGCCTCAGAGCGGGGCCTGGGCCCAGCTCTGCACCCTCTGGGCCCCCAGAGGGGCCACTGAGGCCTGTGTCCAGAAGGAAGCCCCAAAACCCTGGGACCCGAATGACCCTGGCTGGGGATGGGAGGGGCTGGGACTTCCTGCCTCCACCACAAAAACCAGGCCGGGCAGGGTGGCCGCCGCTCCGGAGGGACCAGGCCATGGGGAGGGTGCACTGAGTGGGGGAGCCAGCTCCGTCCCCAGCTTCCCGGGGGGTTGTGCTCCTGCCCCCGAAGCACCTCCCCCCTCCACGTCTTCCTCCCCGTGGCCGCCCAGTCCAGCCTCAGCCCCTCCCTCCCCTCCCCCTCCAGGTCACCTTCACTGACATTGGCCTGACGGCTCGGGACAACGAGGGGGCCACGGCCCTCCACTTCGCAGCGCGAGGCGGCCACACGCCCATCCTGGACCGGCTGCTGCTGATGGGGGCTCCCGTCACGAGGGACTCCTGGGGCGGGACGCCCCTGCACGACGCCGCGGAGAACGGACAGATGGAGGTGAGGCGGTGCGGGGGCTCCTGTGTGACTGGTTGTCAGCGAGGGGACCGGGAATTCCCAGTGGTGCACACACGTGTGCACAGGGGTGGACACGCGGACACCCCGCCTGTTTCCGGACGAGAGGCCCCGGAGGCACGGGGTTCACGGCACAGGGCTGCTGGCCCACAGGCAGGGCCTGGGAAGCGGGGGGAACACGGACACGGGAACCGGTGCTGCGCGCTGGCTGCCGTGCTGGGGCCTCTCTGGCTCCTCCCAACACGCCCCTCGGCCCGTGTCCTCCGTATGGCGCCCGAAGCTTCTCGCAGTGAAACGCATGCTCCCCGCACGGTGAGTTACCCGGCTCCTCGCTGAACGAGTCAGAGTGAGGACTGGTTATGCAGAAAGCCACGGCGACAGAACAGGGAAGGAGCGGTCGGGACACATCTGTGATAAAAAGGGCGTCGGGTCCGACCTGTGGACGGAGGACCCTGGGCTGACTGGTGCCTGAGGTGCCCTCCACCCCGAGTCCCGTGAGGCGCCTTGGAAAGGCCACCGGCTCTGAGATCCGCGGCTTGAACCCGGGCTGCCCTCCTGAGGCGTCTTGTCCTTCCTGGTGCCTCGTTTTGCCCCAGAATGACAGGGGGGGCCCCGTGGGAGGCCTCGCTGCCCCACTGGTGGGACAAGCCCTCTCCGAGGGGTGAGCACGAGGGCCCCCGCAGCCCGGCTCCCCGGGACAGCCTTGTACTTTGCACGGCACAACCGGGCCGTCCTGTGGCCACAGAGAGGGGAGCCGGGGTGGGGGGAGGCCAGACGGGATGAGGTTGCCATTTTTGCTGTTTTACCTCTACAGTTTTTAAAAACCTATGTGGCTTTTTTTTTTTAAATTCACACCACAGATAAAGACTTATTCCAACAGGGCCACACACTTCTCCTCCTCGTTCCTTCCGGCATCCCAGGCCCCCACGGACCCCCTTTCCCTCAGTCTGAACAATGCTTTCCAGGGGTCGCAACTCCCATCCCACAGGCCACCTGCAGCCCAGGGCAGCTGTGAATTCTGCCCAACACAAAATCGTAAATTGACTTAAAAAGTTAGGAGACTTTTCTGTGATTACATGCCACAATGTATTTAATGCGTGGCCCTAGACACACCACAAGGTCGACACCCCACCTTAGACGGCCCCTTAGGCGGGGCTTGCTGCTGACTGGCTCCTTGTTTCTTTGTATACGTTTGTCCGGAAACATTTTTACTTCTCTCCAGTACTGAGAGCACTCTGCTGGGTCAGGAACCGCAGCGTGGCGGGAGTGACCGGTTTTCTTCGGTGCTTTGAAAGTGCCACCTCCCCCTCTGGCCTCCATCGCGAGGTCTGCTTGGGGGGGTCACTGTTCGAAGCTCATCCTTTTTCCTCGGGCTGCTTTTAAGATGCGCGGCTGGTCTGGTCGTGCCTCCTCGCTGTGATGGGGCCGGAGGTGACGGCTCTGCGTCCATCCTACTCGGGCTGCTCGGGCTTCTCCAGGGCCTGCTGCTGTCGGGCCTGCTGCTGTCGGTCCCGTCAGCCTCTCAGACACGCCCCCTGCCCCCACGCTGTGTCTCTCATTCCAGGGTTAATGTTATTGGGTCGGCCAAAAAGTCCGTTCAGTTTTTTCCATAAAATAAACCCCACATTTTTTGTTTTCACCAATAACTTTATTGGTTTGGATATTTTGAGTAAGTTGGCTGTTGCCCGCTATCGGCTTCTAGCGGGGAGAGCCAGCCCCCAGCACAGAGCTGTCTGGTCCAAAGTGTCGACAGTGCCCTGCAAACACTCAGGACACATCTGATCAGTCACAGCACCTTCTCCACACACCACACACATCTTTCTTTTTTTTGCCTTTCAAGTTGTGTTTTTACCTTTCTTGAAACATAAAGCATAATACACCAAAAATGTTTATTTTCTTCCACTTTCAATATTAATAGGGCTGCACAAAATCACCAATTTTGGTAAGTTTTCTTTTTCAAATGCACGCCGACAGGACAGCTGCCACCACACAGTCGAGCCAAACCGTTTCGAATGACGTTAAAGACACTAAGCACAACTGGAGCCGTGGTACGAAAAATACCGAACGGACTCGGGCCGGCCCGACCGGGGTCTGGCGGGCTCTGCGTCCGGCCGACCGTGCGGTGTCCGGGCTGCCTCTGCGGCCCCTTTGCCGTTCGCTGGTTCTCCAGCTTCGGTGTTTAGCTCGGTGACCACGTTTGTGTTCTCCACCTTCCCATCGGCCACGCTTTACGTCTGTCGGGTCACTTTCTCTGGGTGTCGTTCGTGCCCGCACCCTCCAGCCCAGTCCCTCTCGGAAGGCCGTGAGCACGGCCACAGCTGTCCTGTCCGTCCTTCCGTCTCTGCGGGTCCGCCCGGTTCGGTGCCGGGTCCCTCGGCCTCCCTCCCAGGCTCCCACTTCTGTTGGCTGTGTAGTGCCTGTCGCAGCTGAGAGATGACTGGCAGGCGTCGTCTGGGGCCCGGGACCGTGTCTGGTGTGTCCCTGCCTGCCGGCGCCCGAGGGGCTGTGAGCCCAGGGGCGTCTCGGCCCACACTCCAGGCACGGGTGCCCTGGAGCCCCTGCGTGGCAGGCCTCCGCTCTGCTCTCCTGTGCGGGCGGCGCCCTCCGCCTGCCGCGGCAGACGGCAGACGGAGCCCGCCTGAGGAGGGCCCTGAGCTCGGCAGCCCTGCCTCCTCCCAGGAGGTAGTCAAGGAGCCACTCGGGGCATCGTCCCTGCGTCCGCCCCTCTGAGTGCCGGGCTTACCCCTCCGGCCCCTGTCTCCTGACCTTGGCCTGGCAATTCCTCCCTGGCTTGTTACCTCTTGGGCGCGTTAGGATCTGGCCAATATTTCACGTTGACTGGGGGACGGACGAATCTGACCCACCTGCTTCTCTGCTCCCTGATGCGGACCCTCCTGCTTGCTCGTTGTTGCCGCCGGCGCGGCCACCTCACTTCCATCTCGGCCACCAGCCTCTGTTCGCAAGTCCCAGCTGTGGTCAGCTTGTCACTCTGCACCCCGGTTTCCTTCCTCTGAGGGTGCTGTAGACACGGCAGCAGTTCTGCGGTCTGAGCCCCGGTTGTGGGCTGCAAGGTCTGGTCGGGCTCCGAGACGGGCGGGGTCCCGCCGGGCCTCCTTCTTACCACCCGAGGCCTCCTGGGGCCCCTGACCTGGATGCCTGGATCCCTGGCGGAATGGGGTGCTGAGAGCCTGCAGGGCTCCGGGCCAGGCCAGGGCGGCTGTGGGTGCAGAAGCCGTGGCAGGTCCTTGGGCAGGTTCCCCACCCGGGAGCTGGGGGCGCGCCCCGGCCCTCCACAGTGTCTGGTGGGTGCTGGGGGCAGGTGTGCGCACCGTGGGTCACCCGCGCCCCTCCCTGCAGTGCTGCCAGACCCTCGTCTCCCACCACGTGGACCCCTCCCTGAGGGATGAAGACGGCTACACGGCGGCGGATCTGGCCGAGTACCACGGGCACCCGGACTGCGCCCAGTACCTGCGGGAGGTGGCCAAGCCCGTAAGTCTCATGGTACCCCCCACCCTGGGTGGGGGGAGGGTGACGGGGCTCCCGCCGCGCTGACGGACCAGTTAGCTAGAACGCTCCGTGTGTGCGTGCTGTTCACAGGGACAGGTCCTGGGCCCGGGCCAGGCCAGCCTGCTGGGGGCTCGGCCTGGGGTTGAGCAGGGGCTGTGACCGGGCCGGGACTACCTGTGCCTGGGACGGGCCACAGAGTCATGGGCTCCTGACCCTGGATCTCCCATGACCAGGGCCCCAGGGTGACATGGTGTCAGACTGAGGTCACCCACGGGTGGGAGTGGGACCCTGGGTCCTTGGTGAGGTGAACCCGAGAGGCCCGGCCTGCCCTGTGCAGCTAGAAGGTGGCGGCTCCCGGTCCCCTGATCCTGTCTGGGCCTGTGACCTTGAACCTCCCTGAGTCTGTAAGGACAGGGATCTAGCCTTCTGGCCCCGTCCCCAGCACATGACAGGCCACAGGTGTTTGTTGAATAAACAGAGGAGCGGATGGGTGAGGGAGCAAACAGAGGGACGTGAGGGTGGGTGAGCAGGCACGTGGGCGGGGCCAGCAGTCCAGGAGGCGGGGAGCCAGGCTCCGCCCAGGCCCTCCCACCCATCCCCCACTCCAGGCCCAAGGCAGTCACCGTGACAGATTGGTCCCAGCCTGCCACTCCTCTTTTGAAGCCACCTCTGCAGAGAGGTGTCCCTGCAGTGGCTGGGCCCCATTTTCACCAAGGCCTGGAGAGTTGACCTGTCCGGCTGCTGCCCCTCCTTGTCCCTCAGGGGCTCCCAGGTCAGGGGAGGTGGGGCTGCAGCCCACCCTGGCCCTGGCCCCAGCCCTCGGATGGTCCTCACCTGGCCACCCACTGCCAGGCGCCCCTTGTCACCACTGCCTGACGCTCACACCCACCCAGCAGGAGTCAGGGGCAGCTTGGGGGCTGTGGGGACACGCTGGTGCCCCGGTTTGTGCCGGAGTCACTGCTGAAGTAACTTATTTACTCGTTATTTCACTGAATGCCCAGTGGGCCACTGCTCGGTTAAAGGTCGCTTTCCTGGAGCAGGTTGGCACTGTTGATGGAGCTCGACTGGCTGCCGGGGTAGTGGGCAAAGTGCGCTGCCCATCAGCCGGGCTGCCCTGTGTGGCCACCGAGATCAGGAGGGCGGCGGGCGGCTGCCCAGCTGCCAGGGAGCAGGTCCCACCCTGCCCCTGGCTGCGGACCCTGGCTTGTCCCCACCCATGTCCCAGCAGGCTCTCCGCCCTGCCCTGCATCTCTGGTCCCCACGCATCTGTCAGCACCTCCGGCCCCTGTGTGCAATTCTCTTAGAGGGACAGGGGTTCTCGGTGCCCCCCTGACTCCACAGGACGTGGGGAACCAGCCCATCTCAGGTTTCCTGGGGCTTCGTCTGGTCTCCTTGGTGACGCCACAGGATTAGTGAATACCCCCAACCAGCCGGGGCTGCAGGTGCAACGCCCCCCCCCACTGCAGATGAGCAGCCCCCAGGCCGCCCACATGCTCCACCTGTGGTGCTGGGAGGGCTCCTCCACCTCCTTCCAATCCAAGGCCCCTCGACCTTGGGCCCATGGCTGGCGCAGCCAAAGGCAGACCCTTGGCCTTTGAGGCTGGAGTGTCCTGCGAGCTTCCGGAGCCTGGGGGCGGGAGGGGGGGGTTAGGGATTAGGACTGGGGCCTCTCTTTTTCCTCCCTCAGTGAGCACCTGGGACAGCAGGGGGAGCCAGCCACTCATTGCTGGCTGGAGCCATCCCCGCACCGGGCCACCTGCCGCCAGGTGTGGCTGGTGGCTGTCAGCTGGGGGCCGAGGCCGCGCAGGCTGCGCATCTGATACAATATTGATGGAAACGCAATATCCAAAGGTCGCCGGCGCCTGCCTCTCCCCGTGTCGGGCTCTAGGGAGGTGGCGCAGACCTCGAGGCCCAGGAGAGGCAGCCTGGGGATGGGGCTGCCCTGGTGGAGGGCTGCCTGGCCCGTGGGAGGCGCGCCCTTCCTAGGCTGGTCTGTGGGACTGGGGCGGGGCCCGCAGGCTGCTCCGAAGTCCAGGCCCTGCCTCCACCTCCCCACGTAGACTGTGGCCATGTCCTTTGCTTCCCTGGGCACACTTGTGCACAGTGATGGCTGGGACAGGGGCCAGGGGCTCCCTGGGCCCCGACTCCCTCCTGCGGGGCCCATGTGCGTGAGGTCCTGGGTGGGCGCAGCAGGCAGGAGCAGCAGCCTGGCGGGGAGCGTGGTCCTTCCAGTGGGGGCCACACCTCTGCAGTCCAGCCGAGCGCCCACCCTTCCATGCGTCCACTGTCCTACTTGCCCCTACCCCGCACTCACTGCCACCAGGCAGTGCAGGCAAGTGCTGCATGGCTCTGAGCCTCAACCTTCTCATCTGTAAAATGGGACCGAGGAGCCTAGTTGCAGGTTAAAGGAGGCGCCCACCGAGCACCCAGCAGGCCCCATCTTCCCTCCCCTCCAGGCCCAGAAGGGCCCTAACACCGCTTCCCACCACTGATGGGGAAACTGAGGCCCAGAGAGGGCAAGGGGCTCCCCTGGGAAGCCTCCTCCCCAGGGGACAGGCAGGCCTGGCCAGGCGGCCAGTAACTGAATCTCAGCCGTGGTGACCGGTGCCGGCACCCCTTTGCAGGTCATGATTTTCCCGGCCCGGGTGGCATTACAGGGCTGTAACCCGGCTCGACACGGCTGTCCTCAATGCATAATGCATGGCCACCACCGCGCCGCTCAAATCTCACCAAAAACCAGGGAAGGGAGGCTGCACGCTGTGGGGAGGGCGCCAGCCTTGGGGCAGCTGCCCGATTTGGGGGGCGACGCACCTGCCGTCAGGACCCCGCAGGTCCGGACCCAGCGTCTGCTGGTCCTCGGGTCCTTGCGGAGTCGGTTCGTGTCTGGGGCCTAAATGAGGGATGCGGGGACGCGGGGACACACCGCAGCAGACCCCTGTCCCAGCTGAAATCCAAAGTCCAGAGCAACGAGACGCCACAGTGACGATGCAGTGAGGCCTGCCCCCTCCTTAGTGCCTGGCTCCCTAAGGGGCCTCCAGACTCCCAGGTGAGGGACCCGAGGCCCAGGGCTGCCTCCCCAGAGCTTCTGCTTGGTGCAGTGGAGCGGGGTTTGGCCCCAGAAACAGGGTAGGGGGAGGTCCCCCAGCCGCAGGTGCCATCTGGGGCCCAACGTCCATTCCCCTTGGCCCCAGACCAACACCCAACGCCCTGCCTCTTCCCTTTCACCGCCCCCCAACCATGAGGGGCAGGGAAGGTTCTTGCCCCTACCCCAGAGCAGGTTCCATTGGGGGAAGAGCTCAGGGCCCTCAGGCGGGCAGGGAGCAGGGCCGGCAGGGCAGGCGAGCTCCGGCACCCGGGGAGCCCCGGGAGGAGGCCCTGGCTCAGCCCCCCTCTGTGCATCAGCCTGTGGCTGCCAAACTGCCCCCGACCCTGACCCCGCAGGGTCCGGCTGACCCTGGCTGCAGCTCCTAAGCCGGGCTGTGTCTGCGTCACGGACACTGGAAGGACACAGCAGACTGCTGGGTCCGAGTCACGGGGCAGAGGGCAAGCGTCCTGCTTTGTGGGTGTCCTTCCCCCCCAAGTCCCAGGATCCCCAGACGGCAGCTGTGCCCACGGGAAGTTTGCGACACAGCCGAGGACCCCAGAACCTGGTGGCTGTTTCAGAGCGAGCAGGTCTGCGTCCCTCCCCGCAAGCCCAGCCTTGAGACGCGCCTGGGGAGAGTAGCCAGGACCCCCACCCGCAGCAGGCGTGCGAGAGGCCCACCGCCTGCCTCTTCTTCCCCTGCTGGGGCCCCCGGACTGCGTCACACAGCAGCAGTGATTCAAGGGGCTTCCGGGCCTGGCAGGAGCCAGGACTAGGGCCCCAGACCTGCCGGGCCCCAGACCTGCCGCGCCCCCGCTGTGGGGCCTTGAGAAAGCACCTGGTCCTCTCTGTGCCCTGGGACTGTCTTGGGGTGGAGGGACTGCACAGGGGTTCCCCTAGGAGGTCTCTCCCTCCCACGAGACCCAGGATCTCGGGCGCCCCACCCTCCCAGAGGGTCCGCTGCCGGGTCCCTGCACTGTGGAGGGTTGAGGCGTGTGGTAAGGGATCCTACAGGCAGCCACGCCCGCCGGGCCACCTGACACCTTTGCCTTCAAATATTAATGCGACGCCTCCCACTCCTGGGGGCGGCAGCCACGACAGCCCCGGACAGCCCAGGGCGGCCCCAGCTCCCTGAGCTCACAGCCCAGCCCCTGCGTTGACCGGGCCGGGCGCCGGCAGGTGCTCCCCAGCCCACTGTGCACTGGGGCTCCGGGTTCCCGCAAGCAGCGAGGCATGAGGTGCGTGGTGGCTGGGCAGGCGGGTTCCAGGCGGAGCTCCTGTCCAGTGGCCGTGGTGGGCGGAGAGCCCCGGATGGGGATGTGAGTGGGGGGCTGGAGGAGGTGGGTGTGAAGGGCACCCCCAGGCTGAGGTGGCCAGCAAAAGAGCCCGCCTCCTTGCCGGGAGGTGGGGCTGACCCACCAGTGGATGAGTGAGGGGACACTCGGTGCAGCCGAGGTGTTTGCCCTGCCCAGCAGGACTAGCGATGTCCCATGCGAAGCTCTGCACGTGACGAGCCAGCAGACCTGGGGCTCGTCGCACCCGGGTCCCCTGTCCCGCCGACTCTCCCCAGCAGCGCCCTGCCGGCCCTGAGGCCGCATCCCACCCCAGGTGCCCGCCGGAGGGAGGGGGTGAGGAGCTGTGGTCTGCCGTTGGGTGGGGTGCTCGAGGGAACACAGCGCGCAGCCCTCCCGGCTGAGACGGAGCTGGGGCCACCATAGGCCCAGCCGGGAGCCCAGGCATCCGCCAGCTGAAAGAGGGGGCCAGACGGCCTCCAACTTCCAGCTTCAAACCGAAGGCCTCGGGGTCCTGCGAGGACAGCTGAGGCTCCTGGAGACTTCCTCTGCCACCTGGGAAGGGACAGGCAGAGGCGGGGAGGCGGGCACAGCCTCCCCACTGACAGCTCCTCCTGCATCAGGGCAGCCTGCCCGCCCAGGGTCCCCGGCTCAGCTGGCCTGTGCGTCCACCCGGCCAGCAGACAGGCGATGACGACGCTGAGGCTGCACAGGGGGTCCCCTCCGGGCCAAGGCTCTTTCCAGCTGCCCTCTCCTCAGTGCTTGGGGCAGGGGAGGCGGCAAGGACAGGACGGTGCCTGTTCTGGACACCGGGCAGAGTGTGGGGGTGAAGCGATGATGGCCTGCGGCTGCCAGCGGGGACTCCGGGCCCCGGGCCCCCAGGCCCAACCTTGGCAGTCTGTTCCCGGGCGGCCCTGGGGAGGGCGGCCGGGCAGTGCGGGATGGGGGCAGCGCTGCCGCTCGGAGGCGAGGTGCAGCCCGGGGCCCCTGCTAACGCTGCCGCGGGGAGTTCCAAGTTCTAGTGCCTTCCCCCTAAGCATGGAGGCCTGGCACCTGCCTTCCTCTGGGAGGGGGTTCGAGTCAGCACAGAGGGCAGGGACGGTCTGGGAGGGTGTGTGCGTGTGTGTGCACGTGTGCATGGGCGCTACATCAGGCCACATCTCTGGCGAGGCTGGAGAGAGGTGAGCACAAGCTGGCCACCGGGTCCTGACCCGGCCCCTGGAGCTGCCTCGAGAGGGAGCCAGTGAGCCACACCTTCAGATAGGGGTTCACGTGGTGGTGGTGATTTGGGGGGGCACCTGAGTGGTGGCACTCAGACAAATGCATGGGGTGTTTGGGGAGCCCCCGTCGCCTGGTGTGGAGGGGTGGAGAGACACGGGGGACTGGACCTGGGGGGTGCCGCCCCTCCTGCATACTTGGCCCCTCCAGGCCTGTTTCCAGAGGCAACCTCGCCCCACGCCCCACGAGATGGGGCCAGGCTAGACCTCCGGACACCCCCACCCCCACCTCGTAGCACAGGCAGCCCAAGTCCAGGCCCACTTGGGCCTCCACTGACCGGGCCTGTCCACCCCCAGGTGCCGCTCCTGATGACGCCCCCACCCCCACCATTTCCCCCGCCTCCTCTGTCGGCTGCCAGACGCTCCCCAGAGGATGGGAGAAGGGGCTCAGGTCTCGGAAGCCCCACCTGTGAGTACCCCTGTCCAGGAGGACGGGTCCGGGGCCTGGGTGCCAGGAGTGGGCCCTGCTGGCCTCACCCGAGGCCCTTTGGGGGAACAGTGGAGTGGGGGTGAGGCCGACTCCACACTGAGGTCACCTGCCCGTCCCCCAACCCACAACCTCTTCCGGGTTTCCCTTATGGTCTTTGTTCTTTCAGAGTGAGGTCAGCACTTCCCCCAGTGGGCGCTGACCCCTCCCCGGCCCCAGGGTCTCTCTGTGAGCCCGGAGCCCCTGGGGCTGGCCCTCCACCAGCATAATGTCCTGCGTGGGACAGCTGTCTCCCCTCTCCGGGCCTCACGTGCCCAGAGGTGCTTCCCTGCCGGAGGTGCTGCTGCCGTCTGAGACGCCAGCAGCGAGCAGGGACATGGCCCTTAAACTGCAGGTCACCACCAGTTAGGGGACCGAGACCAACATTTATCAGTGGGATGGAACCACTGAGCAAAGTCCGCAGGCCCCTGTGTAGTGAGGGTCAGCATCGGTCCTGGGTGTGTGGTCCTTACGCAACCGTGTAGGGCTGTGTGGACCTGGGTGTGGTGCAGAGCGTGTTTCTCCTCGGGGCGTGGCCCTGGGCGGTGTCTGTGGTGGGGTTAGGGGCACTGGGCCCAGAGGCAAAGGACAGGCCCTGTGGTTCGATGGGCTGCATCTGGCCCCCAGACCACTGGTTGTAGGGGGGCACAGGGCGGGCAGAAAACTGGCCGTGGGCTGCGATGACCAGGGCCAAATGCACACTCTCCAACCAGCCAGTGTTCAGAGGCCCATGGACACCCCACAGTGAACAAGTTTGCCCGGGGTGCTTCTGGGGGTCGAGGGCTGGCTGGGTCTTTGGTCCCACATGCGGTGCCAGCCCTGCCCCAGGTCCCCGATCCTGGACTCCCCAGCCCCCTGCGCTCTCTGGAAGCCCCTCTGACTCCAGCCCCTCTGATTCCCGGCGGCAGCGTCTCTCGGCGCGGCCTGGCCTGGCCAGCCGGACCGACCTCTCCGGAGGGAGCAGATGAGCCTCGCGGTCCCCCTGGCGGCCACTGCCAGCACGATGGCGGTCCCTGTGGTATGTTCTCACTCTCCGCCTCTCACTTCCCAAGGCCCCCAGCCAGCTCTCACTTCCTCCTGTGTGGGCCGGGCAAGGTCACCCCGGGACAGCCAGGGCCTTCCTCCCAGGGGACAGCAGGTGGGGCCTGGGGTGACCTCCGCAGTCAGGGTGCTTCCCACCCCTCCACCAGTGCCGCTGTAGAGAAGCAGGCAGATGTCTGTGAGGAGGGTGGGCCTGGCGCCCACCGCCCTCCTCCTTGGGGCACTGCCAGGAGGGGGCCCCTTCCTTCCTGGTCCTTGTGCTGGGCACCAGGCCCTTAGTCTGGGTGATGCCACTCAGGGCCGCCCCCTCTCAGAGGGTCACGGTGTGCACAGGGCACTAAAGGGCTCCGACAAGCCCCGAAGTCAAGCTGGCCTCCAGGCTTGGTCTGTGTGGCTGTGCCCGGTGGAGGTCACCCATGAGCATGGCTCTGGGCCACTGCTACCCCACCGGACGCAGCAGAGCCCGGGTGACATCCAGTTGCCTCTCCCACCCCTCATACCCTGGGTCCCACGAGGGACGGGCAGGCTCCTGCCCTCGGGAAGCCCACACTTACCAGGCTGGGCGTGCTGTTTGTGGTCTCCCTTGCCCTCCCACCCCGCCCCTGGCGCCCCCACAACCCCTCCTCCCTGGGCAGGGTCCCCTCGGGCCCCAGTGATCTACTCATCTGCACAGGGGGCAGAGATGGCAGCGGGGAATGCCCCAGAGGGGCTGGCCACACTGCAGCTGGACGGACTGCCCTCCGGTGACCTGGACGGGCTGGTGCCCACGCGGGATGAGCGCGGCCGGCCCATCCCCGAGTGGAAGCGGCAGGTGATGGTGCGGAAGCTGCAGGCGCGCCTGGGCTCAGACCTCGTGGAGGATGCTCAGGTGGGCGGGGCTGGGCGGGGCCGAGCAAGGCCAGTGGAATGGGAGGGGCGTGGTCAGAAGGGGAGGGGTGAAGCCAGAGGTAACGGGCAGAGAGGGCGGGGCTTTATCCTGGCTGGTGGACTTGGAAGGGGTGGGACCCTGATCCCACACTTGGAGTCCTGAGGCGCAGGTCCCCCACTCTGCTCCTCTGTGGCCTCAGTTTCCCTTTCTGCCATACTCAGAAGGCTGTGAGCGGTGCCCCGTCCCCTGGGTTACAGGTGTGATCCCCACATATTCTCCGACCTAGTGAATTGTATCCCCTCCTACCTGTGCCAGCCTGGTCTGGGGTGTGCAGGGGCCGGCCCTCCCCACCGGCATGCGTGTTCTATCAGGGAAGACTGGGTGTGCAGGGGAGGGGCCGTTCCACGGGGGTGCTCGGGGCAGCCTCTCTGGGGAGGGGACGCTGAGCAGGGGCCAGAGGGAAGTAGGGATGTGTGGGACCAGTGATGCCAAAACGAGGGACCAGCATGTGCAAAGGTCCTGAGGCAGAACAGGCAGCCCGAGGGGGACCAGGAGGAGTGGCACGAATGGGGGTGTTGGGCAGAGGTGAGGTCAGAGAGAGAACCGGCAGCCATTATAGGAGCCCTGGTGGCCAGGCCTCTGGGGAGCCTTTGAAAACCTGAGCAGAGATGGCCGGGGTTTGACCCGACATTTCCCTGGGCTCCCTGGGGGCTGCCCCCGGGCTGTAGTTCCAGAGCCCAACCCTAGAGGGAGACAGCTGTGCTTGAAGGAGCGGCTCTGCAGGGCTCTGGTTAGAGCAGCCCCTGGCAAGTCGGTGATGCCAGCCACCTGTGGCTACTTAAGTTAATTAAAACGAGGTACAGATCAACGGCTGCCTAGGACAGTGGCTGCTCCCAGCCCCAGGCAGCCGGGGCAAGGAGTCCCAGCCTCACTGCAGAGTGTCTGGGGCCAGGCATCCGGAGCAGGCCCCCCTCGGGGAAAATTCCACCTGGCAGGAGCCAGGCCCCCGGATGTCACCCCACTGACTCGCCCCCCCACCCCCCACCCAGGATGACAGGGGGAGCGCGGGCCCCGTGGAGCCCGCCGCCTGGCGGTACTCACAGACCCACCAGGCCATCCTGGGCCCCTTCGGGGAGCTGCTGACCGAGGACGACCTGGTGCAGCTGGAGAAGCAGATCGCCGACCTGCAGCTGCGAAGGCGCTGCCAGGAGTACGAGAGCCAGCTGGGCCGGCTGGCGGCCGAGCTGCAGGCCCTGCTGCCCGAGCCCCTGGTCAGCATCACCGTCAACAGCCACTTCCTGCCCCGGGCGCCTGAGCTAGAGGGCGCGGAGGCCCCGAGCCCAGTGCCGGAGCCGGACGGCTCCCAAGGGGCCGTGGAGGCCGCGCCCTGCGGGCAGCCCCTGCCCTTCTGGTGCAGCCACGTGGCCCGGCTGGTGCGGAGCCTGTCGCTGCTGCTGAAGGGCATGAACGGGCTGGTGCAGGGCGAGGAGAAGCCAGCTGCCCAACCCCTGCAGCAGGCCCGCCGGGAGGCCCCAGCCAGCGCCCCGCAGAGCGAGGCCCAGCGCGAGATCCAGGAGTGCGGGGTGTCCGTGCGGACACTGCGTGGCAACTTCGAGTCGGCCCCCGGCCTGCCCTACGCCTCAAACCTGGGGCCCTGTGAGGCGGGAGCCCAGCCGGGGCAGTGCCCGCGAGGCTGCTGGCCGGCCCCGCCGCAGCCCCGGGGTGGCCTGATCGGAGGGGAGCCTGGGCCGGGTGACACGGAGGAGGCCAGCGACTCAGGCATCAGCTGCGAGGAGGCACTGTCGGAACCAGGCGCGGGGCACAGCCCCGACCTGGCCAACCTGCGGAAGGAGCGGATAGTCATGCTCTTCCTCAGCCACTGGAAGAAGTCCGCCTACACGCCCGCCCTCAAGACGGCCGCCTGCAGGACCCTGGAGGCCCGCCGCACGGGGCCCCAGGTGCAGGAAGCGGCCAGGGTTCCGGCGCCACCCTCCCCACTGCCCAGCGAGGGCCCCCGGCTCGGCCACCTGTGGCAGCAGCGGAGCATCATCGCGCACCTGCTGGGCACCTGGAAGGCCGTCCTGGCGCACGTGCCGGCCCGGCAGCTGCGGAGGCTGAGCCGGCGGCCCCGCGGCCTCCTGTCCCCGGAGCAGTTCCTGCCCCACGTGGACGGGGCGCCTGTGCCCTACGGCAGCCTCACGCTGGACCTCTTCATGCTGGGCTACTTCCAGCTCCTGGAGTGCGACCTGCCCGCGGAGGAGCGGAAGACACGCCACCTGCTCTGCTTCGAGGTCTTTGAGCACCTGGGCACCCACGGCTGGGAGGCCGTGCGGGCCTTTCACAAGGCCGTGACCGACGAGGTGGCCGCCGGCCGCCGCGCCTGGACCGACGGCTTCGAGGACATCAAAGCCCGCTTCTTCGGCCCCCACCGCGGCCCCGCCTGGGACAGGGAGCCAGGCCACAAGTCAGATCTGAGCCCGCTCGGGCCCCGGCCCCCCACTGCTGCCCCCAGCGGCGGCCCAGAGCCCGCGGCACAGCAGCTGGGGCCCAGCTCCCAAAGGGGCAGCTTCAACAGCGAGGACATCTGTGGCTACATCGACCGCAGCTTCGCCTTCTGGAAGGAGAAAGAAGCCGAGATGTTCAGCTTTGGAGACTGAGGCGGGCGGGCAGCCCCCTCTGGAGGGGCCTGGGGGGTTGGAATTTCTCCTCTTTTGTGCTTTCTCGCCCACCTGGTGGCCAGGTGAACCCACGGCCGGCAGACACGGCACGCTCACCGGGCCCCTGTCCTGCCCTGGCCCCGACAGGGGTGCTCGGGTCTGGGCTCAGGCTCAGCACCCTGCTCACCACCAAATCCAGGGGGCTCCCTGAGCTCTCTTTCAGCCCTGAATCGATGACCCGCCATCCCAGCCCCAGGTCCCTCTGCCCACTCGTCCCCAGGCCCCGGGCATGCCACCCCCAGCTTTCCATGGGCCCTCCTTTCAGCACCTGGTGTCCTGTCCCCCAGCTTCTCTGGCGCTGTGGCCCTGGCCATGTCCAGAGCCTCTGCCTGCCCTGCGTGGGCATGTGTGTCCTGCCTCGGTTTCTGCCAGTGACCTCAGGCCTTGTCCCTCCACCTCCCCCGGCCTCTCTTTCCCCATCTGTGAAATGGGAGCAGAGCTGGGAGTTGGAGAGAATGGGATTCCACGGCCTTACTGTCAGACAGACCCGCCCTCTGGGCCAGGGAAGTGGTCCGCACAGACTCGCAAACCGGTCACACGCAGTCACCTGCTGATACGCACGTGCCCACCCACAGTGTTCCCGGGGACCTAGTCCCAAAGAGAAGCGCCCTAGGGGCTTCCTGCCCCCGCTGGACAGCCCCTCCCAGGCTCCTTCTGTGGGCTCATTGTCCTGGGGGGGGGGGCGTCTGTGACAGGGGCAGTGGCTGGAAGGGGTAGTGGCTGGAAGGGGCTCTGAGCGAGGGGACCCTCAAAGGTGAGCTGCAGGCCCCAGAGAACTTGTGGCAGAGGTGGGGGCACACTAGCCAGACCCTGGTCACTGGATGTCACCCACAGCCTTCTCTGTGAGGGAACGAGGAAATGAGATGGCTGCGTCCCCAGGGAGCCTCCAGTGCTGCAGCGCTCTCAAGGGCAGGTGGGGGGGGGACAGAGCCCAGGGCAGCTGGGGTGGGTCCCCCCAGCTGGGGGTTGGCCCAGGGGACTTTGGCAGAGGGTGTCCTGTAGCTGCACAGTGGCCCCAACAGGCAGTGTGTTGGGAGGGGGCCTCGGGACCATGCTGTGGCCACCACGTCCCTGCAGCCAGGCCCCTCTTGACAGGCATTCTGCGCAGCCGGTGGGGAGGGCAGCAGGCCAGCTGTTGGGTGGCCCGGAGCCCCCCAGCCAGCCCCTCGGAGCCCCACAGGGAGGCATCAAGTCGGGGTGCTGGGCGCCAAGGCCGCCAGGCCCGTAATGGAGGACGGGGGGTTGCTGAATAAAGACTCTGGATCCTGGCCAGTCTGTGCGCCGTGCTTGCTGCCCGGGCCGGCTGCCGGCGCCCAGAGCGGGGCCCAGCATGGGGCGCATGTGCTTGTCCGTCCAGTGGGTGGGCTGAGGTGGCCCTGGGACGGGCCTCTGCCCTGGTACAGCACTGTCACTCTCCTGCCTGCGGTCGTCGTTCAGGGAGCAGGTTCCCACAAGCAGGCGCGGACCCTGAGCGCCCACGAGCATCTCCACGCTGCCTCCCAGCGCTTGGCCCCAAAGCGTGACCGAGGGCTGCCTGGGGCTGGCCGGCGGTGTGGGCCTGATGGGGGACTGGGTGAGCCCTGGGGCACAGCGTGGCCTGCAGGCCAGGGCACTCAGGAGAGCCCTGTGCACTGGCCGGCACTCCTGCCTCAGACACTTCTGCCCACTTGCTATGGCTTCGGCCTCACTTCCCCAGCAGAGGGTTTGGACCGAGGCCAGCAGGGGGCACTTCGCAAGCACCCTGGGTTTTGGGAGGGCGTAGAGTCGGGCACACTACCAGGAGACAGGGCACTGGAGGCGCACAGCCGGGCCTGCGGCCCGGGAGGAGGGAGTCCCCTCTGGAGCTGCCCTGCTCCCGGGTCTCAAGGAGACACAGCGCTCTGGGGGCAGCCCCACCCCTGTGAGCCCCGAGCCCCGGGCCTCTGATGGGGAAGCCGCATTTCCAGGGCGTCGCAGCTGGGGCCTCTTCAGCTCGCGAGAGACCAAAGCTCTGGGGCAACAGTCCATCCCACCAGCCGGTTCTGGCCCCAGAAGACAGTCCCTCAGCCCAACAGGCTGAGACGCTTCCCCCAGAAAGGTCTGCCCTGGGAGAAAACGCCACAGCGAGTCCTTTCGGGCAGAAGGGACCGTCCGTTATACTCCCGAGGGCGTTGTCCACTAAGCACAGGGAGAAAAGGGGGGACCTCGTGGCATCCTGTGCCCCAAGTAAATCCCAGGTGGAGTGAGAGATACTATGAGCAAGCCGGGCGGTCAGATGCCCGCAGAGGGCGTGGGCGGGGGTGGGGCAGGCCGCCCCCAGAAAGGCTCACAGCGGAAGGTGCCGGGCAGGCACAGGGTGCAGTCGTGCCCCCGCTGGAGACAGGGTGTCCCCCGCTCCAGCTGGACGACCCCCGGGCTGTAAAGATGACCACACACTTTGCTCTCCTGTCGTCTGGGGAAGCAGTCACAGAAGTGACACTGTGTCAGTCGCTGTCATACCGAATGGCCACCCGACCGAGTGTCTGTTAACGGAAGTGACTGCGTGTCATTTCTCCTTGCGGTGCCGTGGGTCCGAGTTAGGACGAGATTCCACAGCACGCGTCCCGAAGGAAGACCGGTCACATCAGAGACGCGGGCCATGCTGGTGACAAGCCAGGACACCGCGCCTGCCTGCCACCCCCGCCCCCCGGCTGCCGGGGGAGACAGACGGGGAAGAGGCCAGCGAACCGCTCCTTTCCCAAATTATCCGCCGTGAGCAAGTGTTGTTTCCGTCATAAAAAGAAACCAGCCGCATATTTTCAAAACCTGTCTGCTCGGTGGCGACCTGCTGACCAGGATCCGTTTTGAGGCCCGGTATCGAGTGACCCGTCATGCGAGCTCCGCGTCCCTGGGAGGCCTCCACCCCATGCCCAGGCTGGGCAGCTCCTGGTGACAGCAGCCTCTCCCCAGAGTCCCCGTCCTCCCTTCCTCCAGCGTTAACCCTCGGTGTCCTGCCTGAAAACGGTGGGGGAGAGCGGGGGTGGAGGTCGAATTCTCGGTTCCCCCTCCAGCACCCCCCTCCACGGGGGCTGGGTACAGTGAAGGCTGGGACATCCGGTGGGTCCCCTCCCCTGCCCAAGGCCAGGGGGTAGGTTTCTGAAACCGTGGAGGGCGGGGACAGGGCCTAGGGCCGAGCAGGTCCAGCCGAGGCGGGAAGCAGGGCCCAGGCAGCTGGTGAGGGGCAGGGTGAGGAGGTGCCTGTGAACTTGTGCTGGGGTGAGCCATCGCTGCCGTGACGGCGGTGACTGGTGTGCCACGAGGCTGCGCAGGCCCGGAGAGCTCGCAGCCACCTCCCCGGCAGGCGGCGGGCCCAGCAGCCACGACCCACGATTCTGTCCCAGACTCATGCTGTTGTGACACCCTCTGCCCTTGAGAAGTTACCTGACGTGGCCAGCAGTGGGGCTGTCCCCCCGGGGGCCACCTGGGCCTCTCAGCACTGTTGGAGCACCCGCCGGTCCTAGTGGACACTGGTGGGCCTCCTCTGGACACCACCCGCTGGCCGCTGCCACGTCCCCACACACCCGGACGGGGTGTCAGCAAGGCCTCATGGGGGAGGGGCCAGTGGCCACAGGCAGCAGCCCCCACCCGGCCACCCCAGGCTGCGGCCCCGCTCTCACCGCTGGTGTGGGAGATGCCCAGAGACCCCGCTGGGTGTCCCGGACCAGAGCGCCGAGGAGCCCGACACCAGGTCCCCCTGTGGCCGCTGCCGTACTCCAAGTTGGCCCCATTCCCTGGCCCTCTTTGGCTCTCACGACTAATAAAGTCACCGTGGCAGCCCCAAGGCCACGGCTGTGATGCGATGGGGACGGGGCCTCAGGGTCCCGCGCCCCTGTCTCCAGTCTAGGGGGCGCTCAGGGCTGCCTCCTCACCTCTCTGGGCACCCCTCCGCCACTCCTGCTGCCCCCGGCCACCACGGACCCCAGGTTGGGAGGCCTCTGCTGACCAGCTCTTCACGACCATCACTTCCTCCCACTTGGCAGAAGAGCAAGAGGCCACGCAGGTGCCTGTCGGGCCCCAGCCGGGTCGCTGTGTGCCCGCCTAAGTCCCCAGCACTGGCTCCACTGTCCCCTCTCCCAGATGAGGAAGCAGAGGGGGGTGGCCGCACCACCAGCCCCCCACCCCACCCCCGCAGTCAGCCCACAGGGAGGGGCGACGCCTGTTCTCACCCCACCCAGGAATGCCTCCCGCCTCCCGCCCAGGCCCCTGTGGGCTTTCAGAGGGGACAGCCCAGGAGGGGACCGCACCAAACTCCTTCCCCCACCAGCCCATCCCTCCCCGCCTGCCCGCCCTCCCCATTCCTGGTGTAGCTGAGGCTAAAAATATGCTGTCACCCCCCCGCGGCCGCTCCGCCCCGCAGGCCCTCAGCGCCCCTGCAGCCAGCTGGCCAGTCCCATTCTCCAGCCCGAGTCTTCAGCACGGGGTCCAGCGTCCCACGGAGAGGTAGGGCCCAGGGGCTCTGGAGAGGGGCAACCAGAGGGGACCGTGGGGACTGGAAGAGAGGGGTCACGGTGGGACAGCGTGGGCTTGGAGCTCACAGTGCTGGCACTTTGGTGAGAGACCCCCGGTCCTGGTCCAGCCAGCCCGTCAGGGTGGGGTGGGCACCCGGCAGGCAGGCCGCCCTCCGGTCGGGCTGGAGAGGTGGCCAAGGGGGAGGCTGGGCTGCGGCCCGACTGTAGCCAGGCGAGCGTCCGGCATCAGCGTCCTTCCCGGTCCTGCCCACTGGGCCCTCCTCATGCCTGGCCCCGACGGGCACCCGGCTGAGGCTCGGGGACCCTCCGGAAGCCCCCACCTGGAGCTGGGACGGCAGGGCGGCAGGTGTCAGCAGCCACCGCTAAGGCCCCGGGGAGTGTGGCTGCTGCCCAGGCCCTCGTGGCAGCAGCGGCCAAAGGGACACAACAATGACAGGAATGCCAGGCCTGGGGGCGGTGGCCGGCCCACTGGGCTCCTGCCAAACCCCCCTTCGGAGGACAGAGCCGCCAATCCCAGCCACCAGCCTCCTGGGAGGGTTGGCAGGACGGACCTCGGCCTGGCCCACTGACCCGACCTGTCCCGGCGTTGAGCAGGTGCTCAGGCCCCCCGGTGGGCTGCCTGGGTCTGCAGGGCGGGGACGGGCACCCGCTGGGGAGGGAGCGGACCTTGAGCTCCCACCCCCAGCAGCTCAGGAGGGCCCCCCCCACCTCGGCCTCCACAGTTTATAGTTCTCAGGCTTCCCTTTCTGATGTTTTGTCCCCACGGCTGCGCGGACAGCTCCAGAAGGTGCCCCCTGGTGGAGAGACCGCTTCTCTGGGGTGCAGCCCTTCCCGTGGTGGGTAACTCGGGGTGGTGGGGGAGGCCCCCAGGCAGACCTTTTCTCTCTCTGGGGAAGCTTTCTAAGTGTCAGAAGCACATAAATAAATGTGCTCGTAACTGAGACGTCCCGAGGTGGGTCTGCTGAGTCAGACGGCGTGATCACAGAGTCACCAACTCTGCCTCCAGGAAGCTCCCACGGTTTGTCTTCACCCACCCACACCGGAGGTGATGGAACTTGGGGCTCGGCAGGGGACGCCCTGCCTGGCCCCCGGACACCAGCAAGGCCATAGCAGGCCAAGGCAGGACATCTCTCCCGTGTCCCCAGTGTCCTCCTCAACCATGGTGGATTGGGGAGCAAGGGGTCCATGTGGGGGTTGGGGGCCATGGGGACCCCAAAGCCCCAGGGGCCTGCTCCATGTGGCCCAGAGATGGGGAGCAGCCCAGGGCTGGGGTTCTCTTGCCGGCCCCATCCTGCCCAGGTCGAGAGAGGGGCTGTGGGTGGGTCTCCCGCCCTCTCCAAGCTCCAGGCTGGGGGACTGGGTGGGGCTGGGGGGTGCCGGGTAAAGCGCTTCCCACATCGAAGCACTCAGCCGAGGCTCGTGGGGGGTGGGAAGCCCTGGTGTGAAGGAGACCACTCGCCCCCGCTGACCCTGCTCCCCCGTCGCCCCCGCAGCTTCTCCCTGGGGGCCCGGCCGCACTGGCGCGGCAGCCATGGTCCGGAACGTGGACGACCTGGAGTTCCGCCTGCCCTCGCACGCCCAGGACATGCTGGACGGGCTGCAGAGGCTGCGCTCGCAGCCCAAGCTGGCGGACGTCACGCTGCTGGTGGGCGGCCGGGAGCTGCCCTGCCACCGCGGCCTGCTGGCGCTCAGCAGCCCCTACTTCCACGCCATGTTCGCGGGCGACTTCGCTGAGAGCTTCTCCGCGCGTGTGGAGCTGCGGGACGTGGAGGCCGCCGTGGTGGGGCAGCTGGTGGACTTCGCGTACACGGGCCGGCTGACCATCACCCAGGCCAACGTGGAGGCGCTGACCCGCACGGCCGCGCGCCTGCACTTCCCGGCCGTGCAGAAGGCGTGCGGCCACTACCTGCAGCAGCAGCTGGACGCCACCAACTGCCTGGGCATCTGCGAGTTCGGGGAGCAGCAGGGGCTGCTGGGTGTGGCCGCCAAGGCCTGGGCCTTCCTGCGGGAGAACTTCGAGGCCGTGGCCCGGGAGGACGAGTTCCTGCAGTTGCCCCGAGACCGGCTGGCCGCCTGTCTGGCCGGCGACCTGCTGCAGGTGCGGCCGGAGCAAAGCCGGCTGGAGGCCCTGCTGCGCTGGGTGCGCCACGACCCGCCGGCCCGGGCTGCCCACCTGCCCGAGCTGCTCGGCCTGGTGCGCCTGGACGCCGTGTCCGGGCCCTTCGTGCGGCAGCTGCTGACCTCCGAGCCGCTGATCCTGGAGTCTGAGGCGTGCCGGGCGGCCCTGTCCCGGGGCCACGAGGCGGTGAGGGGGCGTGGGGGCAGGGAGGGCACCCCATTCACCCCAAGTGCAGACTGTGCTCCCGAGTGTAGCAAACGGGAGGGGAAGCGGAACCCAGAACCAATCGTTCCTGCCCCCTGCCCTGAAGGAGCCCAGCACTCAGGGGACACACCCAGGAACAGACCTAAGGCAGCGTGAGAAAGGCCAGCGCTGGGCTGGGGACACCCTCCCACGGGCGGGTAGTCAGTGAGGGCTCCCTGAAGGAGGCAGCCATTGAGCCGGGCCTCGGAGGCAGGGAGAGGAGCTCAGTGGAGGGAAGAGGATCAGCGAGGACTGTGCCCAGCTTGTGCACGGGTGAGGGACACCAACAGGCGGGGCCGCGGCCACCGCCTGCCCCTTAGGAAGCTGCTCAAGCGTTTATGGGGTGCAGTTGCTCGTCTGTGCTGGCAGGAGGCCTGGCCGGCAGGGCAGGTCCTGGTGAAGTGACAGGCCAGGGTGTGGCTGAGCGAGGAGTTGACCAGTCTGCCTGCTGCCTGCTCAGGGCATTGCTCCAGAGGATGCCCCAGGAGCCAAGTCTGGGACAAAGACAAGGCTCAGGCCAGGGCTGGGGCGTACAGTGTCCCTGCACCGCCAGAGGCACAGGGCCGGCCTCCAGGTGGAACCAGCTGGGGGCCTTGCCCCGCCAGGCGCGCTGTGTAGCTGCGGTGCTGGGAGGTGTGACCGCCCGCAGTCGGGGCCAGAGAGGAGGTGGGTCCCGGGCCCTGGAGCTCCGAAGGTGGATACTTACCATCCAGGGTGGACCCTGCAGCGGTCTCCTAGGGGCAGGGCCACCCTCGTTGGGTGCGCTGGCCCAGGGGGGCGGGGCTCCCAGGTGCAGGGGAGGCGTGGGGTGTCCCAAAGGTGGGTGCAGGGACTTGTCTGAGAGGCAGGTGGGGGCTGAGGGGGAGCGGTTCTAAAGGCCAGGATGCACGGGGCTGGGCGTCCCCACCCTTCTGAGCCCTGCTGCTGTCACCACACGTGTGCACACACACCGAACTCGACCCCCCACGAGTGTGCACCAATGCGAAGCACGTGAGGGCCATGGCCACCTCCAAATGTCAAGGCCGCCTCAGCAGTCACCACCAGTGCCAGGGCCCTGGGTGCAGGGGCACCGCTGTCGCTGCTCCCTCTGACCACTGCCCTCCTGGCCCACAGGCACCGCCGGCCCTGCCTCGGCAGCTGGAAGAGGTGCTGGTGGTGGTGGGCGGGCGGGCGCTGGAGGAAGAGGAGGAGGAAGGTGCCGAGGAGCAGGCCCCCCACCACGGGAACTTCGCTTTCTACAACACCAAAGCCAGTGAGTACCCCGGGCACCCCAAGCTCGGCCCGCTGCCCCTGCCGCCCGCCCGGAGCCACCTGGGAGGGGCACAGGGGTCAGGCCTGTCCCAGGTGTGCCTGGGCCAGGGGCTCCGGGGGAAGCAGACAGTGGTGGGCACTGCAGGTCCCTCTCCCTCCCGCCACAGCCCTCGGTTTTGTCTTTTGGGCCAAGGGGCCCCACGGAGGGGCTCTGCTGCCCTGAGGACACCGTGTGGGGTGGGCGGCCCGGCCGGCCGCTCCCTCCCGTGGTCCTGTCCTGTGCAGCCAAGGACACTGGCCGTGGCCTTGGGGGGCGGTGCAGGAGGCCTGGGGGCTGAGAGCTCAGGTGCCCAGCCAGCTTTGTGCAGGTCACTTTAGCTCCCTGAGCCTCAGTTTCCTCACCTGTGGAATGGGCTCCACACACAGCTGCCATGGGGCCAGTGGGCACGGGCCAGGCCTGAGTGTGGACATGCCTCTCCTGCCCCAGGGCACACTGGCCCTGGGCAGCTCTCCGGGCAGCGCCCATGCAGCCTGGCTGGTGGCCTGGGGCTGTGGGGGCTGGTCACCAGCACCCCTATGTCATCTGGAGCCCGGGGTCTCGGCCGGCTGCCCCAGGTTAGGGGCTGGCAAGGGGCACTTCAGGCCTGACATCAGGAGATGAGCTCTACGGGCCGCTCCGGGGGGCAGCCGTCCCTCAGGTCCTGCTGGGAGGGTGGCCGGGGGCACGCTGGCAGGCAGAGGCCAGTGACTGACTGCCGGGCAGTCCCCACCCCGGGGTGACAGAGACGTGAGTCAGGGGGTCATGCAGCTCCTGCCCGGCAAGGCCCGATGATCCACGTGTCCTGAAAACTGTCATCAACGATGAATAGCCTTCCCAAGGGACCCCCAAGGCGGCCCCATAGAAACCCCAACTGTGTCCACTTACAGACTTAAATATTCTCACCCCCTCCTTGCCTCAGTTTACCTCATGGAGCTCCATTACACAGGTCTGACGTGGGTGGGTTCCTCTCTTCTGAATGCCGCCCCTGGCTGAAGGGTGGCTGTGTGACAGACACACACCACCTCACATGGTCTCCACACATCCCTGGAGGTGGGATTACCCCCATTGCACAGACACAGAAACTGAGGCCGCACAGCAGGTGCGAGAGGGCTGGGCGTGGGCCACTCTGCCTGCCGCAGGCCCGGCTCCCGTGAGCACGGACGGGGCTCAGGGTGGACGGACGCGTGAGGCAGGTGTGAGTGGCGATGCTTCTGTCACAACGCGCCAGTGCCTAGAGGTCAGGCCTCTCCAGGACCGCGCCTTCCGACTGAGGTGGGACCTGTCCACGGGGTCCGCTCGGGGCGCCGTGGGGTCGACTGCAGGGTCAGTAAGAGCATGGGCTCTGGGCACGGGCCGCCTCTCAGCTCATCCTGTGTCCAGTCTGGTCTCCGTGGGGCCCCAGGAGCCCGGGCCTGGCAGTGAGCATGGAGCACCCAGGGCCGCCTCCGACGCCGGCCCCTGGGGGTCGCCACCACAGCTTCGGTGCTGCTCCCCCTCCCCCTTTCACTGTGAGCGGAGGAGGGGCTGTGGGGCAGGAGCCCGGGCAGCGAGCCCCGCACACCCACCCCGGCTGCTCTCTTCTGGCCAGAGACCTGGATGACGCTGCCCGACTTCCCTGACTTCAACAAGTGGGGCTTCTCCCTGGCCGTGCTGAACAGCTGTGTCTACGTCACAGGTGGGCAGATGGAGGCGCCCCTCCCTTGGGGGACCCCCAACGGTCTAGTCAGGACTCTTCCAGAGCTTTCTGTGGTGTGAAAACAAGGAAATTTAAAATCCAGGAACCATGTGTGGGTGCGGGGTGTGGTCCCTGTTCAACACGGGCTCCAGGAGGCCTCAGGATGCCCCTGCAGCCCAGACCTCCCCGGTACACCCATGGGAGGGCCAGGAGGGGTCACTGCCTTTTTTGATCTCGGAAGTTGGGGGGCTTGGTTGGGAAAGAGCTTCCTTGTTTGTGGGGCATGGAGGGACCTGTCCAAGCCACCCAGATAGACCTGTGCTACCGAGGTCCCACCCAGCCCCGTGTCTGGCAGCACGGAGACCCGGCCTGGGGAGAAGGGAGCGGGACCCTTGGCGCCCTGGCCCCACTGGCTTGGAGACCCCAGGCTGATAGAAGCCTGAGCGGACAGAACCTCTCTTGGCAGGTGGCTCGCGGGGCACCAGGTCGGACACCTGGTCGACCACCCAGGCCTGGTGCTTCCCGCTGGCGGAGGCGGCCTGGAGGCCCGTGGCGCCCATGCGGAAGGCCCGCACCAACCACGCCAGTGCGGCGCTCAACGGAGAGATCTACGTCATTGGCGGTGAGGCCGCCCGCTGAGCCTCTCCTGTCCCATCCCAGACCCGAGGGCTCGGGTCTCATGCCAGGGTCCCCTCCTCAGGGACATCCCTGGGGTGCAGGGACGCACAACGGGTCCTTCTGACATCACCTCCGTCCCACCACGCCCCAGCCTGAGCACGGGAGCCCGCCCAACTCCCGCCACCCAGAACCCTGTCAGAGTTGCCCAGGGACCCGTGTGGTTGGACAGATATTGAAAGACAAATTTCCCAAGGCCTCTGTAGGCAACCAGCTGGCCCCAAGGCCGTTCCTCATTCATTGCCCCGAGTGCTGGCCAGCCCCTTACCCCTCAAGGGCCATCGTGTCCAGGCCAAGAGCAGAGGACATGCACAGATCCTGAGGCCCAGGGGAACCGGGGGCCCCCAGGCTGGCCCTCCCACCCAGGACAGGCCCCCGTCGTCATCACAGCCAGGCTCTGCGGGGCTGGGACGGGCTGCCCACAGCTCTGCCAGGACTGACTCCCTCCCCACCCAAGGGCGCCCACCAGGGTACTGGCCTCCTGGGGGCTCCTGCCGCCACCCCTCCAATGCTCCCTGGCTCTGAAGTGTTGGGAGTAGCTGGGCTGCAGTAGGAGGGAGGTCCTGCCTACAGGTGCCCACACCCCTTCTTGGCCACGAGGCTTGAGCGAAGGCCCTCACCTCCAAACCTCACTGAGGCCGCACCCTCCACTACCTCCCCATCCGAGGTAGTGCCCTGGGAGCTCCCGGGCCCCCTCCAAAGCCCAGGCCCCAGCAGGAAGCTTCCTTTGCCCCGCCCCCTGCAGCCTCACCTGCCCCACAGGCACCACCCAGGACGTGGTGGAGGTGGAGAGCTACGACCCCTACACCGACACCTGGGCGCCCGTCAGCCCCGCCCTCAAGTACGTCAGCAACTTCTCTGCCGCCGGCTGCCAGGGCCGCCTCTACCTGGTGGGCTCCAGCGCCTGCAAGTACAACGCTCTGGCCCTGCAGTGCTACAACCCCGTCACAGGTGGGCGCCCCAGGGGCGGGGCAGGTGGTCATGGGCCCCCTCTGCAAGGCTGCAATCCCATTTCAGTGAGGGGGCGGGTGGCGCCCAGGCCGGGAGCCAGGGCCTTAAACGTCCGGTGGAGGCCCTGAGGGTGAGGAGCTGCAGCCGACCTGTCCCCCAGGCCCCCAGCCCCCTAGGTCGCCCACATCCTCCCCCCACCCAGAGAGAGCGGGGCTGGTGAGGGGGCGCAGGAAAGGGGCGCCCTCCCCTGGCTCCTATGGGGCACTGCCTCGGGGGAACCCAGCCGGCCCAGGCCTCCCAGTGACAGCGGCCCCCCTTGGACCCTGCGTCCCCACAGAAGCGTGGAGTGTGGTCGCCTCGCCCTTCCTCCCCAAGTACCTGTCCTCGCCGCGCTGCGCCGCCCTGCAGGGCGCCCTCTACCTGGTCGGTGACAACACCAAGAAGGTCTACGTGTACGACCCGGGGGCCAACCTGTGGCAGAAGGTGGGCCTCGGCCTCGCCTCCCGGGGACACCCCCCCGGCCCCCCGACCACAGTGGGGAGGAGGGAGGGCAGTGAAGGGAGACATGAGCCCGGGCCGAGACCCAGGAGCACGATGACCTGAGGGCAGGGGCCCGAGGTCACCCTGGGGCCCTGACCCCAGAACGGGCAGCCTGTCCACCCCATTGGAAGCAGAATGAGGCTCAGCTGGGGGTGTCTCACAACTGCTGTCGGCTAAGAGAAAACCCTTCCTTCCCTCCGGCCAGGCCCAGGAGGGAGTGAGCCTCCCATCCCTGGGGGCAGTCAAGCGGGTAGCAGATTCCTGTGCTGTGGGTGAGGAGGGAGTAGCCAGCTTCTTGTCTGCCACTGGCCCTGGGAAAAGAATGGGTGGTGGGCATCTCGAGACAGGCCCTTGGGGGCCCCAGAGCCCTGGCCCTTCTCCTGTTTCTTCCAGAGAAGGCGGAGGGACAGCTTCCGGAGCCCACAGCGGCCTCGGCTGCGGTCGGGTGCCCTTGGCCTGTCTGCCTGCTGTGGGAGTCCCCGACTCTGGGGGTCTGAGGGGGAGGCTGTGTTTCCTGCACCGCCACAGGCTGACTGCACAGTGGGCCACTCGGGGCCTCCGTGGTCCCACTGCCCACAGCTGTCCCCTGGCGTCAGCTCTCAGCTGACACCAGAGGCCCCATTACGGCCGCACAACAGGTGCTGGGCGCTCCCTGCCAGCGGGGCTTTCTCCTCGGGCCCTCTCCGCAGGGCCTCGGCTCACACCCCTGCTCTGGGCAGGGGTCCAGCTCCCAGGGCCGCCCTTGCCCTCTCCAGGCCGGGGGAGGGCCACCCCATGGCTGCCTTCATGTGGAGGCCTCGGACAAGCCTCTCCCTGCTGCCCGCCCTGGGCTCTGCCCGAAGCGCCCACTTCCCCCGTGGGCCTCAGGCAGGCTGCTGGCCCTGAGGCGCAGCCCCATCCAGAGCACTCCCGAGGCATGGGCCATGGGCAGCGGTGCAGGAGCCCGGCCCCACACAGGTGTCTGTCAGGGCTGAGGCCACATCTGTCCCTGCAGGGGAGCCGCTGAGAGTCAGGCTCAGGCCCCCACGCCCCTCACCCCGGCTTTCAGAAATGAGCACGTTTGGGCCCAGGAGAGAAAGAGGGGGCTGGAAGCATTGTCCCAGGCTGTGGGCTGCAGAGGCGGGCAGTGGGTTCTCCCCAGAGAAAGGGGAGTCGGGGGTCCTGGCGGGGGAAGGGAGTGTCAGGAAGCTGGTATCCCGTCTACATGTCCCCACCTGCCACCTCCGGTCTCTGGCTGCACCCTGACTGCTGGCCTCCCGCAGGTCCAGCCCCTGCACAGCCTGCACGAGAACGGGGCCCTGGTGCCACTGGGCGAGGCGCTGTACGTGACCGGGGGCCGCTGGCAGGGCATGGACGGTGACTACCACGTGGAGATGGAGGCCTACGACCCTGGGCGGGACACCTGGACCCGACACGGCGCCCTGCCCCGCCTCTGGCTCTACCACGGTGCCTCCAGCGTCTTCCTAGACGTCTCCAAGTGGGGCCAGCCCTTCGGCCCTGCCCTGGAGCACTGAGCCCGTTGCAGCAGTGGGGCCACGGTGACGGCCGACCTCCGAGGGGAGGCCCCACACATGTTTCCTGCTCTGTTCACCGGGCCAGGGCTGGGCGGCTCAGGCCCACCAGGGGCTTCAGAGGGGCCTGGTCTTCATCTCCACGGCCACACCAACTCTGAGTGGACTGGCAGCAGGGCCTGGACTCAGGACCCCAAATCGCTGCTTCTGGGGACAGAGGAGGCCGCCGCCCAGCTTCTCTGTGTCCCACCCTGGGGAGGGCAGCACCCAGCCGAGACAGAAGGAGGAAGAAGCAGATGTGGGGACGGGAGACCGGCTCCTCTGCTCACACGGGGGCTGGGAGCCTGGGGGCTGGGGGGCGGCCGGTGAAGGCTTCCTGGGGTGGACGAGCAGGGCGGGCGAGCAGGGCAGGCGCTCTCTGGCCAGGGTTTTCTGTTTCTTGGGGTGGTTTGCTTCCCACAAAGCCGTTAATCGGAACGGAAGCCCCCGGGGGAGGCCTGGGCAGGGTGCTGTGGGGATTTCCAGGGATGTCTCTGGGACACGTTAGTGGCTTCCTGCCTGACATCCCCCTGGGCAAGGGCAGCGGTGAGCTCTTTCGCCAGCCAGCAGAGCCCGCCTCCTCAGGGTGACACAGGCCTGACGCTGTCTCAGGGTGACACAGGCCTGACGCTCAGCCCCCGGGGCCGATGGCCCCACACAGGGCTGGCTCACGCTTCCTGCTGCTTCTTACTCATCCTGAGTGAGGCCCTGTGTTTGTCACCGAGGAGACAGTGAAGGACTCTAACTGGGTGCTGAGTGGCCCTCCTGCTTTGTCACTGGTTCCGTCAGGGACACGGGGCTGCAAGTCAGGCTGCTGGGCCCAGCCTGGCTCCAGCCCACACTGCCCAGCGGGGGCCCTGGGGCACGCCAGTCTCTCTCCCTCTGGCCTCGGGCTTCTCCCCGAGTCCCACTGGGGACCAGAGGCGCCGCTGGCAGCCTGGCTCTGAGGATAGGTCCCCGGGTGCCCAGCGCCCATAGGTCAGACCGACTTTGCCCCCAGAACAGGCTGCTCGTGCCCATTTCTCGTGGGACAGTGAGTTTGCGCCCAGGCCCCAGGCACCGAGGGGCCTCCTGGGCGTCTGCTCGAGACCCAGGGCCCCGTTCAGCGGGCAGAGAGCCTGCAGGTGCTGGGACCCTTGGACCTCCTGTGTGCAAGTTCCGGGATGCGTTTTCGACATTTATTGAATGTGCTCGGCCAAGCACTGCTTCAAAACGCAGGCTCAGGAGGCCGGAGCGGACTTGCCTGGATCACAAACGAGCAGCGTCCTAGCACCAGGCAGACCTCCACCCCTGCACACCCACAGTAGTGGGGAGCCGTCCCCGAGTGGGCCCTCCTCTGATCGCTGAGTGGCCCTATTTAGGACCCGGATCAGGCTAATTATATCCTTCAGGGTCCCCAGAGGAAACATGTGACCCCTCAATTTAAGTAAAGGAAGAGGGTGTAATAAGGGCTGTTTTCAAGCTGTGGGCGAGGGCTGCCACCACCCCTCTGCCCAGGGACAGGTGACGGGGCAGGAGCAGGCTCCAGAAAGAGAGCTGGGGGATGCGGCCCCTGCCGCCTGCCACCCACGACCCACGGGGAGGAAGCGGGGGAGCAGGGACCCAGCCTCGCTCTCACTTCTGCCCCCCAGCCCCCCGACAGCCCCTCCTCCAGCCAAACCCAACCAGAATCAGAGGGGAGACAGGCCGTGGGCACGGTGGGTGTCGGCCACACAGCCACGTGGGCCCACGGGAGCTCTGCAGCCAAGCACCAAACCCTCCGGAGGCACTCATGTGAAAGGGCACTAAGGTCACGTTTGTGCAAGGAATGTCCCGGAGCCAGCCGAGCCAGCCTCTTCCCTTATCAAAGTCCCTGGAACGCGAGGACTCTGGGAGGTGGGGGCGCCTCGGAACACCTGCACTAGGCCCCCACACTCCGGGCCCACGGCAGGGCAGCCCTGGGCGCTCATGTCTGCCAGGTGGGCGCATGTCGCCCTTCCCACAGGCAACGCTGGGTAAACTGAGGCACCCCGCCACCCAGCATACCACAGCCTTCGGCCACCACACAGTGTCCTCCGTAGCCAAGCCCAGGACAGCCCACCTGGGCTCAGCACCCGGTGAGTCAGGGTGGGTGCGGGGACCTTTCCAGCCACGGCCGTCGGACCTGGGTTTTCTAGGACATCCCAGACGAGACCCTCTTTCACTGAGCGTGTTCCCAGGACTGGGCACGAACAGCAATCACCAGAGTCAGGCAGTGGGCACCCCTGTGGGAGTGTCTGTGATTAACCGAAGTGGTCACCTGACAGCTTACTGTGGCCGACGTTGACCTCCAGGCCCCGAGGGTCGACCAGTCGGCCCAGGAGAAACTGCAGGTTCCTGACCAGAGGTGTTTTGTTCAGTGTTGTCTCGCCGTCACGCGGATGAGGGGCCACAGGACCTGGACTCGCGCTGACCCCGGTGGCCCTCGGGAAAGAGAGTTTGCTACGGGACGTTGTGCTTAAGGTGGAACCCATTGGCGCCCTTAAGTGAGGACCTACTGTGCTGGCCTGCGGTCTGGGAGTGACCCAAGGAGGGGGTGGTCACAGCCACATACGACGGGAAGACACTCTCCCCAGGGCTGCGTCCTTCCTCTTCGGTCCCCAGGGCCCAGCACAGTACGGGACACTCGGCCTGGAGTGTGGCTGCGGTGGGCGCCCCCCGGGCCCCCAGCACCAACCTGGAGGGAGGGCAGCCAGGCACGAAGCCGAGTGAAGGATGACACGTACCTCAATGAGACCTTCGTGGAGGAAGTCCTTCCCGGTGGCACGGACACCCCAGGGGCCCACATGACTTCCTCAAAGCTGATGACCATCCCAGGGTTGTCCGGGCCAGGGGCTGGGGTGGTTTGGTCACAGCCAGCTTGGGCTCAGCACCCCTGCCTTCCCAGGTGACACAGGGTCACACTTAAGAACGCGATTCTTACCAAAATGGCAAACCTCACCCCAGGTGTCTACCCTTGTGCATTAAACTGAGAGGTGAACTGAAGTCAATTTTTAAGAATTAATCTATTGGCAGCATGATAACAATTAACGGAAAATAACCCAAAAGACACCGGGGCAGAAATAGGACAGAGGAGACTGCTCCGTGGCCTGTCCGGGAGGGGCCGAGTCCGGGCGCTTGGCCCCCAGCTGGCAAGTAGCTGGGCCCGAGCCAGCGCTCACTGAGCTGAACTGAGGCTCCGGGGTCCTGGGAGACCCTGCTGACCTCCGGTGGTGGGGGTGGGAGCCCAGGAGGTGTCCTACGGTGGCGCTGTGACCTCGGGCCAGTCCAGAGTAGGAGCCTCCGTGTCCTCATCGGTGCCAGGGAACAATCACGTGACTTGAGAATGACATGATGTCACCTACTGGGAAGGCTCTGGGACCCAGCAAAGGTCACAGGCCTGGACGCGGGAGGCCACACGGCAAGCGGACTTTAGGTTCCCCCCCGCTCTCGGGCGTGAAGGGAGCTGGGGTTCCCGTGACCTCGCCGGCGGAGGTCCTTCCCTGGGACGAGGAGGGAGGAGCGGGAACTGCGTGCCAGCCTCGGCCGCTGGGCCCAGGAACGAGGGTTAGCTGTCGGCCAGGCCTGACGATGCGAAGGGGCCGCCACCGCGTGCCCTGCTGGGCCCCACCCTGTGCCCCCGCTCGGCACCTCCACCGTGGGATGCAGGAATCCCCCTGTGGCCCCGCCGCGGCCCCGTGGGCTGCCGTGGAGGAGGGGCGTTGGTGCCACAGGAACGCTGTTTTGGGGTGTTCCCGGCCTGTGTGATTCTTTGCTAAGCCCCGGCCTCCTCTGACCTGTGACCCCCAAACCATACGGGGGGTCCACCTGAAGGCCACCCCCCGCCACCCTCTCCTGCTCCAGGCCAGGCCGTTGTCACCTCGGATAGTGTCACAGGAGCTGCCCACACTGGAACCCATTTGATTTGGGCCTTCTGACCGCACCATCCTGTTCACCGCTCGGGAAAAGCCGCTGCTTGCACACGGCGTCGGCTATGGTCCTCCCAGACGGCCGAGGGCTTCAGGCAGCCACGGCCCCCCACGGGGAGGTGGCACTGATGTCACACAGAATCTTAGGGTCACCTGCACCTCGAATTGGCTCTTCCTGTCCCCACACATTCCCAGTGTCGCCAAGGTGGCAGAGCCTGAGCCTTGCCTTCCCAGGGTGCAGGTCGGGCCATGTGGCGTCTGGCCCTGAGACCAGCATGCATCGTGCTCCTGTGCCCGGGACCCCATAAACGGGTTCCAGTCCCCAAGCGCCTGGCCTCTGAGCAGGGGCGCACACCACCACCTCCTTGCCCCTGGCCTCGGCCTTGTCCACTCGCCCCTCACAAGTGCTCCCCAGACCAGGTTCCAGGCTGCCAGCTGTTGCTCTGCCCACTCTGCTGACCAGCGAACTGAGCCTCGGATGTGCCTCCTCCAACGGCACGTCCAACCTTTGCTCCAGATGGCCACGCAGGGACCCGGTTCGCTGAGCAGACCCACCACTGGGTCTCCCCGGGCTCTGACTGCGTGCCCATGGCCCCGAGCCTCTGTCTGAGGGCACTGACGTGGTGCAGTGCGAGCTCGGCTGGGGGGCCGCAGCACCCACCGTGAGCACAGCCCACCCTAGAGCAGGCCCCGGGCTCCCGGCCCTCGACCCCAGTGTGTGGCAGGGGAACTGAGACTCTGGGAGCCCCAGACTGGCCGGCACCAAGGAGAGCCGTTTCCTCCACCACGTGGGGCTCCCCGTGTGGAGTCCCACTCACCCCAGGGGAGACAGCTCTGTGGAGGAACCCCCAAGTTCAAGAACGGCGGGCATGCGTGTTTCCCAGGGCTGCCCTCACAGCCAGACCGCCAGGCGACCCCCCACGTGGGGTACCTGCTTCCTGTGTTTTCTTCAGAAACCTTCCGGCGGATCCTGGAGCTCACGGCCCGCACCATGGCCTGGCGGGCAAGCCCTGTGTCTGGGAGTGGGTGGCCTCGGGGGCCAGGGGATTTCCCTGGCTTGTCACTGTCCTGTCTGAAGGCCAGGCTTTTCCCAAAGTGCAGAACATTCCTTGCTTGCCCGTCTGGGGCAGGAAGCGGGCATGAGAACAGAGCGCCAGGGGCTGCCCGGCAGAGACTCGGTGAGCCCCTCTCTTCTCCAGAGAGGCCAACATCGTTTCTCGGTATGGAAGGCACATTCCCCAGCTGCACTGTTGCCCAGGCCTGAACGCAATGTGCTGTGCATCCACCAGGTGCTGCAGCCCGGCGCCGGGGGTGGGGGTGGGGCACAGAAAGCTTGGAGCGATGCTCTCATGCCCTTACCTTGGGGACAGGGATGGACAGACAGGCAGTGGGCACTGTGGGTGAGCAAGGAGCCAGGAACCAAACCTGTCAAGCTCAGGGGGCGCCTGCATGGAGCCTTACACACTCAGAGTAGCCCCATGATGAGGCTATCACGAAACTCCCTAACTCAGAGCAGGTCAGGGCAGGGAGTCACGTCCTGGCCCAGGGGCTTCCTTGACAAAGGTCAATCTTTCTGTCACAGGGCCTGTCAGTTGACCTTGTCCATCCAAGGGAGCACACCAGGTGCGCCAGGGCCATCTCCTTTTCCAGACCTCTGCGGGTACGCTGGCCCCCAGGCCCTGAGACACAGCCCCTCTCGCTGGCTGGTTCCCACGCCCACCGCCATGGGCTGTGAATGTCCACTGTTAACCCCCTGGCCCCGCCGAGGTTTTTCATCCAGTCCCGGGGGTTTTCCCACTCGGCTTTCTCTGGCCCCCAAATCCGCCACCAACAAACCTCATGTGACCCTCTGCAGCCTCCTGCTTTGAGTCTAAAGGTATGAAATAAGCCGCAGAACTGCCGTTCTCAGGGGCATTTTCTCAGTCTGCTGGGCTTTTGCTTCTGTCACTGTCGTCAGTGCGGCTCAGATAAACTCACAGAAACCCTCCACGGGATTTGGCAAAATCACCAGAATTCCAGAGAAGCCCACCCAGACCTCCCTGCAGACCCAGCTTGGTGCTGAGCACCCACCACTGCCCATCGGCAGTAGGTGAACCCGGGGCAGTGTTCCTTGGGGTTCTGGACCTGCCTGTTTTTAAGACAGGAGGCTCTAAATTCATTTAAGCTGTTCTTAAAAAAAAAAAACCCTCAAGGCGTAACCAAAGGTTAAGAGGTGCGAAAACCCAAGCAAAGAATAAGAGTCGAATAACTCAGGGACCGTAATAAAATAAAAAAACAGGTGACTGGGCTTTAATTTCAGCTTTTCTTTTTATTTATTTGCTTGTTTGTTTGTTTACTTACTTATTGTTTATCCTCACCTGAGGACATGCTTATTGATTTTATAGAGGGGGAGGGACAGAGAGGGAGAGAAACATCGACTGGTTGCCCCTTGTACACTCCCCAGCAGGGGGCCCAACCCACAACCCAGGCGTGTGCCCTGAGCAGGAATCCAACGGGCCACCTTGTGGTTCGCAGGCCGGGGCCCAGTCCACTGACCTGCACCTGCCGGGCCGATGTGTGCTTTTCAGTCGGAATTGCCTGGTGAGAGCCTGAGCAAAGCCTTTTGGTGGATGAAGAAGAGCCTGAGCTCGTTCTGCTCAGAAGACAAGGCCATTTACGTCTTCCCACTTGGGTTTCAGGCGCTCTTACCTACCCGAGAGCCCACGTGGAGGAGCCGGGCCGTGGGGACTCCAGCGCAACTGAAGCTCAGCCGCGGACTCGTCCACGCCCGGCTAGGCGCATGGTGGGCGTCTGTACTAGGCAGCCGGGGAGAGACGCGGCCACTCGGCCGAGGGTTGATGAGACTCTGGAGGCGACGGCCCCTCGGAGTTCAACCCACAAGGAGCCCCTTCGCCGCAGGGCACAGTGTCCCTGGGAGCGCGGTCAGAGTCAGTGGATCTGTGGACGCAGCGAGGCTTCTGAACTCGCTCCCAGCAGCCCGTGGAGAGAAAACAGGTGGTGGAATCGTTCGACGTCCTGCAGCCGCCAGACGACGGGCAACAGCGCCACCCCGGGGCTTCAGAGCGGCCGCGGGCAGCCGACCACATCACTCCGCTGGGGCGGCGGCGAGACCACGCGGCAGCCGCGCTCTGCGGACCGGAGCCTGCCCCACCCCCGGCTCCCCGGTAAACCGGCCACGGCCTTTCACCGCAGGGCCCCGGGACAGCCGGAGGAGGGACGGGGACGCGCAGTGACCGGGGCCCTTCCGCCAGGCAAACAGCCGGGCGCGATCGGAAACCGATGTCACCCATGGGGGCCCAGCACCTGGACCTCGCGGCGGGGTGAGCGGCTCACGCCCCCACCGAGCCCGCAGGGGTGCCGCGGAGGTCGGTCCTCCCGAGGCGCCGCAGAGCCCTGGGAAGCCGCGCTCGAGGCCCCTTCCGTGCCAGGCAGGGTCGCTGGATTGCACCGGACGCCCCGTCTGCAGGACCGGCACACGTGCCCGTCGCGGTCTGCGGGGCCTCGCTGGACCGTCGAGTTTGAGGAAAGTGATTCCCAGTCGGGGGCTCCCCGAGTTATGCTGTGGTGGGACAAACAGCCCGACCCCCCTGTCCCAGCCGGCCCGGTCGGCAGCATCTCACCGCGCCTAGCCCCCGGGCCTCTGGATTGCGGTGGGAGGCGGCGCAGGGGCCCAGTTACAACCCAATGCCGCCGCTGTTGGCGCTGCGGCTACTCTCCCTGGGCCCACAGCTCCCCCCCGGAGCGCCCCCTTCTGCTTGCACGCCGGCCCCTGGCCGCCCTGCGCTTCGGAAGGAAGGGGCGTGTGCACCAGCCTAGCTGAAAGGAGACCTTCTGCGTTATTAGCAAGGACTCATTACCCGGCTTAAGGGATGGGCCGGCCAGCAGAGGTTTCATTTCCTAGCGCATTCCCAGGCCTCGAAGGCTGCAAATACCGCGGCTCACAACCAGGAGACTCTTGTTCCTTGGAACCCATATCCATTAGAGACTCTCCAGCCTTGTTGGAAAGGACCTTATCAGGTGCCAACCAGGACTGGCCATCGTCCCGTCCCTAACCCTTGCCTCCGCCCACAGCGAGGGTGTAGAGGTTGCTCGAGGCCGAGAAGCCACCATGGAAGATGAGGAGCTGCAGGACCTGCATCCCTACAAAGTAATGTTGAACTTTAAAAACCTGCTGCTCAGCCTGGCGGGTATAGCTCAGTGGATTGAGTGCAGGCTTGTTGAGCAGGGGGTCATCGGTTCGAGTCCCTATGAGCCACAGGCCTGATTTGCAGGCCAGGCCCTCAGCAGGGGGCCTGCCTAGGAGACAGCCACACAGTGGGGTCCCTCTCCTTCCCCTGGCCCTGAAGATAAATGAGTGAAGTTTTTTAAAATGAGATTTTATTTTCTTCAAAAACATTTGCTTGACTGTCTTCACCTGCCTAGTGACAACGTCGCTCGTAATAGTCACTATACTTGTTCTTTGGACCTGCCCCTCAGCCCAAGGCATGTGCCCCAACTGGGGATCGAACCAGCGACCCTGGGGTTTGCAGGCTGGCACCCAATCCGCTAAGCCACACCCGCCAGGGCGCTTTGGGCCTTTCTCAAACCTCATATGTACAGCCAACCGTTAGTAACTGCCAACGGCGTATACCTCCCGTATTATCAACAATACTCTCTTCATGGTTCTACTTTGGAAAACTTACAAGGATTGTTGTTACAAAAGGCAGGTAAGAGGTATGTGTTTCTGAGAGGAGTTAAAAGGCAGTAATTTGTCCTAATATTTGATTACTTCTTAAAAAGACTATTTGTTTTTAAAGAGGAGAAGGGAAAGAGATAGAGAGGGAGAGAGACATCAGTGTGTGGTTGCCTCTCATGCACCCCTACCAGGGGCCTGGCCCACAGCCCAGGCATGTGCCCTGACTGGGAATCGAACCCGTGGCCCTTGGGTTCCCAGGCCGGTGCTCAGCCTGCTGAGCCACACGAGCCAGTGCCAATCACCCCTGAACGAGTAGAAGGAGAAAGCTACCAGGGATGAGGGACGTTGTAGAAGGATGGTGAAGCAGGAGTGTTGAGGAAGGAATTTTGTGTGTAACGGTGTGGACGGAAAAGGGGCCAAACATGAACCCTGCCAAGCTCAGGGGAAGCCCTCGCGCCGGCCTCCCACGCTCAGAGACCTGACGTGACCCCACGGCGACCTGCACATCGCAGTTCCTGAGCACAAGTGAGTCACGGGGACCAGCAGGCCTGCAGCCTCCTTGCCGAAGGCCAGTCTCTACCTCAGCGGAGCAAGTGAGGCCACTGGCCTTCTGCCCCTCAGACCGCACACCTTTGAAATGTCAGCATGACATCGCAGGTCACGTCAGGGCAGGAGGCTCGGGCCCGCGGCGGTGGCCTGTTCCCGCATCCGGTCTCTGCGCTCTGCACCCGCCGACCGGTGGAGAGGGGTGTGCGTCTCTCCGACCCCAGGGTTCCCCCCACCCCCCGCTTTGCCTCCTCCCTCATCCACCCCCAATGGGCTTCATGTAATACCCCCTTACCTCTCCTCCTTTGAGCCTAAAGCATAAAATAAACTGTGAAACCACCCTTCTCTAGAGCATTTTCTCTGTCTATTGAGGTTCTGCTTCCCCGCAACTGTCATCAGTTTGGCTCAAATAAAGTCACAGAAATTCTCTGTGGGTCAGGACGTCTCTGACATCGACGCGCACTAGACTCGGTTACGGATGGGGAAGTGCTCACCCCCAAACGCACAGGGACCCTCACTCGCTGCAGCGGCCCAGACGGGGGCTGCTGGGGCCAGAAGGACATGCCCCTCCCCCCCCAGGGCCACTGAGGGACAGGAACTGTCCTCAGGAAGCAGCTCTCGCCACGTGCCTGGCCTCTGGGACCTTTTAGGGTCCTGATGGCCTTGGCCCCCACAGGACCTTAAAGTGGCAGCTGCCAGTTGTTCAACCAGCAGGAGTCGATGAATGGTGATGACACGTGACTGCCAAGGGCACGGAGACGCGCTGCCACCTCCCAGCCAGACAGTAATCTCCTGTGCCCACCAAGGAGAAGTAAATGTCCTAGATGCGAAACACACCAGGCAGGCGGCAGGACTGGGTGGTGAGAGTGTCCGGGGTAGAAATGATCCACAGTGTTTTTCTTGTCTTTTTAAAATATTTTTTTCCTGTAATTTTTTTTGGTTTTTGTTTTTAGATTTTATTTATCTTTAGAGGGGAAGGGAAGGAGAGAGGGAGAGAAATACCAATGTATGGTTGCCTCTCATGTGTCCCCTGCTGGGAACTGGCCTGCGACCCAGGCATGTGCCCTGACTGGGAATCGAACCGCGATCATGTGGTTCGCAGGTCCGCGCTCAATCCACTGAGCTACACCAGCCAAGGCTTAAAAAATATTTTTAAATTTTATTTATTTTTGGAGAGAGAGGAAGGGGGAAGAAAGAGAGACGCTGATCAGTCGCCTCTTATCCAGACCCCAACCAGGGACCTAACCTGCATCCCAGGCACATGCCTTGCCCGGAATTGAACTGGCGACCTTTTGCTTTGCGGGGTGACACCCAAGCTGCTGAGGCATGCGGCCAGGGCCGGGGAGTTCTTCTGAATAAAGGCCCATGAGAACGAACAGCCTCCCATTTACCTGCCTTTCCTTACTGAGAAAAATTCGGCCTTCAATTTCCACCCAAGGTCACGGTCTTGCCCCGCCCCCAGCGGCCTCTCACTCAGCCAGACAGACGCACACACTGGGCAGGAGCCTTGCCGGCACCGTGAGGCCGAGTGCGTGGCCGTCAGCACATCCTCCGGGTTGATTTCTGACCAAAAGAGAGACGTGTAGACAGAAAAGGGGCCACACACTGAGCCCGACGAGCTCAGGGACACCAGCAGGGAGGGACCTACAAACTCAGAGACCAGAGTCACCGGTGGTCTGAACATTGAACTTCCTAATTAAAAGCAAGTCCTGTCAGCGGTCACGGCCTGGACCTGTGGCTTCCTTGACAAAGGTCAGGCTTTACGTCAGCGGAGCCCGCCCGCCCGGGGAATGTCAGGGTAGCTTCCTCTCCAGGCCCCTCCGGGCCTGCCCACCACACCGGAGCCCCTGGCTGTTGGCCGGTTCCCGAACTCCACCTCCGTGGGCTGGGAGCGCTGGTCATTAACTGCCCTCCCGGCCGAGGTAAGAGAAGGGTGCGCCTCTGCGTTTTACCCTTTACCCAGTCCCAGGGGTTCCTCTGGTTTGTTTTCTCCTGACCCCTTTAATCTAACACCAATAGAGCTCCTGTAACCCTGTTAGGTCCCCTCCTTTGATTCTAATGTAAAATAAGCCATAAAACTGCTATTTTCTGGAGCATTTTTCAATTCGTTGAGATGTTATCTTCCCAGCATTGTTCTCAGTTTGGCTCAAATAAACCCATAAAAATTTTCTACGGGTCTGGACGTTTCTTACCCAGAGCATGTAACAGAACTAAGAGCCCCGGTTGGGTGAGGGGTGGCTGGTTCTTCTCAGGGACCGACCTGCAGTCCAGGCTGCAGGCGCTGGTCGGCCTGTCGCAGCAGCGTCCTGAGGGGAAGCAGTGGGCAGAGGGCAGCCCCCACACCCCCTTAAGTCATCACAGGGCTGATTCCCCCCCTCGGTCTCTTCCACCCCCATCAGCATAGTTCAGGGCTAGCCCTGGGGGACACCTTCCAGGCCCCTGCAGGTGCTCCCAAGTTGGAAAAAACCAAGCATCCCGGCTCTGGCCTGGTGGCTCCGTTGGTTACAGCACGGTCCCCACAGGGTTATGCCAAGGTGATGGGTTCAATCTCCCATCAGGGCATGTGCAGGAAAGCAACCAATGACTGTATCAGTAAGTGAAACAACAAATTCGTGTGTCTCTCCCTCTCTCTCTCTCTCCAAAATAATAATAATAATAATTTAATTTAATAAAATAACCCACACATCCCTGAGCCGTGGGAGAAGGCAACCCAGAGAGGGGGGTCCCCTCCTGGGAAGGGGGCCCTGAAAGTCTTCCCCCTCTGACCTGGACCTCTCGGGGCGCTGGAGGGAAAAGATGCCCCAAGGCCAGAGGAAGAGGGCGCCCTGTTTTTTCGGAGAAAAGGAAGTGGACAAGGCGAAGGGTCCAGCGTCGGGAGGAGGGGCTCCCCGAAACAGGAGTGCTGGACAGCGCGCAGAGAACCCGGAGTCGGCGTGGAGCAGAAAGGCGCTCGACAGGAGGGGGCGTGCAGGCCGCCACGAGGGAGTGCTCCCGGCTCCTGCGCCCCGCGTCGCCCCCACTGCCGCGTGAGCCCCGGAGTCCCTCCGGGCACCCCGCCCTCCCAGGTGCACCGCCCGCGGCTCTGTCCCTCACACGCCCCCGCTGCAGCGCGCGCCCCAGCCGGGAGGGGGCGCCCGGCGCGCCGCCGGCAGAGCGAGGCGGGGGATTCAAGCGCGTTATAAGGCGCGGAGTCCGAGAGCGCAGGATTCCGAGACGCCGCGCTCAGAGCCGAGAGGGACCCGCCGCCCACATGGCCTCCGCCGGGGCCCGCCTGCTGCTCGTCTGCGCGTGCCTGCTGGCCGCCGCCGCCGCCCTCGGTTCCCGAGACCCCGGTGCGCCCGCGGGGAGCCGCGCCGGCCAGGAGCCGATGCCCAAGAAGGAGCCGCCCGCGGGCGCCCGGGAGAGCCGCGCGAGGCTTGACACCAGCCCGCCGGTAAGACACGGCGACGCGCGACTGGCCCCCTCGCCGCGGGGACCTCCGGCCCTCAGTTTCCCCAGCCAGAGCCTGCCGCGGTCCGAGACACAGCGAGGGAGGAGGGCGGTGGGAAGCGCGAGCAGGGGCCGGACTGACGCCGGACAGGTTCCCCTTTCTAACCTGCGGATCGAGACGCTGTACTGCCCGGCTCGGGAGACCGGGCGACCTGGGCGCCGCCCCTCTGCCCAGACCGGTACTGCAAAGCCGGCCTCGACCTCGGCTCCTGGTAGTCTCCTTCGGCACTAAAGCAAAATTCTGCTAGGCCAGGGGACATGCCGTTTGTTTTGGGACAGAAAGAAGCTGGGAAATAAGTGGAAGTACCTTGATTCTCATGGAACTGGAAAGAAGTGTGAGCAAATGACCGACCCCCTCCCTCACCCATATGGTGGAATTCCCTGGGACAACTACCTTTTTGCGGGTGGGGGGGGGCAGGAAGTGTGGGGTGGGGGGATCAGACTCCCCAGGGACGTGGACTTCTGGACGTGAAGGCGTCATTTCTAGCTCCCTGCCCTGTGCTCTCCTTCCCAGCTGGGGTGGAGGCACTCAGGTTGGGGAAGTGGGGGGGGGCCCTCAGTGGCCTGCGGCCTTTCCCAGCAGTAGAGCAGCTGGGAAGGTGGTTTGGGGTCCCCGTGGGACCAAGACGCTTGGGGGCTGGGCAAAGGGCGGAGCAGCAGCCAGGCCTCGGGTGGTGCCTCTGCTCCCAGCATCACACAGACCAAGGACACCCCACCCGGGAGGTGACGGCCAGCCCTTCCAGCTCCCCAGGAGGGACCTCCTCCCTGCGGCCGTGGTTTCTCCCACCTCCGCATCTGTCCAGGGGTCACAGGCAGACCCCTCCTGGCCAGGCACACCCCGGGGGGCAGGGCCGCCCACTGGAGTCTTGGATACACTGCCAGGAAGCACAGAGGGAGCTGGGATGCTTCCAGGTGGGGTTCTGGCCTCGGACCCTCTTTGGGGGCCCAAGGTGGAGCCCCTGAGGCTGGAGACCTTGATCAGCCAAGGCAGCTGCCAGCACCAACGGCCCTGCTACCCCCCCACACACGGCAGCAGGCCCCTCCAAGGTCCCCAGACCAAGTGGCTCCGCCTGTCTCTGCCCCCCACCGAGGCACCCTGGAGCCCAAGTCCAGGCACATGCCCCAGGGCCAGCTGGCCGGCAGGGCCAGCCCTGAGGGACCCCGGCCACGGGCCTCCTTCGGCGGTGTGAGGCCCTGGCCGTGAGGTAGGACCCAGGTCCCTGCACTTTCGGTGATCAGCCAGCAGGTCGGCGCCCTGCAGGGCACCGTCCAGTGAGACACGGGGAAGTCTGAGAGGACAGAGGCCTCTGGGCCTCCTCCCAGAGAAGCCCCCTCGCTCCCCCAGGCAGCATGGTGGTCCCTGACGGGGCACCCGGGTTCCTGCAGAGTTCCCACGAGGCCCCCCGGCCTGGCTGTGGTGGAAGGACCCACCTGGCTGTAGGACCCTGGGCCCTCCCATTGGCCACCAGAGTCGGTGCCCATGACCTCACCAGAGCCCACAGGCCAGTTCCCGTCCCAGCTGGCTGCCTTGCCTGGAACTGGACCTCCCATGGGCAGCAGGCCACAGGCCAAAGGCCACTCCCTGGAAGGTCCCTCCCAGCCAGTCAGAACGCATTGTGCAGGCGCTGTCCCTGCCCTGGCTCAGGCCGCCGTCCTGAGGAAGATGGGCAGCATCGCACCCTGTGTCCAGACCTTGAATCCTGACATCCCAGTCCTGGGCCACTCAGACCCCCAGCTTCCCTGGCCTGAGGGCTGAAGTTGGGCCCCCTGGGACTTTGGAGGGTGGGGGTGGGGTGGGGGCCTGCTGATAGCTGGAGACCCCGGTAATCAGTCGCCTCCTCCTGGCTGCCTCTGGCTGTCAGCCGTCGGACCCTCTGGGCAGCTGCCCCACGGGGCCCGGCAGGGCTATCTGCTGCAGAGCTCCGCACCGGCCTCCCTCTGCCCACACCGGGTCCCCGTCTCCCACAAAGTGCGGGTTACAGTGTGGTCCGGTCCCCAGGGGTCATCCCACCATTGACAAAGATGGGAACTTGAGGGGACTGCGGGGGGCTGTGTTCCAGGAGCCCACCACACAGCCGGCCCCCAGCCTGAACCCCCGGGACACCTGGCTGTGGTTCCTCAGGCACAGTGACAAGGAGGACAGAGTCAAAGACAGGAAGTCGAAGGTGAGCAGGGGAGCCCCGGCCCGTGCGTGTGCACGCAGGTGTGTGCACCTGCGGGCCCTCCCCGAACCCCAGGCCATCACCCTCACTCCTACGCCCCTCGCCAGCCCCCTCCCCAAACACACCCCGACCACTTCACCAAGCACAGACCCTCACCCTTGGGATGGGGTCAGAGAGCAAAGGAAGTATCAAGCCAGGGGCCGAAGTGGCCCTGAGTTTGCAGCCTGTCCCTTCCGCTTACCCTGCACCCCTGGAACGCCAGGCGGCCCCACTGGCCGCCCGCTTCCTCCTGTCTCTGCGTCCTGGGCGGGAGCACGGGCGTCAAAGCAGGGACCCTCACTGCCTTCTCAGCAGAGTCTGAGCCCCCCACTCCCGCCCCAGGCTGACCTTTACCTCAGAGGTCAGAGGTCAAAGTGGGAGCCCCTTTTGCGTGCCCTAGTGGGGGGGTGACCATGGTTCCCAGCTGGCCAGTTTCGGGGATGTCACTCCAAGTTTCCCTCCCAGCCCGGCCTGCCCAGGTCCCGGGAGCCCTGTGGCATCCAGGGACCCACAGGCACCGCCGTTCCCGTGGAAGGACGGCAGAAGTGGCAGCAGCTGCTGAAAGGTAGGGGCATCCACGCAGGCTCAGGCCCCCGGTGGGGGTGGGGCAGACTCCTGGAAGAGCCCTGCCCGAGGGGCGGGGCGGGGCGGGGCGAGGGGCCGGGCGGGAGCTGGTCAGGAGGCGGCTCCGTGGAGAAAGGTGGACTTGACTGCCCTGTTCTTAGGCAGGGCCTGGGGACAGGCACCCGCGCCCCACCTGGAGATCGGGGGAGCCCAGGGAAGGACAGGAGACCTGACCCCAGACCCCTCAAGTGGGGATAGTCCAGGGAGGGGAGGCCAGGCCCCTTGACCTTCCAAAGTGGCCCTCTGATTCCCCCGATTTAAGGCTCACCCCAGTCAACACAGGCCCGCTGAGTGCGGCCCCCAACTTCGCCCCTCATCACCTCGGCCTCCCCCTGAGGGGCCTCAGCTGCGGGGCAGCTCCTTGGCTCGGCGCCAGGAGGACAGCGCAGTGAGGGGCCCAGCCCGGCAGCCCCAGGTCGCCCCCACCAGGTTGGGTGGCTGAGCGGGAGGGCACAGCAGGGGGCAGCGGAGCCGGGTGTCCCGCACTGTGACCAGCGCTCATCGCTTTGTTACGCAGAGCCTAGTGACAGAGCGTCTCCCTCTTCGAGTCACTGTCCCTTCAGTTAAACACAGCAGCTTCGAAGAAGCCGAAACTACTGTTTCCAGTGCAGCTCCAAAAATTATTTACACTCACTTCCCTCCAAAAATGACGGGGCCTGCGGGGCAACAGCGCGGAAAGGGCCGTGTGGGCGGTGCAGGGAGGTGAAGCGGAGAACCACGGCGCAGGCCGCAGGCCGAGTCCCTCCTGAGCTTCCCGGTGGCCGAAGCGTGACAGGAAACAGGAGCAGCGGCGGGGTCAGGAGGCAACGTGCCTGCGGGAGTCGCAGGCTTAGAGGGTCTCCCGTGAGGGGCTTGGGGGGCGAGGGCCACGGAAGGGAGGGCCCGGTGTGCTCGGCGCGCAGCCACCGCTGGCTCTGTGCCAGCTGCGGCAGAGATGCTGCGCCAGGACGCGGAGCGCCGCCCCGCCGCGGAGGACGAGGAGGAGGAGGCGGGGGAGCCGTCCGTGGTGGCCCTGCTGACCCAAGCCTCGAACCGGGGTTCGCGGGCCCGGATGGTGGAGGCCGCCTTCCACTGCCGCCTGCGCCAGAACGTGTCGGTGGAGCGGCGCGCGCTGCAGGAGCTGGGCGGCTACTACCTGGTGAGTCCGCGCCGGGCAACCGGGCGAGGGGCCGCGCGGGGCCCCGGGTGACCGTGTGTGTGCCCCGCAGCCCCAGGCCGAGGGAGCCTTCTACCGCGGCCTGGGCCTGAACTTGACCAGCGGCCAGTACACGGTGTCGGTCCCCGGTTTCTACGCACTCGCCGCCACGCTGCACGTGGGTGAGGCCCGGGGCGGGGGCGGGGCGGGGAGGACTGTGGGCCGGGGCGCGTGGGGGGCGGTGACCAGCCCTACCCGCTCTAAGCCCTCCCAGAGCCGCGCCCCCGGAACCGCCTGCGCCTGCTCATCTGCATCCAGTCCCAGTGTCAGCGCAACACGTGAGTGGGCGCGGGCAGCTCCCGCGGTGGACCGGCATCCCGCCAGGGCTTGGGAAGACCCTTTCCCCCATGCCCACAGCCGCCGCGGCCCGGGTGGCCCCCGTGCCCCCTTCCCGCCAGCAGGAGGGGCTCTTCACAAGCATATCCTCACGCTCCCTGGACCCCGGAGCCCCCGCCCCCGCGGCAGGCCCCGATCACCTGCCGGGAGAGCCCTCTCCTGACCACTCCACCTCCCCCTCCACTCGCTCTCTCCCGCCCCTGTGAACCTCTCACTGCGTGGGCCATGCCCGCCTTCCTGCCACTCCTGGTCACAGAAGGCAGGAGCTGGCAATAGCTGGAGAAAGCATGAAGGAATGAAGTTCAAAACTCCCTCTGGTTTTGCAAGCCCCCCACATGGGCCTGATGGGGCTTCCCAGCGTGCTGCGCCCTGCCCCCAGCTGCAGTGCGGGCAGTCAGCTGAGCCTCCCCTGGCTTGGGCCACGCTCCTCTCCCGGCCCTCAGCACCTTTGGTTCTGGGGAGACTGGCCTCCTTTGGGGGAACCAGTTTGGATACTGCACCTGCCAGAAGAGCTGTCCAAGACAGCTGTCTCCTTGGCACTTTGCTGGGCCCTGTGTCCATTGGGAGCACATGGTGGGGTCTGCAGTGAGGGGCTCAGGCTCACCCTTCCTGCTTTTGCCACAGCTCCCTGGAGACCGTGGTGAGCAGGCCGACTGGCACAGAGCTCTTCACCATTTCCGTGAGCGGCGTTCTGTATCTGAAGGTGCGGGCTGTCTCAGCCTTGGGGCAACCCTGGGCGTGGCCAGGGGGTGGCCTGGCAGGGAGGAGTGCAGCCCCCTGACTCCAGGCCTGAGGGGGCTTTGGAGCCACAGCACAGCCCTTTGGCCAGCACGGCCCCTCTCTCCAGGTGTGAGACCTCCCGGGTCCCTCACTGAGGGCTGGTGCTCCCCGTGGTGGCAAGGGGTCAGCCCTGGGGCCCAGGCTGACACCCTGGTGACCTGGGGGCCCCTGCCACTGCCGGAAGCAGGGCATGTAGTCCTTTCCCACTCGGGACCCTCGGGGACGACCTCCTTCTGGTGGTCAGGTTTGGGCAAGTCAACGAGGACCGGACACAAAGGTGGGGTGCACGAGAAACGGCGCCCACATGTGGGGGCGCCAGCTCCTGTTTCCTATCACCCTAGCGCTTTGCATAGTGACCGAGTTCATGGTCACAGCACTGTGAGGTGAGGGCTGCTATCACCCCCGTTAGCAAACGGGGCCGTGGCACAGAAGGGCTAACCAACCTGCCCAAGTGCACACAGCTGTCGGGAGGGGCGACCTAGCTGCAGAAAGGTCTGGCCTAGTACTGGGCACCTCGCAGCTTGCTGGGAAGAGTCAGATCGCTCCCAGTGCACCAGGGATCTGGTGGGCCCCCGAGTCTGCAGTGCTGGGGGCTCCCAGGGGGTCCTGCTGGTTCGTGGACCTCATTTGGAGCGGCCAGGCCCACCCTCAACCTGGGTAGAGTCATCCAGGCTCCACAAGCCGCAGAGAAGTCCACCGGGCCCTGGAGCCCTTGGTGGCCCCGAGTGGGGCTCGCTCCCATGCAGAAGAAGCACCGGAAGGGGCCTGAGGGCGTGTGGCCAGCGGCCTGGCCAACACGCCCTTCCCCTCCACAGAGGCGGCAGTACACCTCCGTGTTCCTGGACAACGCCGGCAGCTCCCCCGTCACCGTGCGCAGTGGCTCCCATTTCAGCGCCATCTTCCTCGGCGTCTGAGAGGCGCTGCTGCGCAGACCAAGCTGGGTCCTGGCGATCACGAGCAGAGGTTGCACGTAGGAGGCAGCCCACTGCCATTGCCCACAGGGGCCTCCACGGCTCCACCCAGGGTGGCCACTCCAGGGGGCCAGGGGAGGTGGCAGGCAGCCCTGCCCTCGGGGACCAGGAAGGACCTCGGGGTCCAGCTCTCACCCCGGGTCAGCGCACTCGCTCCTCTGTGCCTGGCTGTGGCCTGGGCCCCTCCTGGCCTATCGGGGGGCTCGCCTACAGCCTCGGCGTCTCCTCTGTGGCCCGACCCCATCAGGTCCATCTTTCCATCCGTGTGGAGCGGCGTGGGGCCCCTGGGAACCCAAGCAGTGTGGCCAGGCCTTCCCCCACCCCCCAGGGCTCCCCAGTCTCTGCCAACCCCTCACCTGGCTGCCACTGGCCTCCCACAGACCGCAGGGCACTGCCAGGCACAGCAGCCAAGGACACCGCACGACTGCTGGAAAGGGTGTATGAGGGGACAGGGCAAATCTGGGCCCGGCTTCCAGCTCTCTTTGCTTCTTAAGTGTGCCCAGGACCTGGCCCGCTCGCTAGCAGACGCGGTTTTTCAGAGGGGCTGCCCGCTCCTCTTTGCAGACCGGTTCACAGCCGAGTCCTTTCCCATCCCCCGAGGCCCAGTGACTGCGGGACCCACTTTCGGGAGGGAAGAGCCAGAACATCTCTGTAGGCCCCGCCCACGCAGCCACCCAGAGGAGAGGGAGCAGAGCCACAGCCTAGCAGCGGCCCGCTGGCTGTGGGGCCCTTGAGTGTCTGCCCCACTCGGGTGGAAGCAGCTCTGAGCTCAGAAGGGGACGGGCCGTCTGAAAAAGGCTGGTCTTGAGAGCTGGTGCCAGTCCCCCTGCCTCTGCAGCAGTGATGGGACTGGGGACCGGGGGTCACCCCAGGAGGGGGCAGGGCTGTCAGCCCACAGCACACTCCTCCCAAGGAGCAGAGGGTCCCTCCGGTTACCCACACTCCCACCCCTCTCCCCACTGGGCTCCTGAGACCTGGGAGAGAAGGGGACCAAGGCTACTGTCACCTCGACCTCCTAGCTGGCCTCAGGACGACTTCCCCAGGAGCCCAGTCTCCCCACTCCCACGGAGTGAAACACCTCACTCCCAGCCAGGCGCCCCCACAATCGTGGCCCCCCCAGAACTGTGCCCCTTGGCAGCTGGGCATGCTTCTCGGTAGGCACCCGCCCTACCAGGAAGTGCCAGCTGGCTGTGCCCTGTGTCCCCACGCCGTCTGATAAGGGCAGGTGTAGCCACAGATGTTTTGGAAAAGTTAGCTTTTACCCTTGAAAGAGCCGCAGCGCGCTCCCTCCCTCGGCCCTAGCGCCACACAGCCCGCACCCACGCAGTCCTCCGTGCTTTGCCAGGTGAGACCTGTTTATGCAGCTGACGCGACCAGGTGGCTCCAGTGTGAGAATTGCTACATGATTGTACAAAGTCACAAAAATAAAGTGCAGACCTTAAAATACAGTCTTCACCATCGGGGCCACCAGGGTGGGGAGCAGCGACAGGCTTGGCCCCTGGCCGGCAGGGGCAGGCCTTGCCCAGCTCTGGGGCCAGGGCCCTGGGGGAGCCGGGGCCCTCGGGGAGCTGGGTCCTGGAGTCACAGACGCCCTGACTTCCCCGGGAAGACTTCACTGCAGAAACCTCTCGGTCTCCCCACACTGAGGTGCTCAGGGTTTTGTCTTCTGCGATGATGCCACCGCGCCCAGGGACCCAGGGACCCAGCACAGGACAGTCTGGGGGAAGGGGCGGGGTGTGTGTGTGCGCGCGGGCGTCCACGAGGTGCCTGTGGCAGGGACGCCAGCCCACTAACAGACAGGGCGATAAGACCGTGTGCGGGCTGGGCGGGGGCCGGTGCACAGACGGCTCTGGAGTGGCAAGTTTTTAACATCTTACATCATCCCGAAGCGAGCACCGGGCCAGAGGCCCAAGCTGCTCTCCTGAAAAGAAACACGTAGTACCGATGGCCTGTTTCACTCAGAAACAAGCACCTGGGAAGTATGAGTATCTTCTCCCAGGGGGCGATGGTGCAATTTCCCTTGAACGCTGGACGGAAGGGCCCCTCAGGGGTTGCCAGGGTGGGGACTTTGGCCTGCAGAGCCCACCAGCCACAGCAGCTGGACGGTGCGGTCCCCTGAGCCAGGTGCCAGCTCACACTGGGGCGCCCAGCTGTGAGACCCAGGACACCTGCAGGGAGGGGGGGGGACTTCGGAAGAAGCCGAGCCTGGGCTGCTCTCAGAGAGCTCAGCGGGCACACTGCTCCTGAGCAGGGGGCCCCGCCCACCGCCCGGGCTGAGCCTGCATTTAGCCCCACGTCTGCAACCCCACTTTTGCACAGAAACCGTACTTTTGAGGGAAGTTGAGTGCCCCATTGGCTGTGGGGCATTGCGCTGCCCTCACTCTGAAAGGCCCCCTCCTGGCCCAACCCTCACGGACGTCGGCACAGGGAGAGGACGGGACAGCTGCAGAGCTGGACACGCAGCACGCGGGTCAGCACCTGGAGCCGGTCCTCCAGGACGCGTAAAGCTGCAGCTAGAGGACCCAGGGCACGTCCGAAGGCAGACACGGCTGACCGACCTCTGAAGGGCCACGCGCGCCTTCAAACACCGTGAAAGCAAAGACTAGAAAAAAGAGCTTTTATTTACAAGCACGGGAGTCCCACAGGAACACACACGTGCGCACACGCACGAGCACGCCGTTCCCACCGCGCCCTCAGTGCCCGATGCGCACCAGCATCACGGTGACGTTGTCGGCGGAGCCCCGCTGCACCGCCTTGCTGGCCAGCCGGTTGCAGGCCGCGTCGTAGCGGGCGTCCACAGCCGGCTTCCCTTCGCGGCTCTGGATCTTCTCGTCCTGCCGGCGGGAAGGGCTCTGGTGAGCAGGGGCCCTGCGCCTGTCTTCCCCCGAGACGGCACCCCCACGAGGAAGGACTGCCCCCCAGGCTCCACCAGGGCACACAGGACAAACTGACTGCTGTGTCTCCCAGGCACATCTGACGCTGAACCGCACGCAAGGTAGCCCCGTGGCAATGGGGACAAGGGGTCCCAGGACACGTGCCTGCCTAAGACCTAAGGTGCAGCAGGACACCTGGCCTCCGCCCCGGCGACATCCGTTTTAGAGCGAGGGAGAGGGAGGGAGAAAGGGACTGACGTTCGAGAGAAACGCCCAGTGGCTGCCTTCGTACACACCCTGACCAGGGACAAGGGACCAGGGACCAAACCTGCAGCCCTGGCCTGGGCCCCAGCCAGGAAACGGACCAGCGACCTCTCGGCTTGCGGGACGGTGCCCGACCCACTGAGCCACAAGGGTGGGCCCGGCGCCACACCTCACCTCAAGGCAGGACAAGATGAAGTTCACAGCTTCTTCGGGCGTGAAGACCTTGAAGAGGCCATCACAGGCCAGCAGGATGAACCTGCAGTACGGGGAGGAAACGGGGGCTTAACAGCAAATTTGACAAACTGGCCAGTAAAACACACACTTGTCTGAGTGCTCAAAGGCCAAGAACTTTAAAAAAGCCGACGGAGCTTCTTCGAGACAAAAGGTGCAGCTCCCTGAGTAAGTTATCCCTGCAGGACCTGGGGCTGGCCCGTGCTCGGCAGTGACGAGGCACTGCACTTTCTTCCACAGAGAAGGGCCTGAGCCACCGTAGAAGAGTCTTGCACTGTTAGTGCAAACACACGCAGAAACCCGTCTCCACCTCCCTGCCGTGACCACTTCCCAAAGACTCTGAGTGAAGGCCCCCGGGCAACCCCCCTTTGCTCTCTGGAGGCAGGGCTCCCTCCCCCTCCCTCTCAGAAGTCCATCTGAACAGTGGTGGCCCAGGTGTGCAGTTTCGCAGGAGCACCGAGGATGTCCCCGCTCTCACCACCCCACCCTCACAGCCACGCCCAGGTCTTGCTCCTCCCCCTTGCTGACTGGGTGTGCACTTGGCCAGTGTCCACCAGCCAACGCCTGTGCCTGCCGCAGCAGAGCCCGAGGCCTGGATGGCCCAGCCCACAAAGGTGCTGGCCCCGGGCAGCAACTGGAAGACCAGAGCAGCTGTGGGGACACAGCTGAGACCCCAGCCTCGGCAAGAATGTGCTGGGGCGGGGCTCAGAGCTGCGCCCCAAAGGGCCCCCGCCCCCCGCGTTCCTCACCACCCTCACCACTCAGTCTGGGGACACCGTTCTGAGCGCTTCCCCGATCGGCTGCCACAGCTCAGCCCCGACCTGGGCCAGGGCAGGGGCCGGTCCCTAAAGAGCCAGCCGCCGGCCCCGGGCCTCATCCTAAGGCAGCTCAGGGCGAGACAGGCAACTGTAAGACGGTTCTGTCCCAACCGAGCTCAGCTCGAAACCCCTGGCCCCCCACCAGTGCGAAGCAAGGTCCAGACTCCTCCGAGTGGAACGCAGGGCCTATCACCTCTGTCCCCAGAGTCCCCTGCCACCACTCTCCTGTGGCTCCATCCCTCCTGGCACCTGCCTGGTTGAGCAACCCTGCCTTTGTCCCGCCTCCTGTGGGAAGACCTTCTTCCTCCCGCAGCGCCCCCCCCCCCCCGTGGGGCCCACTGGCACAGAGCCCGAGACGCAGCTCCTCAAAGCCCGAGAGCTGGGGGCAGGCAGGCAGGCAGGCTGCGGGGGCACTCTTACCTGTCATTGGGGGTCAGCTGGCAGCGCCTGATGTCCGGCACAGAGGTGACCCCGCAGCGCTTGTACTGGCCATCCCCAATGGAGCGGGACACCTCCAGCACGCCCAGCACACGCCCGTCCCTACAACGAGGGACGACATTCAGACCCCACCTGCCAGGCCATGGGCCGGACAACAGGGCGACACCTGCAGATACCACCTGTCGACCAGCACCGACCCCCGGGGCCGCTGGCTGGCTGCTGTCAGCAGTCACGTGGCTGCGAGCGGGCGTGCACACGTCTGTCAAACCCCTGCCTGCAGTTCCTCTGGGGGTGCACCCAGAAGTGGGGCTGCTGGTCACATCGTACCCCTACTTTTAACTCTGCAGGAACCTCCCTGCCGTTTCCCACCAACAGCGCGTAGGCCCGGCTCCATCCCGTGAGTGACTTGCACAGAAGCAGGAGGCCCTGAGTCTGGAGCAAACGGAGCTGAAGGCCGTGACGGCCACAGCAGCGGCAAGAGCCATGGACCCACGCTCGCCCCTCGTGAGCAAGAGCCCAGGACAAGAGAAGCGGACTCACACTCAGTAACGGCACTGCTGACACCATCGATTTAAAGCAGTATCTGCCAATCAACACAGATATTAGAAACCAAGATTCTAGGCCAAAAGAGCTGTGGCCACCGAAAGCCCCGCACACTGTTACACTGGAATGAGAAATGGCCACAGCCTAAAACGCCTCCCAGTTTGGGCCCTGCAGAGGCAGAGCTGGTGACGCCCAGGTGAGACCACCGTCCCCAGCCCACGCAGCTGGGTTTAAAGATGAATGTGAGAGTCCCCCCACCAGCCACAGTGGCGGTCATGTGAGCAGGAAGAGCCCTGGAACCCAGTGCCTGGAGCCTGCACCCTGAAATCCAAACGCGCCGGTGCGCGGTGGTCCATGCAGCACGGAGAGGAGGAGAAAGGGGGAGAAGCAGAGGGGTGAGACAGCAGTCCCTGAGCCCTGGCCGGGTAGCTCAGCGGGGCAGAGCACCGCCCTGGTGCGTGGGCCATGGGCTTGGTCCCCGGTCAAAGTGTGTGTGAGGACCAACCAGTGAGTGCGCCAGTAAGTACGTGGGGCGATCACCAGTGTTTCTCTCGCTCTCTAAAAACCAAACACAAAAAAGAAGAAAACACTGATTTCCCCAAGTGTGGAGAGTGGCCTTATTCTGCAAACTGGTGACGAAGACCTAGACGCTCGCCGTGTGTTGAGGGCCACGGTGGGACCGGGCGCCACAGAAGAAAGGCTGACGAGAAGCATGTTCAATAGGCGCCGGGGTGCGCTGCCCCAGGTCGCCCGCTGACCACCAGGGACACCTGTCCCTTTCCCTCTGGGGAACTGTCAGCACCACCAACCCTGACCTCCAGGGCTGGAGCCACTAAGGGGATGCGCCCTCAAGGGCAGGGCACGCCCTGAAATACTGCTGCTAACGAGGTGTATCGGAATCTAAAGGAATCTAAAGAAGCCTTCAGACCGAACTTGCAGTCGACAGGAAGTTCAGGCCAACACAGGCACACTCGGAGGCCGGCCCCGCGCGGCCGAGGCTGGACGGCCGAGACGCTGGCCGACACGCCCTTCCTTCGGCCGTTCTCTCTGGGGAATTCCCCTGAGACCGTAGCCTATTCAGTTGTGACAAATGACCACATTTATGAAAGTCCTCGGAGCAGAGAGCCACTGCAGTAGTGCCCTGGAACCCGGGCCCAGCTCCCTCCCTGCAGACTCCGGGAGGCGAGTTCCGCCCCCACTCCCACTGAGCGAGTCCCACAACACACACCCGCCTGCGCCCCAGGGGAGGCCCCGCACGCCACACG